CGGTACCTCTATCTGTAGTTGTTGTGTAAGTGTTTGACTTTCTTTAGCTGTGTGTTCAGCCATGGATGCTCTCACTGCTCATGGTGTTTCTCTGCAGGAACTCTTCTCTGTGTCCACATGTCGGAGGAAGATTTGTATTCATGTGTTTCTTTGCTGCTGTTTTTCCTCTTCCACTGCAGGGCTCTGGCAGAGAGGAAGCAGCAGACCTCCTTTATCCTGCACACTTTGTCCTCTTTGTGAGCATTTGTAAAGATGTCTATAACATGTGTTTGTTATTGTAGGTTTAATAGATCATAATCAATAAGGAGAGGATTCATGATGTTCTCTTACAGAGTGGAGATTGTGCTCGGACATTGATTGTGTGGATTAGTCAGCTGTGATTATGGGAACATCCATAAATCTTTTATTATTTCTGTATTACTGCAGATACTTATTATCATAACATTATTAGTAACGATATTTAGCAGTAAAATCAAAGAACGTTGTATAAATCAATAGCATATCTGCAGTTTGAAGCATTTAAAGGACAACCTTTGTGGACAGTAGTTGCTGTGTTTACCCAGCATGCTCTCTGTTTGTGTTTGTTTGTGGAAGGAAAAAAGACCCCCTCTCTTTTTGATCCATTTCTATAAAAACCTGTCTGAAAATTGAGCTGATCAGATTTTGGCCACTTTATGATGTCATAACGATGTTTTGTCTTGTGTAACCATTAGCCAATCAGCAACCAAGGTAACCCCCCCCCCCCATTATCACCTGAATCTCCTCCTAGAGCACCATTGTGTTCTTTGTAACCAAATCTCTCTCAGAGGGGCGTGGGGAGGGGCTCCTTATTTTCATCTAAAGTAACAGACAGAGAATCAGCACTTTGGAAACAGGGCTGAAACAGAGGGGATTATGGGTAATGCTGCAATGATCTGTTTGGTGTTTCAGCCAATCAGAGACAGGTTCTGTATATATCTGAGACCTGTGATATACTGTGGGGAAAGAGTATAATAGGGGACCTTTAACCAGTTAAGCCCGACGGCCTAGCCGGCGGGGGCAAAACGCAACCTCTTGCAAGAACAGCGTCTGAGGGCTTCTTAACATTTAACAAACTATGAATGTGTCATACCCACTTAACGGGAAAGAAACTCAGCTTTCAGACAATATTAACCATTTTTAGCTAAACGAAACACAAGGGTAATACCAAAGGCTCTGAATTAGCCCTGAGCGAAAAAAATGCTAACACACTTAGCACAGAACTCACGGTAAAATACCCTTATTACTTATCAGATCTGCACAAACAAGATATCGACTAGCAAGCTGAGATTCCACAGATTCCAGAAATATTAGTATCAGCGGCATAGGAAACAAACCCAGACATCACCAACACGTAGCTTTACGGAGAAAACACGGGACAATTGTCTTACCTTTGCTTTTGTTCTGATCAAAAGTTGTGTTTCAATGGCATTAAAACGATAAAAACGCTGTTGAAGGTTAATCCATAGGTTAATCCAATGTGTGTCACTTTGAAATGATTACTGATAATCCATCATTCCATGTCAACCTGTCCTCCTACAAAAAACGACCATATAGGCCGATTGTTCAAGCCCTTATTACGACCCAGAGACACGTTTTAAAGTGTATGTTGTTTCTTACACGACCACTAGAGGTGCTCTAGTGGTCGTGTAAGAAACAACATGCTTGATTGCAAACGCTCCGGAGGGACGTTTATTCACAAATACCCTCTCTGGAAAATCCTAAATTGTGGAATAGTTTGGCCATTAAAATGCTTTTGATTTGATTTCTAGCGAGAAGTGTATATTGTACTCTTAGAATCCACGTCCAGTCAATGTGTAGGATTTATAGTTTGATTCTGACTTTTCTACATCCAACTCACAGGTTTATCATTGCTTGAGAAAAAATATGATTAATTTACCCTTTTAGAAGAGAAGATATAGTCATTTGTTTCTGGGAATGTCATTTTGGAGCCTGAGACCTGAAAAAACAGGCTCAGGGCTTAACAGGTTAAATCTTATCAACATTCAGGATTAATAATTTAATCAATTTGACACTTTGTCCTGAATGTCACTAATTGATTTCTGTGCTCTATTTTATGAATAGTTTGTGTTATCAATGTTTGTTTATAGGAAAATTCAATAAAATGTTGGTTCATATAGTAATTGATGTCCTCAGAAGTCATTCCGTTAAAATGTGTTTTGAAATAATTAGTAATTTTCCAAAATGTGGAACTTGAAACCTTTGTTTTAAACATTTATAATATTTGTATATGAGATCATTTATAGAGGAGGGTCTTTCTTATCCATCTATGTTTTATTATAGATTAAAAGGTACATTATGTTTTATAAATAATGCTATATTTAAATAATTGAGTTGTTTATTTAATACATATATGGTTTCTTTACCTCTGGTCAAATGTATTATCCATCCATCCATCTTCTCCCGCTGATCCGTGGTCGGGTCGTGGAGGTATCAGTTCCAGCAGAGAGCCCCAAAGGTTCCTTTCCCCTCATCAACCAGCTCTGACTGGGGGTCCCAGGCGCTCACCAGGCCAGAGAAGAGATATAATCCCTCCACCTGTCCTAGGTCTACCCCTCGGTCTCCTCCCAGCTGGACGTGCCTGGAACACCTCCCTAGAGAGGCGCCCAGGTGGCATCCTTACTCGGTGCCCGAACCACCTCAACTGGCTCCCTTCGACGCGAAGGAGCCATTTGTTAATCAAATGTATTAACATAGTGAAAATAAAATGAACTTTATAAAACACACGTTTTCCCCAGAATCTTTAGGTACGTACAAATCAGAAGACTTCATTTATTGGGGTTTTATTTCTAAAAACATAAGAAGTTAGAGAAAAAACATTTAATGGAAAATAAAATAATTTTTTTTTAACATATTTTAATTTTTATATAAGAATAAAAAAATAAAATAAGAAATAAACAAGAAAGAAATGTATATAGGAAGTTAAAAATTAAATGTGCTTTAAAAATAAAATAAAAAATAAATGAGAAGTAAAAAATGTATATAAGAAGTGTAAGATTTAAACAACTCTCCTGTTATCTCCATCAGAAGAACCTTCTGGATCCGCTCCAGTCTGGTTTCAAGGCAGGTCACTCCACAGAAACTGCCCTCCTCGCTGTCTCTGAGGAACTGCACACGGCTAAAGCAGCCTCCCTCTCCTCTGTCATCATCCTGTTGGACCTGTCTGCTGCATTCAACACGGTGAACCATCAGATCCTCCTTCGCACTCTCCAAGAACTTGGAGTTTCAGGCTCTGCACTTTCCCTCCTCACCTCATACCTCAAAGACCTACAGGGTAACTTGGAGAGGGTCCGAGTCCGACCCTTGTCAATTAACTACAGGGGTCCCTCAGGGCTCTGTCCTTGGTCCCCTCCTCTTCTCTCTGTACACAACCTCGCTCGGATCGGTCATTAGCCCGCATGGTTTTTCATACCACTGCTACGCTGACGACAACCAATTCATTCTGTCTTTTCCCCGTTCAGAGACCCAGGTCGTCGCACGCATCTCTGCTTGTCTAGCTGACATCTCTAATTGGATGTCTGCTCACCACCTCAAGCTCAACCTTGACAATCAAATCAAATCAATCAAATCAAGTTTTATTTATCTAGCACATTTATAAACGATTTTGGTCGAGCCAAAGTGCTTGTACAATTAATAAAATACCCTACAGTAAAGACATTTTACAGCTAATACAACAGCACAGTTTGTTCAGAATATCAGTATGAGAAAAACGACACCCTCTGTCCTTAGACCCTCACATCGTACAAGGAAAAACTGAACTGCTTTTTCTTCCGGGAAAAGATTGTCCCACTCTTGACCTAACAATCAACATCGGCCCCTCTGTTGTTTCCCCGACTCAGACTGCAAGGAATCTGGGTGTGACCGTAGATAACAACCTGTCCTTCACTGCAAACATCGCTGCTACAACCCGCTGCTGCAGATACACGCTTGACAACATCAGGAGGATACGTCCCCTCCTGACCCAGAAAGCCACGCAACTTCTGGTCCAGGCTCTCGTCATCTCACGCCGAGACTACTGCAACTCCCTCCTGGCTGGTCTACCTGCATGTGCCATCAGACATCTGCAGCTCATCCAGAATGCAGCGGCTCGTCTGGTCTTCAACCTTCCTAAATGTTCCCACACCAAACCGCTCCTCCGCTCCCTTCACTGGCTTCCAGTAACTGCTAGAATCCACTCAAGACACTGGTATAGCGTACCATGCTGTGAATGGATCTGGGCCCTTCCTACATCCAGGACATGGTTAAAACTGTACACCCCAGCACGTGCACTCCGCTCTGCATCGGCCAAACGGCTCGCTGCACCCGCACTGCGAGGGGGACCCGAGTTCCCATCTGCAAAACACGTGGGTTTGCTATCCTGGCTCCAACATGGTGGAATGAGCTCCCCATTGACATCAGGACAGCAGAAAGCTTACACATCCCCGGCGCAGACTGAAAACTCATCTCTTTCGACTCCACTTCGAGCAATAGAATGACTAACAAAGAACTGCTAACAAAGCACTTATATACTAATAAGGACTGGTTTATCTAAAGCCAGTTGAGTAGCACTTGAAATGTTTTGGCTCTATGAAACCTGATGTACTTATATGATTCTGTTTTCTTCAAGTTTGTATCTTCCTGGTCGAATGCACTTATTGTAAGTCGCTTTGGATAAAAGCCTCAGCTAAATGCAATGTAATGTAATGTAATGTAATTTAATGTAAGATTAAATGTGCAAAACAAATGAATAATACAATTTAATGAAAATTATTATATTTATAAAAATCATCAGGAGTTATATATTTAAAAACGTGCACACATATATGTATATATATATATATATATTGTGTGTGTGGTGTGTGTGTGTGTGTGTGTGTGTGTGTGTGTGTAATTTGGTCCCTGCAGTAAATGGTTAAATCCTCATGCTTTTACTCTGAAAATCCAGGAGCCCTCTTGTTGTGTACTTCCGGTGTTTCCTGAATGTGGGCGAGGCTCAGAAACAGCTGCGAGTCTCTCTTCAGGTTTTTCTGATTTAACGACAATTTGGGATTTAAAAAGTCTTAAAGTACAGGAAAAATAAGAAGAGGATTAAACGCGTTCTGCCAGGGAGAGGAAAGGTGTTTATTCTCCACTTCCGGTGCAGGAAAACAGACGGTGAGTTCAGCCCGTTATTTCTTTGTCTGGTTTCTGCACTGCTGAGGACAACAGAAACACAGATACATGTGGGGCTTCAAGTCTCAAAGCTACATTATTTAATTTGATTTGATTGTATTTCAGGTATTTTTCTGAGTTACTCCCTTGTGTTTATTATGAGAAATGCATGTTATTCTTTTCTTATTATCTGCTGAAGTGAACATGTAAATATTAAAAGGTTTTATGACAGGTTAAGTCACTGGAATAATTTGGCTTCATGATACAAAAACAAACATCTTTTGAGTTATTTTTTAAAGTGACTTTAACAGTGAGAAATGCAAGTTTCCACTTATTTTTAAGCTGTTTTTATTAATATAGGAATACATATTTCTAGATATCGTCTGCGTCCCTGAAATCAATAAAGGTTCATCATCCTCCACTCAAGTGTCCTTCGTCATCTCCTTCCCTAAGTCCTCCTTTGTGCCCTTCATTTGTTTTCAGTCCTTTTTATATCCTTCTTAAAGTCCTTCCTTGTGTCCTTACTTAGTTCCTTTTTATGTCCTTGTTAGTGCTATTATTATTTAATTTTTAAAGCTGCAATATAGTGTGTGTGTGTGTGTGTGTGTGTGTGTGTGTGTGTGGTGTGTGTGTGTGGTGTGTGTGTGTGTGTGTGGTGTGTGTGTGTGGTGTGTGTGTGTGTGTGTGTGTGTGTGTGTGTGTGTGTGTGTGTGTGTGTGTGTGTGTGTGTGTGTGTGTGTGTGTGTGTGTGTGTGTGTGTGTGTGTGTGTGTGTGTGTGTGTCCTGTGACGCGTTTTCCTCCAACATCATCAGCTCCAACAGACTGCTGGTACTGCAAGGCATTCTGGGAAACGGGGGGGGGGGATTCCAACGAGACACATCTGAGGAGGGGGATTCAGTAAATGAATACATGTCATCCTGTTATAAAGCCCTGAAGGGAACAGGAAAATAATAATATATAAATATATACAAAACTATATGTGAATCATTCCTTCTCACGTTTGGAATATTAAAGGTAGGGTAGGTAAGTTAGAGAAACCGGCTCGAGATACACTTTTTGTTATATTCCATGGAATGCTCTTAACATCCCGATAGCAATGAATATCTGAAGTGCTTTGACAAAAAATCCATTAACAAATATCATCTGTGGAAGCTGTAGTACTGTAAAAAGCACGACCAATCATCTGAGCCGGCCCGGCTAAAATAACTGGATGGCCTACCTGCCTGTCAGCCTTCCATCTGTGCACAAACTTATCTCGTGCCCTCATTGGTCATGTGCACGTTCGTGTGTGTTGGAGGAGGGGCTCTGAAGGAAGTGGCAGATTTTTTCCGGTTGTGTATTTTCAAATTCTAGCGATCTCGAGCCGGTTTCTCAAACTTACCTACCCCACCTTTAAGTTCATTTGTGATTTCAAAATCTATACAAATAAATGAAATGACCTCTCCTCTCCTCTCCTCTCCTCTCCTCTCCTCTCCTCTCCTCTCCTCTCCTCTCCTCTCCTCTCTCCTCACTCCTCACTAAATGAACATTATTTTCCCACTTTTTATTATAATAATCTTGATTTTGTGATTATATAAAGTATACATATAAGACTTTTCCAAGAGCCCCTACATTATTAAAATCTGTCCCTTTGTTCAGGCGACTTTCTGAAGGTCATGACTACAGAGAAAAAGACTCTCCCCTACAGACTGAATCATCCGGAGTGATGTTTGGTATTTTTATACAAACTCATGCAAAGAGGAACTTCTATTTGGGGCATTTCTTCAGGAAGTTTATTTTGACTCCAGTGAATCTGTGGAGACGAGTTGCTCTGGTGAAGAGAATGAGACCGCTATTATATATGATATGAGTATTAAGTAACATTACAACACTCAGTGACCGTTAACGTTCAAACCACGAAGAGCATTCCTCAGTTCAAACAAAGGACACACACACACACACACACACACACACACACACACACACACACACACACACACACACACACACACACACACACACACACACACACACACACTGTAACAGAGGGTCTCTGTTTGCAGTCGCTGACCCACTTCCTTTATCCCTCGTTCCACAGAATGGTGTCAGATTTTATTTGAGGAAAACATTTCAGAGGTCAAATAAATGGTACATGTTTAAGAAGATATAAAGGATAACAACCATATGTTCTTTACCAATTATTGATGTGTGTATCATGGCTGCCAGTGTGCTTCATGTCTTTATGCTAAGCTAGGCTAACACTGCCCTTAATCTCTGATCCACATATAAAATAAAAACTCCCTCTGCAGGGAACACAGGGATGTTAGCCTTTGGAGACCATTGACATGCACTAAAACCTATAACACACTATGAGGAGAGGCAACACCACAGAACTACTTAAACCATGTGTTATAATGTGTGTGTGATACTGAGGATAGTGTTTGGTGAGTGTTGTGTACCTGCCTCAGGACTGCAGATGGGAATGTGCTATTAGCTCAAATCTGGCATCATTCATCTCCTCTCTTTTCTGAGATGAATGTATTTGTATGCACGGTGCTCTTTGAAATACATACATAACAATAGAAAGCAGAATAAGGCCTCTTTCATTAACTCAACATCTAAGAAACTGTTGCAGGATCTCAACATATTGAAGTTGGTAGAGTCTACACTTCTTAATCTTTTAATGTATTTTCCACGTTTGGGTCTGACTAACACCTGGATCCTCACGCAGTCACACAGATCTTGTGACTGCATGTTAGACTCCTCCGGCAGCTCGGGGGTTAACAGGAAACATGACCTCACCGCTAACCGTCTGTTCTTCTCCTTCTGCATACTTCTCAGGCTCCTGCTGCTGCTGCTGGAGGATGTGAGAGAAGCTCAACTGAAAACACGGAAACACTGAAGGAAAGCAGACGGTGTTTGTGCCGGACGTCTGAAGGTAAAACCCTCCTGCTGCGTGCGTTTATAAAACCTCACATGTATTATCTCATAGAGGCTTGTGTCCGTTACTCCCTCTGTGCTCTGACAGCTGATCTGAGGCTCTGGAGAGTTTAAGACGTCACAAACAAGGAGGAAGGAAACATTTTATTACCTTGTATCGTCTAAAAACCTGCTCCAATGCCTTTCCTTAAAATCTAATAAACTGTACTTCGTCATCACCTCACTGTACTTAGTTATAATATTGATCTTCTCTTGCCCCTCCTCTTATTTCCGTACACTCTGTTGTTGTTGACAACATCTGTGGAAAGATGTTGTATTGGATAAATGAGATGAATTCAAACTCAGTGTATTCTCTCCAAACCTGCGCTCATTCTCATTTCATTTGTGTGTGAAATTTCTAACATTTTCGTAACATGTATACGAGTACAGCCCATTTAAAATGTACCTAAATATAAACACAACTAGTGAGGCACACTGTTGCCTTCAATGACATGTTCTTCTATTATCATGAACACACACACACTGTTGCTAGCCTTATCTCAGTCTCTCACACACACACACACACACACACACACACACACACACACACACACACACCGTCCTGCTGACACACTCAGAGCACAAAATGTGGATTCCTCCGCCGCTGAAAATAGTCCCTAGCAAACTTTCCTCTTGTTTGTTGTAAAACCTTAAAGTGGACCTATCATGCTATATTATAATAATATAGTGTAGGACCATACCTATATAAGGCATATTTATACTTTTTTTTTTTCAAAATACCAAACAGATCATGCATTTTAGCCATGCCTCATTTTGCTCAATTTGACATTTTTTAGATCTGTTTTTGCAAGGGCTGATTCAGTGAGAACAGCACCATCTAGAGGCCTGGCATATGTACTACAACGTCTCCAGCGCTTTCGAGCGGCAATGGCCGTGGCTGTCTCCTCCTGATTGGTGGAGTTGGCCCAATAGCCGTAGCGCCACTGTCCTGACGTCAGGACAGTGTTCAAATCTGGATCAGTTTTTATCAGATCCGTTGCAGCCCCTTTTTTTAGAGATTTGGGTATGGAGGAAAATAGAGAGGGTTTGTGTTTTCTGACACTTGGTGAGTTCCCTGGAACACCGGGGACACATATTCATGTAGAAAAGACGTACAAAAGTGCATTTTGCATGATAGGTCCCCTTTAAATATGAGCTAACTGAGAGTTTATGTGTGTTTTTAAAGAACCACAGACAGAGTCGAGACGTTCGGGAGTGTTTAGAGACGAACTAAAACATTGTTAGTGTTTTAGTTTTGTTTTTTGACCCGGTTTTTGTGTTTCTGGTTTCTTTCACAGATCCACAGAAGACACTCGGCTGCAGACAAACATGTCTCTGTTCTTCTCTGGAGCTGTGACAAGTACGTCACACACACGCACGCACACGCACGCGCACACACACGCACACGCGCACACACACACACACTATTATGTTATCAACTCGGTAAAGAGGCAGCAAAAAAAACCTTACTAAAAAGAAAATGGATATATAACTCCAAACATTTGCTGTTGTGAATGTGCCTTGATGCTGTCTAGAAAGATTAGCTTCTTTTATTACATTATAATACATTATTATTGTATCACACACACACATTGTTCTGCTATACTTGTGAGGACCATGCTTTGAAAACAGCTGTGAGGACATTCTGGTGGAGAAATGCTGTAATGATCCTGAGGGCCGATGCCTCCTGTTGTTCAGCACGAATCCTCTTCTTAAAAGCACATTGCATATACATGCTGTCACACTACCTGTACACGTTAACCTGAAGTAGTGCATGTGTGTCGTACTCCCTCCTCTGTTTGTGTCTTCGCTGCCGTTTGGTTTTATGAATTATCTTGAAGACAGCAGAGACCTCTTAGAGTCACATTCCTGCAGAGGGTTATCACCAGAGAGAATTTACTCAAGAGGTGTCGGCCCTCAGGAACGCAAACTGATGGAAGACAAGACGTCTTTATTTAGAAACAAAACACACACACACACACACACACACACACACGTTGCATCAGCTGTGTGTAAACCTATCTCTCTTGGTATCTGCTCTCCAGGTTCACCGACTAAACGAAGGCTACGGGGTCACTCCTGTCAGAGGTAAAAAACATCTGCTTCTCTAACATGTACCGTGTATTCATTTACTTTAAGTGTTAAATATATAAATATGTGTTTAAAGGCTATTTTGCTAAAACAACTAATGAAGCACAGCAACTTCTTCCAGGTTTAAGTCAGAAAATAAAGTTGTTCTCGCTACCCAGCATGGAGACGTTTTGATATGGGAACCGAACCACAAACATAAAAAGACTATTTATAATATTTAATATCATTATTATTTAGAATAACACTCGTGCCGTATTCTGAACTCCAACACGATATCCAGTGTCCGATTATTACCCTGATTATATCGTATATGTAGCAGCGAAAGAAAACATACATTTTAAGTCGTAATAAAACTGCCGCCGAGGAAAAGCCAGAAAGCACCTTTTACTTTACCCAGGGAATTATTATCCAACGTCCAGGTGAGAAGGTCGTTTCCTTCAGTTTATCACTCTGGGTTCGAATAATCCAAAACCCAACATATATACAGAACAATGGGTTCGCCTGTGTTTCCCATGGTACACAACCATTTGCTCAAAAGGTAGCACTTATGCACCAGCACTTAGTATGGTGTTGCTTGTTGAAGTAAATAAGTCAGCACTGATCTTGTTGTCCTTAGTTTGAGTCTTTGTGGTTCAAAGCACTTTTTGTCGCTTTGGATAAAAGTGCAGCTGAATGTATTTGATAGCTGATGCTGATGGCGCGTTTCCACTACACGGCCTCGCTCGGCCTCGCTCGGTATGGCTGGGCCTCGTTAGGACTGGCTCACTTTATGGCGCATTTCCATTACAGTTTAGGAACTGGGGCAGTATCTATAGTAACGCAGTGTAGGCGGAGCCGTGACGTCATCTTCAATGAGAACCCCAGAAAAACAACACAGCCGTTAGCTGTTAGCACTCAGAGCTCACAGCTCCTCATATCTGTTCAGAAACTAGACAAAAGTTAAACAAGTACAAACCACAGACTGCCTGTGTCATGGTGAATACAGTCGCTGCTTTATTTATGTCTGTATAGGCCGTTGTTGTGAGTGTGGACGGTCGGAGCATATACTGCGTTAGCTTAGCCAATCTCCATTTAGAAAACACGCATTTTAAAAGGTGTTTCGCCTGCCGTCTGTCTGCAGACTTGACAAAGCATTAATTCATGGTTTTTACTAACCGGTATCAGTATGTTGTTACTTCGGCATCATTTAGAAACGTGTATTACAATTAAATCACGATCAAATATGTCCATCTTGTTGTAGTTGTAGCCCCCTTGCCAGCGATGCTCTCTCTAGTTTAGCATACTCAGCCCGACTCAGCCTCGTTGTCTCTGGCCCTAGACCCGCGATTTTATGAGGCCAGAAAAACTGTGAATTAGGACCCGCCGGCCGGTACTAGGCCAAGTGGAAACGCAACCAAAGACGGGCCGCTGACGTCACAGCCCTCTTAAACCGGGCTGCGGGCTGTAGTGGAAACGCGCCATAACGGACTTTCTTGTGCTCAGCCTGGACGTGTTTGTAGCGATTGTCTGCATAGGTTATAATGCTAGTTCATTCTAATTAAAGCTTCTTATGCTAAATGTGCAACATCTGCAGGTTAGCATCCGGCAGCTTCTATGTGCTGGAGACCCTACTCTACATGTCTAACATAACGTTGAGTTACTCAGCTGGAAGCTAGATTATTAACGGTCTCTCTTTTAATACGTCTCCTCAGCCTGGACGTGTCCCTGCTCTCTCCCGACTCCTCGTACGTTTGTTACTCGTCTCTGGACGGCGACCCGAGCTCCTGCCGCCGCTCGCCTCGCCTCCTCACCAACGGATACTACAGCGTGACGGAGGACAGCTTCTCCTGGGACGAGAAGGGGAACGTCTCTCTGACCCCCTGCAAGACCAGCGTCTCCTACAAGGAGAACCTCGTCAGGTGGGACAGAAAGTCAAAGTATTGTCAACCTTTCAGTTTGTGTGTACCGACAGAGAGATCGAAATACCGTTTCCCACAATCCAGAATACAATAACAAAGATATATATGTATATCCTATATGCACACATTAAGACATAAATAAATACACAACAATCTATATATACAAAATAACAGTCACTTCAATAACTTTGAGAAATGTACATTAGTGCAAAGACTGTCCATAGCAGAGAAACAGACCATTTACACACAAACCCATATAACACAATGTGATGATTAAATATGCAAATGAGACACGATGTAATGCTTACAGTTGGTTACATTTAGGAGAAATCTGCAGACACAGACAGACAGAGGAAAATAACCTCCTGAATGTGGATTTGAGGTGTTTTCTTTCCACTAGTCTGAAGGAAGTTATGTCAGGGAAGCAAAGTACTGACCAGTGCATGAAACAACATGAAGGGTCTTTCCAACAATGAGCTCATTCTCAGCAGCCAGACCTTGAAATACTTCAGTTAGGTCATTCCCACAAATACTTTGTTCCTGTACTTAAGCACATGTTTCTGGTATCAGTACTTTACTCCACTACTTATTTTTCTGACCACTTTTTACTTTGACTTCTTACATGTTGAACACAAATACCTGTACTTTCTACTTCTTACATGTTGAACTCAAATACCTGTACTTTCTACTTCTTACATGTTGAACACAAATACCTGTACTTTCTACTTCTTACATGTTGAACACAAATACCTGTACTTTCTACTTCTTACATGTTGAACACAAATACCTGTACTTTCTACTTCTTACATGTTGAACACAAATACCTGTACTTTCTACTTCTTACATGTTGAACACAAATACCTGTACTTTCTACTTCTTACATGTTGAACACAAATACCTGTACTTTCTACTTCTTACATGTTGAACACAAATACCTGTACTTTCTACTTCTTACATGTTGAACACAAATACCTGTACTTTCTACTTCTCACATGTTGAACCCAAATACCTGTACTTTCTACTTCTCACATTTTCCAAACAGGCTGGTTCCTTTAGTTTGAATGTGTGTTTGGTGGCGTGATCATTATTATTTAGAGTCATTGCGTGCCTATTGATTTGAACACGATCCGTGTATCCATCATTTCCTGGTCTTCTCTAAAGAAGAGGGACCAATGAAAACGTTGTCATGTTGCCGTTGTTCAGCATGGAAACATTCATTAGCTAACAATGACATTATTGTTCTATTAATATAAAGGGAGGTCAGGTACTCTTTAAAACAGCTGCTAGTTATGGGTACTTTTTACTGAAGTACATTTCAAAGCCCTCTTTACTTTTACTTGAGTAAAGAAGTTTAGTCAGTACTTCTACTTTCACCAGAGTATTTTTAAACACGAGTATCTGTACTTCTACTTCAGTAAAGGATGTGTGTACTTTTGCCCTCTCTGTTGATCATTGGTGCTCGAGTTCACTTCTTCTTCTTCTCTCAGGGTTTTCCGGCGGCGGCGGCGTCCTCGAGGCTCTCTGGCTCGCCTGCTGAGCGACGTGACGGAGAGCTGTCAGTCGTGGCTGGACGAGAAGGTCTTCAGAGGCGTCTTCGGTACCGCACAGAACCAGAACCAGAACCAGGAACAAGACCTGGACCTGGATATGGACCTGGATCTAGATCTGGATCTGGACCAGGCCCGGAGCAGCCGGGACGAGAAGACCTGGTTGAACAGCACCGAGCTGGAGGACAGCCGCAGCTTCACCTACGGTAACAGATCCAGGATTCACTGCTGAGATTTAAGATTGAAAGGTTCTCACAAATGAAAGATTAAAGTCTCCACGATGTAACATCCATCTTTTTATATGCAACACAAACTCTACTTTTACCAGATATCCATTTTAATTAGCACAAAAAGTTTGGTATTATTTTCTGAACTTCATCTATTTTAGTTTGAAATGTATAACTTCCTGTCCCCTGGTCTGGAGGTCAATGGTTACCAACATTAGCCACCTTTAGCTTAGCGGTGGTGACGTGAAGTCATGTGACCGTGCTGTAGTTCCTTTATAGCCCAACATTAGCCGCCTTTAGCTTAGCGGTGGTGACGTGACGTCATGTGACCGTGCTGTAGTTCCTTTATAGCCCAACATTAGCCACCTTTAGCTTAGCGGTGGTGACGTGAAGTCATGTGACCGTGCTGTAGTTCCTTTATAGCCCAACATTAGCCACCTTTAGCTTAGCGGTGGTGACGTGAAGTCATGTGACCGTGCTGTAGTTCCTTTATAGCCCAACATTAGCCTCCTTTAGCTTAGCGGTGGTGACGTGAAGTCATGTGACCGTGCTGTAGTTCCTTTATAGCCCAACATTAGCCACCTTTAGCTTAGCGGTGGTGACGTGAAGTCATGTGACCGTGCTGTAGTTCCTTTATAGCCCAACATTAGCCTCCTTTAGCTTAGCGGTGGTGACGTGAAGTCATGTGACCGTGCTGTAGTTCCTTTATAGCCCAACATTAGCCGCCTTTAGCTTAGCGGTGGTGACGGGAAGTCATGTGACCGTGCTGTAGTTCCTTTATAGCCCAACATTAGCCGCCTTTAGCTTAGCGGTGGTGACGGGCACGACTATATGCTGGATACTTTAACCTCCTCCTCATTTCTTCTTCTATATTGCATTAATAGTCTTGCACTGTGACCCACTGTTGAAAAGTGGTTTGCTACACTGAGCTCTATTGCACTTAAAATATATTTATACTTGTTTCTCTGTCTTTCAGACCACACTGAGATCCCGCCCCCCTCCTGAAAAAGTGGCCCCGCCCCCTAAGATTCTCATCCAGGAGGAGATTTGCTCTGAGATCTGTCAATCAAAGTTTACTCAATCACATGGCGGCCTCTCTGAAGTCCCGCCTCCTTCACCCTTCTACACCAATAGCTGCTGTCCGGCCTCACCTGAGCACACAGGTAACTGAAGCATTTCTAAATAACCCGAGTGCCAATAGCAAAAGTATTTTATCCTATTTTTTATTTTCTTGGCTTTTTAAATCACTAAATGTGGTTAAATGTCATTTTGTGTTTCTGTTGCACTTTATCTGAATGTTTTAATGTGTTTTAATTAAATTCCTTGAGTTATAATGTGCTTTATAAATAAACCTGCCTTGCCTTTCAACCTGTTATATTACTTTACAACCATTTCTTTCTATTCGATTAAAAAAAAAAATTAGGATAAAGAGAGTTTTGTTCTGTAAAAGTATTTCAAATATTATTAGAAATGACAAAAAATGTAATATTTAATCATTAATGTTTTTGTCTGTTTGTGTTTCAGGTTTAACGATGAAGGCCCTCCTCCTTTTCATCTTCACCCTCTTCCTCTTCACCGCTCTATACTCGGGGTAAATCTCTATTTCTCAGCATCATTTTTTATATTTTCAAATGCAAATCTGTGTAAAAACATACTTATTTATTTAAATATATATGTAGAAATCTTGAAATTGACAGCACTTAAGATTTTTAGTCTTAAAATCCAATATAATGGGCTGTTTTTTGGTTCAACAATAAAATGTGTTTTTTCTTTACTCTTGTCTCCCTGCAGGGGTCTTTTGTGGAGCGCCACCGTCACGTCTACTGTGTTCGTGATGATCACATCATTTATGCGTAAGTTGTTGAACAGATATTTTGCACGTAAATGAGACTTAAAGGTGGGGTAGGTAATTTTGGAGAAACCAGCTCGAGATCGCTAGAATTTGAAAATACACAGCCGGAGAAAACCTGCCACTTCCTCACAGAGCCCCTCCTCCAACACACACGAACGCGCACATGACCAATGAGGGCACCAGATAAGTTTGTGCACAGATGGAAGGCTGACAGGCAGGTAGGCCATCCAGTTATTTTAGCCGGGCCGGCTCAGATGATTGGTCGTGCTTTTTACAGTACTACGGCTTCCACAGATGACATTTTATAATGGATTTTTTGTCAAAGCACTTCAGATATTCATTGCTATCGGGATGTTAAGAGCAACTTACCTACCCCACCTTTAAAGGTAGGGTAGGTAAGTTTGAGAAACCGGCTCGAGATACACTTGTTGTTATATTCCATGGAATGCTCTTAACATCCAGATAGCAATGAATATCTGAAGTGCTTTGACAAAAAATCCATAAACAAATATCATCTGTGGAAGCCGTAGTACTGTAAAAAGCACGACCAATCATCTGAGCCGGCCCGGCTAAAGTAACTGGATGGCCTACCTGCCTGTCAGCCAGCATTACCCATAACCCCCTCTGTTTCAGCCCTGTTTCCAAAGGACTGATTCTCTGTCTGTTACTTTAGATGAAAATAAGGAGCCCCTCCCCACGCCCCTCTGAGAGAGATTTGGTTACAAAGAACTCAATGGTGCTCTAGGAGGAGATTCAGGAGATTCAGGTGATAAGGTGGGGGGGGGGGGGGGTTACCTTGGTTGCTGATTGGCTAATGCCAAAACATCGTTATGACATCATAAAGTGGCCAAAATCTGATCAGCTCATTTTCAGACAGGTTTTTATAAAAATGGATCAGGACAAAAAGAGAGAGAATCTTTGAGTCTCTTTCCACAGAGGGGACACGTGTTGATGAAGAAGAGACGTGAAGAAGAGGGGACACATGTTGATGAAGAAGAGACATGAAGAAGAGGGGACACATGTTGATGAAGAAGAGACATGAAGAAGAGGGGACACATGTTGATGTAGAAGAGACATGAAGAAGAGGGGACACATGTTGATGAAGAAGAGACATGAAGAAGAGGGGACACATGTTGATGTAAAAGAGACATGAAGAAGAGGGGACACATGTTGATGTAGAAGAGACATGAAGAAGAGGGGACACATGTTGATGTAGAAGAGGCATGAAGAAGAGGGGACACATGTTGATGAAGAAGAGACATGAAGAAGAGGGGACACATGTTGATGTAAAAGAGACATGAAGAAGAGGGGACACATGTTGATGTAGAAGAGACATGAAGAAGAGGGGACACATGTTGATGTAGAAGAGACATGAAGAAGAGGGGACACATGTTGATGAAGAAGAGACATGAAGAAGAGGGGACACATGTTGATGTAGAAGAGACATGAAGAAGAGGGGACACATGTTGATGAAGAAGAGACATGAAGAAGAGGGGACACATGTTGATGTAGAAGAGACATGAAGAAGAGGGGACACATGTTGATGTAGAGGAGACATGAAGAAGAGGGGACACATGTTGATGAAGAAGAGACATGAAGAAGAGGGGACACATGGTGATGTAGAAGAGACATGAAGAAGAGGGGACACATGTTGATGTAGAAGAGACATGAAGAAGAGGGGACACATGTTGATGAAGAAGAGACATGAAGAAGAGGGGACACATGTTGATGTAGAGGAGACATGAAGAAGAGGGGACACATGTTGATGAAGAAGAGACATGAAGAAGAGGGGACACATGGTGATGTAGAAGAGACATGAAGAAGAGGGGACACATGTTGATGTAGAAGAGACATGAAGAAGAGGGGACACATGTTGATGAAGAAGAGACATGAAGAAGAGGGGACACATGTTGATGTAGAAGAGACATGAAGAAGAGGGGACACATGTTGATGTAGAAGAGACATGAAGAAGAGGGGACACATGTTGATGTAGAAGAGACATGAAGAAGAGGGGACACATGTTGATGAAGAAGAGACATGAAGAAGAGGGGACACATGTTGATGTAGAGGAGACATGAAGAAGAGGGGACACATGTTGATGAAGAAGAGACATGAAGAAGAGGGGACACATGGTGATGTAGAAGAGACATGAAGAAGAGGGGACACATGTTGATGTAGAAGAGACATGAAGAAGAGGGGACACATGTTGATGAAGAAGAGACATGAAGAAGAGGGGACACATGTTGATGTAGAAGAGACATGAAGAAGAGGGGACACATGTTGATGTAGAAGAGACATGAAGAAGAGGGGACACATGTTGATGAAGAAGAGACATGAAGAAGAGGGGGACACATGTTGATGTAGAAGAGACATGAAGAAGAGGGGACACATGTTGATGTAGAAGAGACATGAAGGAGAGGGGACACATGTTGATGTAGAAGAGACATGAGGAAGAGGGGACACATGTTGATGTAGAAGAGACATGAAGAAGAGGGGACACATGTTGATGTAGAAGAGACATGAAGAAGAGGGGACACATGTTGATGAAGAAGAGACATGAAGAAGAGGGGACACATGGTGATGTAGAAGAGACATGAAGAAGAGGGGACACATGTTGATGTAGAAGAGACATGAAGAAGAGGGGACACATGTTGATGAAGAAGAGACATGAAGAAGAGGGGACACATGTTGATGTAGAAGAGACATGAAGAAGAGGGGACACATGTTGATGTAGAAGAGACATGAAGAAGAGGGGACACATGTTGATGTAGAAGAGACATGAGGAAGAGGGGACACATGTTGATGTAGAAGAGACATGAAGAAGAGGGGACACATGTTGATGAAGAAGAGACATGAAGAAGAGGGGACACATGTTGATGAAGAAGAGACATGAAGAAGAGGGGACACATGTTGATGAAGAAGAGACATGGAGAAGAGGGGACACATGTTGATGTAGAAGAGACATGAGGAAGTGTATAAAGCATAATATGTTACCTGTATCAGAGTATTTTCACGTTAGAAAATATGTGTTAAAATATGTTTTTCTTTCAGTTTTGACAAAATCGGGTCCGCTGGGCGAGTGGAGGAGGGCGAAGACGGAGGTGAGTCTGAAATGAAATACATTTTCTTTAATTATGTCGACTGGCCGCGTGGAAATAACAACAACTAATTGAATTCTGTTTTTCAGGACATCACATCAAGAAACGAGTAAAGCAGCGTCCGTTCCTCTGCGATGTGAAACTGGAAGAAAGGTGTAGAAATATATTTAACATTTCACCGTCTGCATGTTCGCTTAACGTGAGCTCCGGAAAACATTTCACAGCAAACACGCTGAAGCTCTGACTGATAATGAAAACGTTTTGAAAGTAGAAACTTGAAAGAAGTGTCAAGAAAAAGGGTTAAACTTAAAATAAATCGAACGCTTTTTATACATTCAACCATTGAATCAAATGCAAAACGTGCGGGACGTTTGTTACGATTTTTCCTGATGGCTTTTTTAAAGTTTCCTGCGATTTAAAAAAAAGAAATTGAACAGGAAATGAGTTTAAAAGCCGTGTTTGTTGCTATAAATCTGAAGGAGCTCATTTACAAGGTGACACATAAATATATATTGAATATAAAAAAACATACCTGATGTATTTTTGAAATACTGTAAGTGTATCTATCATTGATGACGATGTGAACTTGGCTTTTTTGAGATGTCCAAAGTGAACAAATTCAGCTGACGCCTCACTTCTTTTCAAAATATTTTTTATTAAAGAAAAACTAAAAACGCACATCTGAAAATCTACCTGGAAGAAAAAGTGCTTTTTGAAAGAGTTTTATTCCAAAATCAAGAGATACACATTCAAAGCTAAATATATTGAAAAAAAGAAAATTCATGTTAGTCCTTTTACATCAAAGCTCAGATTCCATTTTGAATTTCTGATTTCCTAGAAAGATTTCTGAAAAAGTGGTTTTCTGCAATATCTTTGAGTTATTCAGTTCCTCCTGAGTGCTATTATATATATATATATATATATATATATATATATATATATATATATATATATATATATATCAGATAGCCCAGGTATATATATATATATATATATATATATATATATACCTGGGCTATCTGATACCAGGTATATATATATATATATATATATATATATATATATATATATATATATATATATATATATATATATATATATCAGATAGCCCAGGTAACCCAGAAATGGAAGAGCTTGCTGAAACAACAAGAACAGCTTAACCAGCTGACACAGGGTCTACTAGCTTTACAGACCCCTAAGCCCCCTGCTACACTGCAACGCCCAGCCCATGTTATATGTAGACGTTGTCAGAAGCCAGGTCATTATGCCAGGGAGTGTGGTAATGGTCAGGTTGAGTCACAGGGACAGCAGTTGAGGGCCCCATTGTCCACCACAGCAACCTCTGTGGCACAGGAGGCGGGAAACAGTTTGTAAAATGCAGCATGATAAAGATATGTTTAGTTTGAGCAGATTCATTCATACTGATTGTTAAAACTCATCGAAAGTAAACTTGATTGAAACCGTCAGAGGATTAAATAAATCCACTTATGTGTGCAGCTTTAACAGTAAAAGACCTCGTGAATTTCTGTATTTTAAATATGAAATAATCAAGTTTTGGTGCGAAACTCTTCTGCTGATAAGTGCCTTTTAATATCAGCCAGCAGTGCAGAACATATTACAGGGAAGAATTAAAGAGGCCATATTCTGCTCATAGTAGTATTTAGTGCCTCTACTGCGACTCTCTGTTGTGATTGGTCAACCAGCTTAGAGATGTCCCGCCCCTTAACCTATCACGTACAATGTGTTGGAGAGCCAATAGGAGTGCAAGTATTCCATAGTGATGTCACTTTGTTCCGGAAGAAAACGATTTTTTTTTCTATAGGGAACACAGGGATTTTGGCCTTTGCAGACCGTTTACATGCACTAAAACCTATAGAAGACACTGTGACAGGTGGGAAGGAAACCCCAAAAAGCAGAGTAGGGCCCCTTTAAAAGCTACATTGCTGCTAAAAACATGAAACAGTGTTAAAATAAAGATGACTGTTTGATTTATCCTGGAGTCTAGGGACAGTTTTAAGATCTCTAAACTAAAAATATGTTGTAAATTTAACAAATAATAGTTGGGATGAAAATGAAAATACTCAAGTAAAGTACCTCAAAATCATACTGAAGTACAGCACTTGAGTAAATGTACATTCCACCGCTGGCCATGTTGAATACTTTTAAAAAATAATCACGTGGCCTCGCTCTGGAGGAAAACAAGAATAGGTGTGTTCAGCGGGAAAAGAAGTGCGGCTATTAAATGTAAAGAAAAACAAAGTACGGTAGCTTTATAAGGTTTCGACTTTATAAAGCTTATTTTTATTCAATTTTAAATCATGTTTGGACCTCAAAGTATGCCAAGAGTTTGTCTTTCGAAGAATCTAAATGTTTAAAATGTCTTTGAATGAATGGGAAACATTTGATATTTAGTTGTAACAGTCTGATAATCCCGCCAAGTCAAATAGGAGTTACTAGATTGTTAATATCGTTGTATTTTACGTTCTGTTACACAAAGGTATTCATATTTAGGACTACATTTAATAATGCTGGTGTGACTGGTTGTTTAATGGTCTTTTTATTCAGTGTAAATCTAGAATAATGTGTGTTTTATTAACGCAAAGTGCCAAATGTGTAGAAATACGACGAGTGGGTAAATCAAATTTAACAAAAATCAATCTTTATTAGTGATATTTGTGATACTGCTCTGCGTTGTTTGGCATTTTAAAGCTGCAATTATGAATAGTTTGTATTAGAATGCACTGTGTAATGACCCCCTGCTGCTTAAAGAATATTTTAAGCTATACCTTTTGGGGGGTTCATTGTTGATAATATGACCTGGAAGTGTTTTTTAGGAGTGGTGGAGCCCAAAAAACGAGATAAAAATTGGACTTAAATTCATCAAATGGACACAAAGGTCGCTCGGAAATAATGTAACATGCAATGCTTGCTCAGCTTCCCTCTGGTGGTTGGAAGCATTTTGACGCAGCTTTAAATGACCAATGTTAAATGTGTTTTTTTATATAATAGACTTTTACGATGTGGTGTCAAATATTGAATTTACTGCAAAAGCCTTTCTGTGACAAAAACTCATTTACCGTAATATGATTTTTCTGGATGAATCAAACCTTAAGATAAGCTCTGATGTGTGACATCTATTGTTCATTGTGTTATAAATATATATTTCATTGTTTCTTTCCATTGACTGCACTTTTTTCCAAAAGGTGGAAATGTTATATTCTGCTTGAGAAGGCACTTATTATATCTGTTTTATTTCATTGTTTGAATGTTATACAAGTCAGAAAACTGTAAAAACAACTTTAAACGAGGCGCAAACTAGATATTACATTAAAATAAAGGCATTTAAGTGATAAATGTGCATTAAAATCAGTAAATACTCTAGATTTAGGACTGATTTCTATGAGTAGTAGTGGCCCTTGTCGGCCTGTTGATGGCGCTGCGTTTTAAGGTTTCATTTTCACAGTATTTTGAAAATTGTCTGATATTTTCCAGTTAACCTGGAAATGTTCCGTTTTACAGTATGTGAATTTAAATGATGTTTATCATCCATTTAATCCTGTTACAAATAAATAAATAAGGCGTAAAGACAGATTTCCATTGTGGTCCTTTTATTTGTTCATAAAGAAATATTGAATTCGTCTAAATTGTTGTTAATTTTATGTAAAATGTTTGCTGATTCCAAAATAGGACTAACACAGTTAACCTTCACCTGAAGTCGAATTGGTAAACTCACCATTTCAATCATATGTTTCACAGAATGATGGTAAGAATTACCTTTAAAGAGTCCTCTCCTGCTGATGTTCAGGTGTATATCAGTATGTAGTGTCTCTACTTTAAAGAGTCCTCTCCTGCTGATGTTCAGGTGTATATCAGTAAGTAGTGTCTCTACTTTAAAGAGTCCTCTCCTGCTGATGTTCAGGTGTATATCAGTATGTAGTGTCTCTACTTTAAAGAGTCCTCTCCTGCTGATGTTCAGGTGTATATCAGTAAGTAGTGTCTCTACTTTAAAGAGTCCTCTCCTGCTGATGTTCAGGTGTATATCAGTATGTAGTGTCTCTACTTTAAAGAGTCCTCTCCTGCTGATGTTCAGGTGTATATCAGTATGTAGTGTCTCTACTTTAAAGAGTCCTCTCCTGCTGATGTTCAGGTGTATATCAGTATGTAGTGTCTCTACTTTAAAGAGTCCTCTCCTGCTGATGTTCAGGTGTGTATCAGTATGTAGTGTCTCTACTTTAAAGAGTGCTCTCCTGCTGATGTTCAGGTGTATATCAGTATGTAGTGTCTCTACTTTAAAGAGTCCTCTCCTGCTGATGTTCAGGTGTATCAGTATGTAGTGTCTCTACTTTAAAGAGTCCTCTCCTGCTGATGTTCAGGTGTATATCAGTATGTAGTGTCTCTACTTTAAAGAGTCCTCTCCTGCTGATGTTCAGGTGTATATCAGTATGTAGTGTCTCTACTTTAAAGAGTCCTCTCCTGCTGATGTTCAGGTGTATATCAGTATGTAGTGTCTCTACTTTAAAGAGTCCTCTCCTGCTGATGTTCAGGTGTATATCAGTATGTAGTGTCTCTACTTTAAAGAGTCCTCTCCTGCTGATGTTCAGGTGTATATCAGTATGTAGTGTCTCTACTTTAAAGAGTCCTCTCCTGCTGATGTTCAGGTGTATATCAGTATGTAGTGTCTCTACTTTAAAGAGTCCTCTCCTGCTGATGTTCAGGTGTATATCAGTATGTAGTGTCTCTACTTTAAAGAGTCCTCTCCTGCTGATGTTCAGGTGTATATCAGTATGTAGTGTCTCTACTTTAAAGAGTCCTCTCCTGCTGATGTTCAGGTGTATATCAGTATGTAGTGTCTCTACTTTAAAGAGTCCTCTAATATTTTTAAGATTTCCCAAAAAAAGTGATGATTATTGTTCATGAATCTTTGTGAGACTCTTTTTTTTATTATTAGAAAATGACATGAGAATTATAATAAAACACATCTAGAATCAGTTCTGTTTCCTCAACATTTCAACAACTCTCAATGTAATAAAGTAGATTTATTTTTCCAACATGATTGAATAATTTAAATTCATAACATAAAACAGATGGTGGATTCAAGCAGAAACTCTTAATGCTATTAAAGTTTATATTTGTTTTGAGTTTCTCAGTCTGGGGAAACCTTTTATTTTTTCTCTCAGGATGTTGTTCTTAAAATAACACGTTGAACTTTACCGCCCTTGCTTAAAGGGGACCTATCATGCAAAATGCACTTTTGTACGTCTTTTATACATGAATCTGTGTCCCCGGTGTTCCAGGGAACTCACCAAGTGTCAGAAAACACAACCCTCTCTATTTTCCTCCATACCCAAATGGATCTGATCAAAACTGATCCAGATTTGAACACTGTCCTGACGTCAGGACGGTGGCGCTACGGCTATTGGGCCAACTCCACCAATCAGGAGGAGACAGCCACGGACATTGCCGTTCGAAAGCGCTGGAGACGCTGTAGTACATATGCCAGGCCTGTAGATGGTGCTGTTCTCACAGAATCAGCCCTTGCTAAAACAGGGGTAAAAAAGTGCAAATTGAGCAAAATGATGCATGGCTAAAATGCATGATCTGTTTGGTATTTTGAAAAAAATAAAGTATAAATATGCCTTATATAGGTATGGTCCTACACTATATTATTATAATATAGCATGATAGGTCCACTTTAAATATCCCCCGTGCAAAGGATTGTGGGTAAGAAAAGCCAGAAAGCATGCTGCCAGATCCAGTGCCTGGATACGGGTCCAGGTTCCTGCCGTGCGGACTGAGGCTGGAAAAAGGAGTCTGTTTTTATGATGGTCCTTGGTCTTGGAATGACCTTCAATCACGCCTCAAACTGAGGGCACTTGTCACTATAGCCTGTTTTAAATTGAAGTTGTCTGAAGTCCTTGTAGTAGTAAGTAGTGCACCTTTCTTACTGTCCCAAATGTGCACAATGTAGTGACTGCTTTTCGTCAGCATTGTAAATGAGATTTTATCTCAATGCTTTTATCTGGTTAAATAAAGGTTAAATAAATACTTAAGTCATTATACTTTTTTAATTTGCTGAGTGAGGGTCGATTCACTCCGGGGCCGTAGTTTGGACACCTCTGGATTGCACACATGATATATCTTTGTCCAGAATACTAAATGTTCCTCTCTTGTTCGTCCCTTCTCCATCACTGTAGTGTTTCCTCGAACCTCTTCTCTGCGGATAAAGGTTGTCATGATTTAAAATAATCTTGTAAATCCCCTTTGAATGGTGCTATGGATTACACACACGATATCTTGTCCAGAATACGACGTGTTCCTCTCTTTTTTGGCCTGCGTACCTCTTCTCTGCGGGACCATCTAATGGCGCGTTTCCACTACAGCGCGGAGCACGGTTTAAGAGGGCTGTGACGTCAGCGGCCCGTCTTTGGTTGCGTTTCCACTTGGCCTAGTACCGGCCGGCGGGTCCTAATTCACAGTTTTTCTGGCCTCATAAAATCGTGGGTCTAGGGCCAGAGACAACGAGGCTGAGTCGGGCTGAGTATGCTAAACTAGAGAGAGGAGCGCTGGCAAGGGGGCTACAACTACAACAAGATGGACATATTTGACCGTGATTTAATTGTAATACACGTTTCAAAATGATGCCGAAGTAACAACATACTGATACCGGTTAGTAAAAACCATGAATTAATGCTTTGTCAAGTCTGCAGACAGACGGCAGGTGAAAAACCTTTTAAAATGCGTGTTTTCTAAATGGAGATTGGCTAAGCTAACGCAGTATATGCTCCGACCGTCCACACTCACAACAACGGCCTATACAGACATAAATAAAGCAGCGACTGTATTCACCATGACACAGACAGTCTGTGGTTTGTACTTGTTTAACTTTTGTCTAGTTTCTGAACAGATATGAGGAGCTGTGAGCTCTGAGGGCTAACAGCTAACGGCTGTGTTGTTTTTCTGGGGTTCTCATTGAAGATGACGTCACGGCTCCGCCTACACTGCGTTACTATAGATACTGCCCCAGTTCCTAAACTGTAATGGAAATGCGCCATAAAGTGAGCCAGGCCTAACGAGGCCTAGCCATACCGAGCGAGGCCGAGCGAGGCCGTGTAGTGGAAACGCGGCATAATGGGACCTTATTTCCGAAAAGAGAGTTTGAAAGTTTATGTCAATTAAAACAACATGTTGTCCCCGTGTTCCTCTCTTTTTCGTGCCTTTTCCAACACTATAGTGTTTCTGCAAACCTCTTCTCCACGGATGAGTTCATGGGACATTATTTAATCTTTTGCTATGGATTACACACCTGATATCTGTCAATATAAAAGAAAATGTTGTCCCCGTGTTCCTCTCTCTTTCGTCCCTTCTCCATCACTGTAGTGTTTCCTCGAACATCTTCTCGGCGGCTAAAATCATGGGACCTTATTTCCAAAAAGAGAGTTTGAAAGTTAATGGTTGTCAATAATCTTTCCAATCCCGTTTGAATTGTGTTATGGATTACACACATGATATATTTTTCCAGAATACGACGTGTTCCTCAAGTTTTCGTCCCTTCTCCATCACGGTAGCGTTTCCTCGAACCTCTTCTCGGTGACGTGTTCGTTGACGTGTTCGGTGACGTGTTCGTTGACGTGTTCGTTGACGTGTTCGTTGACGTGTCTCCTCAAATGGCTCCCGGAGATGAACGTCTTCCCGCAGAAGGAACACCTGAACTGTTTGCAGTCGGTGTGCACGCTCATGTGGACCTTCAGCGACCCGGACTGAGCGAATCGTTTCCCGCAGTGAGCGCAGCCGTATCGTTTCTCTCCTGTGTGGACGCTCTGATGCCGCTTCAGGTTGCTGGAGTCGGAGAAACGCGTCCCGCAGAGCGAGCAGACGAACGGTTTCTCACCTGCAGGAGGAAACATCACAGATTAAAGGTCACCTATTATGTAAAATCCTAGTCTTCATGTCTCTTCTACATCAACATGTGTCCCCTCTTCTTCATGTCTCTTCTACATCAACATGTGTCCCCTCTTCTTCATGTCTCTTCTACATCAACATGTGTCCCCTCTTCTTCATGTCTCTTCTACATCAACATGTGTCCCCTCTTCTTCATGTCTCTTCTACATCAACATGTGTCCCCTCTTCTTCATGTCTCTTCTACATCAACATGTGTACCCCTCTTCTTCATGTCTCTTCTACATCAACATGTGTCCCCTCTTCTTCATGTCTCTTCTACATCAACATGTGTCCCCTCTTCTTCACTGTCTCTTCTACATCAACATGTGTCCCCTCTTCTTCACTGTCTCTTCTACACTCAACATGTGTCCCCTCTTTCTTACATGTCTCTTCTACATCAACATGTGTCCCCTTTTCTTCATGTCTCTTCTACATCAACCATATGTCCCCTTTTCTTCATGTCTCTTCTACATCACCATGTGTCCCCTCTTCTTCATGTCTCTTCTACATCAAAGTGTCCCCTCTTCTTCATGTCTCTTCTACATCAACATGTGTCCCCCCTTCTTCATGTCTCTTCTACATCAACATGTTGTCCCCTCTTCTTCATGTCTCTTCTACATCAACATGTGTCCCCTCTTCTTCATGTCTCTTCTACATCAACATGTGTCCCCTTTCTTCATGTCTCTTCTACATCAACATGTGTCCCCTCTTCTTCATGTCTCTCTAACATCACATGTGTCCCCTCTTCTTCATGTCTCTTCTACATCAACATGTGTCCCCTTTCTTCATGTCTCTTCTACATCAACATGTGTCCCCTCTTCTTCATGTCTCTTCTACATCAACATGTGTCCCCCTCTTCTTCATGTCTCTTCTACATCAACATGTGTCCCCCTTCTTCATGTCTCTTCTACATCAACATGTGTCCCCTCTTCTTATGTCTCTTCTTCATCAACATGTGGTCCCCTCTTCTTCCTGTCTCTTCTTCATCAACATGTGTCCCTCTTCTTCATGTCTCTTCTACATCAACATGTGTCCCTCTTCTTCATGTCTCTTTCTACATCAACATGTGTCCCCTCTTCTTCATGTCTCTTCTACATCAACATGTGTCCCCTCTTCTCATGTCTCTTCTACATCACATGTGTCCCCTCTCTTCATGTCTCTTCTCATCAACATGTGTCCCCTTTCTTCCTGTCTCTTCTACATCAACATGTGTCCCCTCTTCGCCATGTCTCTTCTACATCAACATGTGTCCCCTCTTCTCATGTCTCTTCTACATCAACATGTGTCCCACCTCTTCTTCATGTCTACCTAGCTTCATCAACATGTGTCCCCTCTTCTTCATGTCTCTTCTACATCAACATGTGTCCCCTCTTCTTCCATGTCTCTTCTACATCAAACATGTGTCCCCTCTTCTCCATGTCTCTTCTACATCAACATGTGTCCCTCTTCTCCAGTCTCTTCTACATCAAACATGTTGTGTCCCTCTCTCATGTCTTCCATGTCTCTTACTTCATCAACATGTGTCCCCTCTTCTTCCATGGGTCTCTCTCATCAAACATGTGTCCCCTTCTCTCGTCCATTGTCTCTTCCTACAATCACATGTGGTTCCCACCTCTCTTTCCATGTCTCTTCTACATCAACATGTGTCCCTCTTCTTCACTGTCTCTTCTACATCAACATGTGTCCCCTCTTCTTCATGTCTCTTCTTACATCAACATGTGTCCCCTCTTCTTCAGGTCTCTTCTACATCAACATGTGTCCCCATCTTCTTCCATGTCTCTTCTACATCAACATGTGTCCCCTCTTCTTCATGTCTCTTCTACATCAACATGTGTCCCCTCTTCTTCATGTCTCTTCTACATCAACATTGTGTCCCCTCTTCTTCATGTCTCTTCTCCATCAACATGTGTCCCCTCTTCTTCATGTCTCTTCTACATCAACATGTGTCCCCTCTCTTGCATTCATGTCTCTTCTACATCAACATGTGTCCCCTCTATGTCTCTCTACCTTCAACATGTGTACCCTTCCTTTTCATGTCTCTTCTACCATCAACATGTGTCCCCCTCTTCTTCATGTCTCTTCTTCATCAACATGTGTCCCCTCTTCTTCATGTCTCTTCTAATCAACATGTGTCCCCTCTTCTCCATTGTCTCTTCTACATCAACAATGTGTCCCCTCTTCTTCATGTCCTTCTACATCAACATGTGTCCCCTCTTCTTCATGTCTCTTCTACATCAAACATGTGTCCCCTCTGTGGAAAGAGACTCTGAAAGTTCAGGAACAAAGATCCTCTCTCTTTTTGTCCTGATCCATTTCTATAAAAAACCTGTCTGAAAAATGAGCTGATCAGATTTTGGCCACTTATGATGTCATAACGATGTTTTGTCTTGTTGTAACCATTAGCCAATCACCAACCAAGGTAACCCCCCCCCCCCCCCCATGCATTCTTTGCCTAACTCATTATTTTCTCTAGACAGCAGCTGATTTTAAGTTGCTACGACAACCCCCTCACCTGTGTGGACCCTCAGGTGAGTCTTCAGGTTCTTCAGGCAGGCCATAGTCTTCCCACAGAAAGTGCAGAAGAACTGTTTCCCCTGCTGGCCGTTTCCTTCGTCAGTAACTATATGAAAACTGTTCGAATCCGACGTCGCAGAAACGCTGTTGCTGGCGTACGAGCAGCTGGGATCCTCCCCCAAAGGATTGTGGGTAATGAGCGGGGGGTGTTGGAGCTGTGGTTCGAATATCAGGCAGTCAGACCCTCCGCTGACCTCTGACCTCTGGCAGGAAGAGCTGACAACTTCCTTCGCTACTTCCTGTTTGGTCAGAGGGGGCGGGGCTTCCTTCTCTGTGTGTCCGTCAACACCTGGAGAAAATAAGACCAGAATTGAACACTTTCACAAACTTTATCGAGTGCTTTTTTATGATTCAAATGATAGTAACACTTTAATTTAGCGTGAGAACGGCTTCAAAATGTTACAGTGTACTAAAAAATCGTATGTCAAATGCTCTAATCCAGGGGTGTCAAACTCAAGGCCCGGGGGCCAAATCCGGCCCGCGACTTCATTTTATGTGGCCCCACAAGAGCTTGCAAAGAATATAATATGTTTATTATACGGTTACATGCTACTTTACAGAAGCACGTTGCCCATAAACGACATGTCCCACAATGCATCTCAAATTTGACTTTTTCTCAGAATTTGACTTTTTTTGTCCAAATATGCCTTTTTTCTTAGAATTAGCCTTTTTCTCATAAATAGATTTTTTTTTCAAAATGTCACTTCTCTTTTTCAAAATGTCACAATCAATGTTTTTCCAGAATGTGGCTTTTCTTTTAAAATCATATTGTGACATTCTTACTGAAGAGACTTGCAATTATTTGCTCTAGACTTCTGCTTTCAGACGTAGATAATTATGAAGTTATATTAATTAATGATATAGTCTTAAAGTTACAACCGGCCCTTTGAGTGCAACCATAATGCTGATGTGGCCCGTGATGAAATTGAGTTTGACACCCCTGCTCTAATCTATAAATCTCTGTCAAATTGCTCAAATTGCAATTTCTTTATGGAAATATGTGACCAGGTATCGTCTTAGATTTTGGATATTATGTCCAATAAAAAGAGAGTTTATTATAACTGGACTCACGGTGCGGCTCAGTTTGGGAACAGAACTCGTCGTCCTCCACTTTGATCGTCAGTTTGATGGATTCTCCGACAGCCAGCTGCAAAAAGAGAGAGAGATTTAAGAGAGGTCTACTTCATACTTATACTCCACTACACTATATCAGTATTTTGTGTCTCTACTTTAAAGAGTCCTCTCCTGCTGATGTTCAGGTGTATATCAGTATGTAGTGTCTCTACTTTAAAGAGTCCTCTCCTGCTGATGTTCAGGTGTATATCAGTATTTAGTGTCTCTACTTTAAAGAGTCCTCTCCTGCTGATGTTCAGGTGTATATCAGTATGTAGTGTCTCTACTTTAAGAGTCCTCTCCTGCTGATGTTCAGGTGTATATCAGTATGTAGTGTCTCTACTTTAAAGAGTCCTCTCCTGCTGATGTTCAGGTGTATATCAGTATGTAGTGTCTCTACTTTAAAGAGTCCTCTCCTGCTGTTGTTCAGGTGTATATCAGTATGTAGTGTCTCTACTTTAAAGAGTCCTCTCCTGCTGATGTTCAGGTGTATATCAGTATGTAGTTGTCTCTACTTTAAAGAGTCCTCTCCTGCTGATGTTCAGGTCTATATCAGTATGTAGTGTCTCTACTTTAAAGAGTCCTCTCCTGCTGATGTTCAGGTGTATATCAGTATGTAGTGTCTCTACTTTAAAGAGTCCTCTCCTGCTGATGTTCAGGTGTATATCAGTATGTAGTGTCTCTACTTTAAAGAGTCCTCTCCTGCTGATGTTCAGGTGTATATCAGTATGTAGTGTCTCTACTTTAAAGAGTCCTCTCCTGCTGATGTTCAGGTGTATATCAGTATGTAGTGTCTCTACTTTAAAGAGTCCTCTCCTGCTGATGTTCAGGTGTATATCAGTATGTATTGTCTCTACTTTAAAGAGTCCTCTCCTGCTGATGTTCAGGTGTATATCAGTATGTATTGTCTCTACTTTAAAGAGTCCTCTCCTGCTGATGTTCAGGTGTATTTCAGTATGTAGTGTCTCTACTTTAAAGAGTCCTCTCCTGCTGATGTTCAGGTGTATATCAGTATGTAGTGTCTCTACTTTAAAGAGTCCTCTCCTGCTGATGTTCAGCTGTATATCAGTATGTAGTGTCTCTACTTTAAAGAGTCCTCTCCTGCTGATGTTCAGGTGTATATCAGTATGTAGTGTCTCTACTTTAAAGAGTCCTCACCGTCCCCCGTGTAGCATCGTGTTCAGAGGGGTCAGCGTATCCACATCGCACCGCCTCACCTGCAGGAGGTGAAAGAAAAAAATGTCTATCAATATTTAAAAACCATGGTGCTTATTGCTCATCAGTTAGGATGACATGATAATGTCAGAGATGCTTCTGATGATACATGAACACCTTTAGACTGTAACAATAGATATCCTTTGGCAGTAAAGTGACTCTCACAAATTCCCTTTTTTTAAAACCACCTATTCTCTGTGAGGATCAGATTACTTCTCCCATGACGGATAATTAGTGCGAATGCTGTGCAATGTGAAATGTTACCGTTTTTCAACTATAGTTGTAAATGTAAGAGGTTTATTTCTCATTCAGATCAATGGAAAGGCTCTCCTTTCACTGCACATCTCCATGGAAACCTTTGATCTCTGGGCTCACACACAGGTGTTTGATAACGTCGTCACCATGGTAACCTTTGATCTCTGGGATCACACACAGGTGTTTGATAACATCGTCACCATGGTAACCTTTGATCTCTGGGCTCACACACTTACTTGGTTTTTGTAGCTAAAAGCAGACAACTAATAAAATATTCTGCTTTTTCAGCAACAAATGTACACAGTTTACACTTACAGCATTCGCACGCATTTTCAGCAGGAAATGCATTTTCTAATTAAAAATGTACTTTTGGGTTATCTGTCGCCACTTTTTTTGTTTTTTACAGACTCTTTAAATACGAACTTAAAAAAAAAAATCTGACTAAATACGCACTTTTTTTTCCAGGCTCTCTAGTGTAAATAACCCTAACCCCTAGGATTAATGTTTGTTATTTTGAGAAATGAAAAAGTTCATGTGGAGGAGACAGCTAGCCGCCATTAAAAAGTGGTGACAGATGACCAACAAGTTCCATTAAAACACTTTATTAAAAATGTTTTACCTAAAGTTCAAATAAACTTTTTTACCTCCAGTTTTTCCGGTCCTCCGGCCGTTTCCAGGCTGATGATGAGCGGAAAGCTGAGCGGCAGCGCGGCCGTTAGATAGGGGCAACGCGGTGCCGCATGCGGTGGTTCTGCCGCCTGCGGTGGTTCTCAGCGCCGTTCCGCCTGCGTTGGTTCTGCCGGCTGCGGTGGTTCTGCCACCTACGGTGGTTCTCAGCGCGGTGCCGCCTACGGTGGTTCTTCCGCTTGCGGTGACCCGGACCGCTCGGATCTCCACGAGCCGCAGCTTTCTGCGCAGCGCCTCGTTCTCTTTGCGGCTCCGCGAGACCTCGAGCTGTAGCACCGCGAGCCCGCTGTCCACGAGCTCACAGATCTCCGCCACCGCCGTGTTCGCGAGGACCTCCATGATGGAGGCGAGCTGCGCGTGCAGGGACGCGGCAGGGGACATGTTTTATGGTTTAATGTTTATTATAATAAGAATAAAAAGTGGAAATCTGGACTAGATTCCCCCAACGAGATGTAAACAGTCCGGAGACAAACCCGGAAGTGAAGCGGGGGCAACAAGGACTAGAGAGCTAGTGCGCATGTGCAACGTCTCAGTTTAAATTATTTCTTGCAGAATTATTATAGTAGTTTTTTCATTAGTGTTTGCAATGTTTACATTATTTTCTGCATTTATTGCATTATTTTCTGCATATTTTATTACCACAAAATAGAAATAGTCTGTATATAAATAGAATATGTGCTGTATATTAGAATCTAAGAGTTTAGTTGTGAATTATACCAGTGTGACCCCAAACACACATTTATTTCAATCATGTCAATCCTTTATTGATAGACTTTCATCTAAAACTAATTAATGATGATTATGATTATTAGCCTGCTAATGTTTCGCTCTGCAATGTCAGTTTTCATATTGCTTTTATTATCTGTTTTTTTCTTTTCGTGTATCTTTGCAGTCATCATTTAGTGCATAAAGCAATTCTTTATTTTGCTCCACGCCCCGATCATATTCACATTAAATAATAGCTAATCCAAAAACTAAAATACAGAACCACTATCAACAGCTATTGCTATTTAAAATAATGGAGACCATGAGACACACTGCCAGCAGCACAAACTGAAACACTTCTTGTTCTTGAAATACTGTTCAATCATCACCTTTAAGACAGAAGAGGTGAAATGTGAATTTTAAAACACGATCATATTTATTCAGGATTCTTTAAAACACCTTTTGCAGAGGTGACAGGTCAATTAGTGATTTCTTACAAGTACAAATAAATCCTCTTTTGGAAGAAAACATTCCCAAAAAAGCTTCAGTCGTCAGAAGAGCAACACACGTAGGTTTAAGATAACTTAAAATATATATATACATATGTTAAAAAATCTGCAAAATACAAAAAGTAATAACATACAAAACTGTAGGAAGAGTTTTATAAACAAAGAAAAACACAATAACTGTAATTAAGTTTTTCTGCATCGGTTCAATATTTTTCCAAAGATGGTATAATTTTTTTTCTAAATTAACTGATTAATAGATATATTTCAAAGAGTCTATTTCTGCCCTGCCCCACACACACACACACACACACACACACACACACACACACACACACACACACACACACACACACACACACAACACACACACACACACACACACACACACCACACACAACACACCACACACACACACACACACACACACACACACACACACACACACACACTACACACACACACACAACATCACAACGTGTTGGGGATTCAGGGGTTTCACAGTTTCAAAACCCCAACTGCAGTTCAGCATGTCGTTGTGTCCCCTTGAGACACTTCACCACCAAATTATGCTCACTGTGGGGATTTGTCCACAGTACTGAATGTATGTAAGTCGCTTTGGATAAAAGCGTCTAACAAGTGACATGTGATGTAATGTAATGTCACCTCGTGGCTCAGCTCATGTCTTGTGAATTCTCCGGCCAAAGCTCCAAATAAACCGTCAGTGTTTGCCATCAAAGTTCCAGCTCTCTGAGTTTCGTCGCCATTGCTTCAGAAGTTTCCATCACACACATTATTCACCTGCAGCATCTGGTCTAAAGCCACCAGCCTCAGGGTCAGTTTCATCCCACAGGCCATAAGACTGTTAAACACCTGAACTTTTTTAAGAACATCCATAAAATTAATCTGTTTGCAACTTACAAATTAGTTATCTAATATATCATATTCCAATTACTTGTATATCGACTCGTCTGGCACTATTTCTATTCTATTCTATTTGTATTTACCTGCACTATTTTATCTGTTTTATTGTGTTGCTCTGTTGGAGGAGCCTGAAAACAGGAAGCATGTGAAAACCAGAGGTGGGAAGTAGTGAAGTACAAATACTTCCCTGACTGTACTTAAGTACATTTTTAGGTAAAAACGTATTCTCTTGTTTACACATTACGTCAACATTAGATTTTGTTCGCCTCCAGAGACGTGGTAGCGGTCCATGTGCAGCTTCAGGCTGTATTTGACGATGAAGCTGCGCGGGCAGAGCGTGCACGTGTACGGGCGCTCCCCGCTGTGCACGTGCTCGTGAGCCTTTAGGTGCGCCGACTGCGTGAACTTCTTCCCGCAATGTGCACACCTGAAGGGCCTCTCACCGGTGTGGATCCTCATGTGCACCTCCAGGTTCTGAGAGGTGGCGTAAGTCTTCGAACACACGGAGCAAAACAGACGCTTCCCTCCCTCAGCGCCGATAAACTGCGTCTGGTCCCTGGAGGAGAAGATCATATCGAAATCAGAGAGGTACACACATCCTTTACTCAAGTAGAAGTACAGATACTCGCGTTTAAAAATACTCTGGTCAAAGTAGAAGTACTGACTAAACTTCTTTACTCAAGTAAAAGTAAAGAGGGCTTTGAAATGTACTTCAGTAAAAAGTACCCATAACTAGCAGCTGTTTTAAAGAGTACCTGACCTCCCTTTATATTAATAGAACAATAATGTCATTGTTAGCTAATGAATGTTTCCATGCTGAACAACGGCAACATGACAACGTTTTCATTGGTCCCTCTTCTTTAGAGAAGACCAGGAAATGATGGATACACGGATCGTGTTCAAATCAATAGGCACGCAATGACTCTAAATAATAATGATCACGCCACCAAACACACATTCAAACTAAAGGAACCAGCCTGTTTGGAAATGTGAGAAGTAGAAAGTACAGGTATTTGGGTTCAACATGTGAGAAGTAAGAAAGTACAGGTATTTGGGTTCAGGTATTTGGGTTCAACAGTAGAAGTAGAAAGTACAGGTATTTGGGTTCAACATGTAAGAAGTAGAAAGTACAGGTATTTGTGTTCAACATGTAAGAAGTAGAAAGTACAGGTATTTGTGTTCAACATGTAAGAAGTAGAAAGTACAGGTATTTGTGTTCAACATGTAAGAAGTAGAAAGTACAGGTATTTGTGTTCAACATGTAAGAAGTAGAAAGTACAGGTATTTGGGTTCAACATGTAAGAAGTAGAAAGTACAGGTATTTGGGTTCAACATGTAAGAAGTAGAAAGTACAGGTATTTGTGTTCAACATGTAAGAAGTAGAAAGTACAGGTATTTGGGTTCAACATGTAAGAAGTCAAATTAAAAAGTCGTCAGGAAAATAAGTAGTGGAGTAAAGTACTGATACCAGAAACATGTGCTTAAGTACAGTAACGAAGTATTTGTACTCCACTTCTTCCCACCTCATCTCGTAATCAAACGCCGAGTCACTGCTCTCGGTCGAATACGAGCCGCTGACGCTGACCATCTTCAGCCCGAAGGCGTCGCCGTCTTCCAGGTTCCCGTCCTGATGAAACTGAGGGAAGGACGACAGCGTTCTGGGGCTGGAAGGAGAGTCCGTCTGCACGAAAACACAAAAAGCATCAATAAGGTGTGAAGATTTCCTGTTCTTTCAGAGAGGGAGTACAGAAGCTGTAGTGAGTAACGGTAGGAGTTCAGCAGGCTAAAACAAAGAGGGCTTTAGTACAAACTAGGGCCCAATTCCAAACCACACCCTACCCACTCCCCCTCAGTGATGGAGTGAACTCCGTCTGTAGTCTCACTCTAACGAGATGGAGGGTGTGAAAACAGCACAAGGCTTTGGGACGAACTCCCCTCTCTCCAGCTGACACAGGAAATGCCGTAAATCTACGTAACAACGGTTTCAAATCAGCTTCTCTTGGATTAAAAATTAAACAAATAAAACTAAATTTTTTTTTTTTTTTTTTTTTTTAAATGGTGTTTATTTTTTGTAAAACACTTTTTGTTTTAAAATCTGATGTTTGTAAGTCGCTTTGTTTTTGCAACAGTCTGTAAATATACACAACTTTATAATAAAATGCAGTTAAAAACAATACGAGGTAGCATGAAGTTGTTAACATCTGTATGACGATATTAAATGTGTCTCTTGTAGTGCAGTTTATCAGTTAATGTTTGCAGGAACTATTTGTGAACGAGCAAACGGAGGAGTAGTGTGTAGGGGGGCGGTTTGGAATTGGGCCTGAACCTAACCTCAAAGCTTTTATTTTGAAATAAGGGAGGGGAGGGCTGTGGCGCAGTGGACTAGTGACGCAGTGGACTAGTGGCGCAGTGGAGCAGTGGACTAGTGGCGCAGTGGAGCAGTGGACTAGTGGCGCAGTGGACTAGTGACGCAGTGGAGCAGTGGACTAGTGGCGCAGTGGACTAGTGACGCAGTGGAGCAGTGGAGCAGTGGACTAGTGGCGCAGTGGACTAGTGGCGCAGTGGACTAGTGGCGCAGTGGACTAGTGGCGCAGTGGAGCAGTGGACTAGTGACGCAGTGGAGCAGTGGACTAGTGGCGCAGTGGACTAGTGACGCAGTGGACTAGTGACGCAGTGGACTAGTGGCACAGTGGACTAGTGGAGCAGTGGAGCAGTGGACTAGTGGCGCAGTGGAGCAGTGGACTAGTGACGCAGTGGAGCAGTGGACTAGTGGCGCAGTGGACTAGTGGCGCAGTGGAGCAGTGGACTAGTGGCGCAGTGGAGCAGTGGACTAGTGGGCGCAGTGGAGCAGTGGACTAGTGGCGCAGTGGAGCAGTGGACTAGTGGCGCAGTGGAGCAGTGGACTAGTGGCGCAGTGGAGCAGTGGACTTGTGGCACAGTGGACTAGTGGAGCAGTGGACTTGTGGCGCTGTGGCACAGTGGACTAGTGGCGCAGTGGACTAGTGGCGCAGTGGAGCAGTGGACTTGTGGCACAGTGGACTAGTGGAGCAGTGGACTTGTGGCGCTGTGGCACAGTGGACTAGTGGAGCAGTGGACTTGTGGCGCTGTGGCACAGTGGACTAGTGGAGCAGTGGACTAGTGGCGCAGTGGAGCAGTGGACTAGTGGCGCAGTGGAGCAGTGGACTAGTGGCGCAGTGGAGCAGTGGACTTGTGGCGCAGTGGACTAGTGGCGCAGTGGACTAGTGCGTTGGTGTTGGGATCAGGGGAGCACAGGTTCAAACCCCACTGCAGTCAGCATGTCGTTGTGTCCCTGAGACACTTCACCCCAAATTGCTCCTGTGGGGATTGCCCGCTTTGGATAAAAGCGTCTAACAACATACATGTAATGTAAAAATAACTAGAGTTTCACCATCTGAAGTGTAGTTCTGGGGCTGCTGGAGGGAGACTCTGTGAGGCTGAAGAACGAGGGTCTGTTCGGGTCCGTCTGAGAGGAGAAGGATCCGAGCGACTCTCCGGCCTCCAGAGAGTCCACCAAATACACTGGGAAGTTCTTCTTCGCTGGTTTCGGCGTCTCCGAGGAGGACTTCCTGTCGGCGTCCTCGCCTCCGGGCCAGAGTCTCTTCACGCTCCGGCTGACAAGATCTCTGGAGGAAGACGTTTTATCATCTGCAGGGAAATACAAAACGCATCACTGAGAGGAAGAATAAAGTATGAGGGCGCTAACGTCACTTCCGGACAAAATTAAGTCCCGCCCACTTTCCGGTGGTGAAAATAATGCATTAGAGCGAAGTGGGAAATAATAGTGTCTTCATTTCTTAAAGCTGCTGAGTCACCTCAAACAACACATTTGATTTGATTGGATTTATTTCGAATGTGTAAAACAATAATACAAAAAGATAATAATTATAACATGAGAATTATTATACAATACAAAATCAAGCAGTGTCAAATTGATAAACAAAAATATGACTGATTCTAAATTATATATAAACACAAATTCAGAGTCACGGTTTCTTTACTTCCTCTATAGAACAAAAAGGACAGTAAAAGAAACTCATAAATCTCAGTTTCAGTGTCAGACCCACCGGACATCCATCCTATAATTATTCTCCGTAAAAACAAAGCTGTCTCTGCCGTCTGACGCTCTCTCTGTTTGATGCTCATATTTCTGGAGAAATTATACAGAAATATAGTTTTCCGGCATCACTTTAACATTTTCAATTTCAAAATCTGCATTTCGGTCTGAGTGTAACGGCCCGTCCACGCGGCGGCGTGCGTTGAAGCTTCAACGCTTCTTCCCATTCACTTTGAATGGGGTCACGCTTTGCCGAACTTTGTGGTTGCGTCGCTTCGCTTTGCTCGCTTCAAAAGTTGAGAAAAGCTCAACTTTTGAAGCTTCGACGGAAGCTTCGACGGAAGCGCCAGCCAATCAAATCATATGCCAGTACAAGCTCTAGCCAATCAAACCGCATGCTTGTGTATCTGGGGCGGGAGATTCATGTGATTGGTTGTTTGCCGAGTTTCAGACATGCCCGTCGGCAAGCACGCTGCCGTGTGGACCATGCATAAGAGAAATATATAAAACACTGAATATATTTCTTGTTCTTCTCAGAAATTGTCTGTAAACCTTCTTTCTGCAGAGGTTAGATGAGACACACGTGATAGTTTATCAAGTTTTGTAACACTTAAAATGATTGTTGTTAACCTCAAAGCTTTGTTTTTTAAATAATTTAAGTTTCTTCATTTTAAGAGTTGTCTCAAGTGACGCAAATAAAATATTCAAATATGGTGACGTCGTTTTTTAACCATTTGTTAATTAAGTTTACAGAAAAAATAACAAAATACTGGGTGGTTTCCCCTCACCTTCCTCTGAGCTGTGGTTACTGTCTGAGTCTTCGTCTTTGATCAACACCACGTCGGGAAGCTGGAAAGAATAAACGTCAAAATGAACACAGGAAATAAAACAGTAATAATAACAGTTACAGCTTAAAGTGGGGAAGACTTCAAACGTCTTTAATTCCACCAGAAATACAATTTAATACCAAATTCCTACTTTAATTTGTGTGACCTTAATTCAAGGTGTATTTGGTAAATGATTGTAAAAAATGCATTAATTAAAAGACCAATTTATTTTGTATTTTATAATGGAACATCAGAAAAAATTATACCTTAAATCCCCCCAAAAATACAATATATAAATGTATAAAAGAATATTAGAATTTGAAAGATTTAAAAAGGGATTTAAAGTGCACCTATCATGCTATTTTAAGGCATATATTATGGGTCTCAGATATATAAAAATATATAAAAAACATGTCTGTGAAGTTTTTTGCTTCAAATCCCAAACAGATGCCCCGTTGTAGCCATGCCTCATACTGCTCATACCCCTCTGTTCCAGCTGTTAGAGAAACAAGGATTTTGGGTCCTTAGCTTGAAAAAAAAAAAAAGAGGAGGCGGAGCTAATGCCTGATCAGAATTCTACCGGAGATAAAGTAAAATTCTGCTGTGATAAAACACCATCCTGTTCTAAACCACATCAAGGATTATTTCTGAAACAGTATGGAGCTCATACTTTTTCTCTTGCGGGTTTATCACGGTGGGACCCCTGGTCACTCTAATGGGGGACATTGTGGGGACACGGTGGGACCCCTGGTCACCCGCGTTCCTTTTTTTATTTCCTGCTTTTTAAACACGTGCTCTCCAGTACAGGTTAGCTCTCAGTGTTAGCGAGGCTTGCTAATGTAAACAAAGACGAGATTACGTCCAAAACCCTCAGGCATTGTTTCTGATAGCAACTTTCTGTGGGTCCACCGCCGATTTGACGTCATATCGGCAGCAAATCTGTATCCGCTCGTTGTTCTCCCGTTTTTAAAAGATTTGGGTACGGAGGAAAAGAGAGAGGGTTTTATTTTCTGACGCTGTGTGAGTTCCCCGACACATCGGGGGCACGTGTTTATGTATAAAATACATTAACAAGTGCATTTTGCATGATAGGTGCTCTTTAAAAGTGGACCTATCATGCTATATTTGAATAATATAGTGTAGGACCATACCTATATAAGGCATATTTATACTTTTTTTTCTTCAAAATACCAAACAGATCATGCATTTTAGCCATGCCTCATTTTGCTCAATTTGACCATTTCTAGCTCTGTTTTTGCAAGGGCTGATTCTGTGAGAACAGCACCATCTACAGGCCTGGCATATGTACTACAGCGTCTCCAGCGCTTTCGAACAGCAATGGCCGTGGCTGTCTCCTCCTGATTGGTGGAGTTGGCCCAATAGCCGTAGCGCCACCGTCCTGACGTCAGGACAGTGTTCAAATCTGGATCAGTTTTTATCAGATCCGTTGCAGCCCCTTTTTTAGAGATTTGGGTATGGAGGAAAATAGAGAGGGTTGTGTTTTCTGACACTTGGTGAGTTCCCTGGAACACCGGGGACACATATTCATGTAGAAAAGACGTACACAAGTGCATTTTGCATGATAGGTCCCCTTTAAGGTTCATTTCATTGAAGCTTTTTTTTTTTATCCCATTATCTCAAAATCTCCGTTTAATTATCAAACTATCTAGAATTAAAATCAAATAACATCTTATCACAAAAACCTGAGTTTCAGCCCAAGGCAACGAGACTGAGATGAAGAAATAAATGAAAATGTTTTATCTTGAGATCAGCTTCAGATAAGGAGATGATTAACATGCTGTCAGCTGCTCTCAGTGCATACACAGTATTTAAGGTGGATCTTAAGGCATAGTAACGATATTTAAAAGGATGCAGTGACCGGTTTGTTCTTGAACAACACATCATCATTAAAGCGGAAGTTAAAAGTGTGGAGGAAGAACAGGGAGGTCATTATTAAATTCAGTGATGGTTTACTTGTTATTTACTTAAAGAGGCCCTATTTTCCTTTTTGTACTTGTCCCTTTCCTGTAGTGTTTTCTACAGGTTTTAGTGCATGTAAATGGTCTGCAGAGGCTAAAATCCATGTGTTCCCTCCAGAGCAGGGGGGTCAAACTCAAGGCCCGCGGACCAAATCCGGCACGCGACTTCATTTTATCCGGCCCGCAAGAGCTTTCAAAGAATATAATACGTTTATATTCCGATTTACAGAAGCACGTTGCCCATAAACTACATGTCCCACAATGCATCTCATTTTGAGACAGACTTCTGCTTTCACACGTAGTTAATTATGAAGTTATTACCCTATCCGATAATAATCCAATGCAGAGGCAATCATGTCGTATAATACATTATTTGATATATATTTATTAGGGCTGTCAAGTTAACGCGTTAATAACGCAAAAAAAAATTAACGCCACTAATTATTTTAACGCGATTAACGCATGTGTATTTTTTGTCCTCGGCCGCCGTAGTTTCAGAGCGCATCGAGTTTAAAATACCATCGACAAGCTGATGCTGACAGCCCCGCTCCTGCCGCCCGCTTGTGGCAGACCACACTTCCACGCTCACTGGCAGGCCCGGACTGGCCATCGGGAGGACCGGGAGGGTGTGTGTATGTGTGGCGCGACTCGCGCGAGCGAGGCACACCTTACGTGTTGTTGTTGTTAGCATCTGGTGCTAGCTAGCTGCGCTAACGGATATAAGGAGCTGTTTCAATGACATTTCGCCGACAACTGCGCCGAGCACTTGACTTTATGCAGGTAGCCAGACAGTGGGACATTGTACGAAAAGTCAGCACACTCAGCACGGATAGTACGCGCTACATGATTGCAGCGTCCAGGCAGCTCCCATTCGAGCATATATGCCTTGAGCGGCACATAGCTCCAACGTGTGGGCTCCACACACACACACACACACACACACACACACACAACACACACACACACACACACACACACACACACACACACACACACACACACACACACACACACACACAGCACACACACACACACACACACACACACCACACACACACACACACACACACACACACACACACACACACACACAGCACACACACACACACACACACACACACACACACACACACACACACACACACACACACACACACACACACACACACACACACCACACACACACACACACACACACACACACACACACACACACACACACACACACACACACACACACACACACACACACACACACACACACACACAGGTTGAATTGAGGTGAATATTTGTAATGTTCAGGTTGTTGTGTTTAATATTCATGAGAATATTTGTCATTGTTCAAATGATAATAAACAAACATATAAAGCATATTTGTCCACTCATATGTTGATAAGAGTATTAAAAACTTGAAAGATATCCCTCTAAGGTACATTTAGAACAGATAAAAAATGTGCGATTAATTTGCGATTAATCGCGATTAAATATTTTAATCGACTGACAGCCCTAATATCTATATAGTCTTAAAGTTACAACCGGTCCTTTGAGTGCAACCTTAATGCTGATGGGGCCCGCCATGAAATTGAGTTTGACACCCTTGACGTAGCCCATCGTTAATCCAGCGGATCTTACGCAGAGGAAGGATCCAAAGTCCAGACAAGAATCTCCGTTTGTGCATTTTATTCCAACACAAAATTACAATTAAAATGTTTCCTATATCTCTTTTCCTATGGCTTTCCTTTGTGTGGCTTGAAACACCTTAGTAGAAAACCATGTGCCTACTAGTGCTCTACCCCCCCCACCCACCTGTCTCCAATATATATACAATTACACCAGGTGCTCCGTGATGACATTGAGTTTGACCCCCTCCCATTCTTTGTGTTTACCTCCTCCCTCAGCACCGCTCCTCCTCCTCCAGCAGCTGCTGTGTGTCCCCGGTCATTCTCCGGTTGCTGTGCGTCCTCAGTTGTCGGTTCGATCCCCGCTCTCCCCTCAGTTGTCGGTTCGATTCCCGCTCTCACCCCCCGCACCACGATGGACTCGATGAGGATCAGCTTCTTCTTCAGGTCCTGGTTCTCCTTGTGTTTGCGCTGGATCTCCGTCTGCAGAGCCTGGTATCCCTCCGCCACCAGCTCATAGATCTCCTGCAGGTGACCAGGGGCCAACAAGAGACATGGGGGACAAAGAGGGACACAAAAGAGAGGGACACAAAAGAGAGGGACACAAAAGAGAGGGACACAAAAGAGAGGGACAATGTGGGATAAGTTACTGCAGCGATAAGATACGTTTTAAAAATAAACATTTCTATTGAAACTATTAGCTTATAAATAAGTAAATACATTTATAGACTTTGTTGGTTGATTGACATCCGACACAGCTAATGGGGGACATTGTGGGGACACGGTGGGACCCCTGGTCACTCTAATGGGGGATATTGTGGGGACACGGTGGGACCCCTGGTCACTCTAATGGGGGACATTGTGGGGACACGGTGGGACCCCTGGTCACTCTAATGGGGGACATTGTGGGGACACGGTGGGACCCCTGGTCACTCTAATGGGGGACATTGTGGGGACACGGTGGGGACCCCTGGTCACTCTAATGGGGGACATTGTGGGGACACGGTGGGACCCCTGGTCACTCTAATGGGGGACATTGTGGGGACACGGTGGGACCCCTGGTCACTCTAATGGGGGACATTGTGGGGACACGGTGGGACCCCTGTTCACCCTCATGGGGGACGTTGTGGGGACACGGTGGGACCCCTGGTCACCCTCATGGGGATGTTGTGTGGACACGGTGGGACCCCTGGTCACCCTCATGGGGGACGTTGTGTGGACACGGTGGGACCCCTGGTCACCCTCATGGGGGACGTTGTGTGGACACGGTGGGACCCCTGAGGCCTGTACTACGAAGCTGGTTCAACTTAACCTGGATATGTTGGAGTTAGCCGGTTGGCCCAATCCAAAACATACGCGCTCTCGCTAAACTGTACTACGACGCTGGTTATCAAGTGGATCGCTCAAGCCAGCCGTGTCCTATCTAGTTAGGTGCGCGTTCACATGAAAGGGGTGGTATTTGGAGCATTCGACCAATCACAAACACGGACAAGCGTACTGACAGCGCAGCGTCATACTTCCTGAATGAAAAGTGAACTTTAATATTAGTCAAATATGAAGAAGTTAAACTTTAAACATCCATGACTTAAACACTTTACCCAGGATCAAAGCCACATAGCTGCACCTGCAAGGTGAATACAGCTGGTAAAAGAAAAAGTGTTTGAATGCGTACATTAACAGGTTTATGAAATCACTGCCCCCGTCTAAGACACGATCTGACTTTAATTACATTTGACTCGAGTGTTTCGTCAACTTAATGTGTTGCTTAAAATAATACTTCTGCATACAGTATGTGACACTGTGAGTGTTGCACGGCCAGATACGGCTCAGCTGACTCAGATAAGGAGATATATGATACATTATGATGTGATATGATATGAATGATAATGGGACACATCGACGTCTGCACTCACAGTGCCGCGGACTGTACTTAATGTTACTCTGATCCGGTTACTTATGTCGTGGCAGATATTTAAGTAAGCTTTCTTAACGCTAATGTTATAATAGTCAGATTGCTCTGAAGATGGGAGGGGATATTCTTGTGTATGACTTGATCGCTTTAAACTCCGCACACGGAGCTCTGATTGGTCAGCAGGCGGTGCTTTCACTGAGTTGATCTCTTAGCCTGCAACCTAACCTGCTCCGGACCAGGTTTGCCGCTCAGCATAAGTTACCATGGAGATCTAGCCCGCTAAAAAGAGAACCAGCGTCGTAGGACCGGAAACCCAGAGTTAACCCTGAATTTAGCCGCTAAGCGAAAATCCAGCTTCGTAGTACAGGCCTCAGGTCACTCTAATGGGGGATGTTGTGTGGACACGGTGGGACCCCTGGTCACTCTAATGGGGGATGTTGTGTGGACACGGTGGGACCCCTGGTCACTCTAATGGGGGGCATTGTGGGGACACGGTGGGACCCCTGGTCACCCTCATGGGGGACGTTGTGTGGGACACGGTGGGACCCCTGGTCACCCTCATGGGGGACATTGTGGGGACACGGTGGGACCCCTGGTCACTTACCTGCACGGCGGCGGTGGTCAGAGCACTCAGGATGATGGAGATCTGCTCCTGGAGAGCGACGCTGCGGAGAGACGCCATCCAACCAGAGCTCTGCTGCCCTGCTTTGTGTCAGGTGCAAAGAAACACACATTAACCTCAGCAGCAAGTAGACAGATCCACAATAACAGTTTATCTCATTGTCTGCCTTCTGTAAAGCGTCTGTGAGCACCTGATAGACTTCAGGAATGTAATCCGTTACGACAACTCGTTACCTGTCAGTAACTTAATCTCACTTTCTGTTACTTTTGGATTACCTCGATATCAAATGCAAAGCAAATAAAAACAAGAGACAATAAATAACAATAGGATGTTATTTAATTAAGTGTATGTAGAAATGTCACCTTAGAAAAGAAGAAACTAGGATATCAATACATTATATTATACTTCTGTTTAATAAATCAGGTGTGCACTTACTGCATTCAAAGAGAAATGTATTTAAAATAAAGAAGAATTAAAGTAGATATAAACCATAACGGAAATGCATTCAATACGTTGACCTGTATTAAATCCATATGTATTTATACATGTATTGTTATGCTGCTAGTCATCTCTGTGTTTCTAATGTCATGTAAATCGAAGATAGTGACCTTCTTTGCTTCCTGATTGCGTAATCTCGTCACATGTAATGAACTCCCGAGAGTAAACCGTTCTGGAGGGTCCAATCTGCGAAGCCACAAAACTAAACAAAACGAGAATAAAAAATGTGTTTCTGCTCACGAGCGTTTTCCGGAATAACATACCCGACTTCTTCTTTGGTTTTAATGGCAGAGAGCTCACTAACTTGAAGGGGTATTACTGCCACCTGCTGTGCTGGAGGGAGGACTACAATAAGTAAATAAGAATAAGAATTTTAAAAGGAAGAAAATTATAGAAAAATAAGGAAATAGGCCCAGTGTGCAAAAACTAGACATACGTGGCAGTAGGACAGACAACATAAACAATCATACGGGGGGAATAAATAGTTAAAAATATTGATATAAAAATAGTTTATAATTGTTAAAGTGCATTCAAAGTGTGTATAGGCCTATGCGTGGAGATGGTTACGGTTATTGCATTAAGTGTGGTGGTTGAGCACTGTGACTTGAAGCTCCTGTCTCTCCTCCCAGAAGGCAGGAGAGAGAACAGTCTCTCAGAGCAGACACAGTTTTTCAGCAATGTCGCTCTGCCATGCAGTCACACCATTTCATCCTTTTCACCCTCAGATCCACCACACCACCAGCAGAGGGACCCAGAGTTGTTTGTCGCAGAGCCCTGTGAAGCCACCAAGAGCATTGAAGTGGATGTTAACTCTACATCAATGATGATAAAGGGCTCTATGAAAGTCAGAATGACCTCAAGCCCAACATCTGAGGCATCCACCTCTCAACCTACCAGGGTCTCCGCGCCAGCACCTGGTTCCCCGGAGCTCAAACAACCAGGGGCAAGAGCCTGTCCCGTTCACCGGACCGTCCACCTGGGAATACACTGACACATTAACACCTGAAATAACACAACTCATCAATAAGAACCTTGACACACTCAGACATTGGCGCCCCCTTCCACATAGTACACCCAACATTAGTCAGGAACATAGAAATATTATTAAAACATTAGGTAACAGCCAACACATTAAACCAGCAGACAAGGGGGGGCAAATAGTCATACAGCACAGGGACAATTACATATTAGAAGCACATAGACAATTAAATAACAACACATATTACAGACCCCTGACACACTCACTACAATTAGAAACACAAACACTATTAGGAACATTACAGAAACACTATACAGAAACAAATCCATCAACAAAAGACAATATCTGGATGGTCCGGAGGAGCCCAGGCCCCGTCTCTTCTACCTGCTCCCCAAGATCCACAAGCCTGTGGAGACGTGGACGGTCCCCTCTGGTCTGAAACCTACAACATCACAGAATACATAGATCACTTCATCAATCCCCTCTCCAAACTCCACCCTAGCTACATCCAGGACACCTATCATTTTGTTAATAAAATAAAAAACCTCCCCATTCCCAGTCACACCCTTCTTTTTTCTTTCGACATAGACTCCTTATACACCAATATAGAAACTCCACTTGGCCTCTCTGCCCTTCAACACACCTTCAATAAATACCCCAACCCAGCCGGACCCGACAGTCACATCATCCAGTTACTCCACCTCACCCTCACCTGGAATGATTTTGTTTTCAACAGTAACCAGTACCTCCAGCTGTGCGGCTGTGCTATGGGCCGCAAGTATGCTCCGGCATATGCAGATATTTACCTGGCCCACTGGGAGGAAACGGCCTTCATCAAGCTCACCCTCAAACCCCTCCTTTATGTCCGGTACCTGGATGACATCTTCGGCCTATCGCACCACTCCACCGACGACTTCACGACTTTCATGGACACACTCAACTCTCATCACCCTAAAATAACACTCAAACATACCCTTCAACCCCTCACAGTAGAGTTCCTGGACACCTGCGTCTTCTTCCGTGAATCCAGCGACCTGACCAAAACACTGTCCACCAAAGTGTTTTTTAAAGACACGGACCGATATGCACTCCTCCACAGGACCAGCTACCACCCAAAGCATACGTACAGAGGCTTAATCAAATCCCAGCTGATCCACTTCCACAGGATCTGTACCTTCGCGAAGGATGGGTAGGAGGCTATACCTGGACCCTCTTCAGGGTGCTGAGGCCGCGGGGCTATTCAAGGCGCTTCCTGAGATCCGTCAAGGCGGAGGTCGGCCGTACCTTTACTGAGAGATATCAAGACACCTCCACTCGGCCGTCCGGTCCTGCCCTCATCCCGCTGATAACTACCTACTCCAGCAGCCTGGGAAGCCTTCTCAGTGGCCTCAAAGCCAACTTCGAGGGGGCGAGGGCGGACTGCGACGCCCTGAGTGAGTGTCGGCTGATCTCCGCCTACCACAGGAACAAGAACCTGAAAGACCTGTTAGTCCACACCAAGCTAAATGATAACAGTGTTCGGGCTAGGGAGGCACCTCGAATGTCTGAGGTTGGTTTCATCTGCCTCCCCCACATTTGTAACCCCTTCTCAAAGCTCGGAGCTAACCTCGGGCGGGCCCTGAAACATACAACCAAGAACGCGGTTTACGCCGTCAGGTGCAGGGCCCGCCACAAGCTCTATGTGGGGGAGACGTGGCATGAAATCAGCCTCAGGATATAACAACATTCATATAGAATCAACAGCGGTGACGGTACGAGCGTTCTCTACCTTCATTTTAACCTCCAGTCTTTGGGCTTGGAGAGCAGCGGGAGCTGGACCACGGCACAGAGACGGCGGCGGCGGAGAGGAGGTGGGTTCATCGCCTCAAAACGATAGACCCTGGCCTCAATGAAAAATATCAGTGATGGGTCTGCCTCCTTTTTATCAGATGGTTTTTAAATCTCTTTTACACATTTTAAAATGATTACTTACCTTTTTTAAGACTTGCAACTCAACAGGTCCCTCCTGTCCTCCCGACGCGTGCTTCTCCCCTCCGGATGTTGTTAGACCCCCTGCGGTGATGGCAAACCAGAAGTTCCACCCTATTTTATATATTTGTATCTTTTATATATATATATATATATTACCTAAGGGGATTGCTTTTTAACTAATGTAGCTTTTTTAATTAACTATTTAATTATTTATTTATCAATGTAATCCTCCTCATCTGGACTCCTTGATGAATTTTAAATGCATGGGTTTCTTTGTTTATTATTATTATTACTACCTTTTTATATATTTTTCTTATATTTTATCACACATTTAAGTCACAGTTTATTCTATGCTTGCACGGTGTATTGCATGTTTTCTTATTTTATTAGGTTCCTAATGAGGTTATATCTTTTATCCTTTTATATATTATTAATCCCCCGTTTCCGTTTCAAACATTGCTTATATTATTTTATTTATATTTTAGTTATTACTTTACATTTGATTGTAAATGTATGTTGGAGCCCCCCGCAGGGAAACACCATGAAATAACCCTTTAATAAAGTATTTCTAAACATCATCCGAGGCGTGTCCCATGTCTCGCCTGCACCCCCCCTCTAGACCTCGGTCTGGGTTTTAACACTTTTAGGGACGTTGACTTTGTTTTAGAATATGTTCCCTCCCCGTGTGCCCACTAACCCGTGTGTATTTTATATATTTGATCTTATATTAGACCAGCACTTATTTTTAAAAGCACTTTTATGTATTTATTTATCATTTTTCACACTAATTCTACCGGTTTTAAGCAAGGTCAACCTCGGTACTTTTAGCCAGATGTTTTTAATCCACTTACCAGGTCTTTTACCAGATGTTGTGGGACACAGCCTCGGACAATCTACCGGGGCGGACCCCCTCGGGGGGGCAGGAGTACAGGTTTGAACCCCGCTGCATACGCTCTGTGCTTCAGCCGCTGCTCTCTTTTATCCCTTTTATTGCATTTTCTTTATTAAAACATTTTGAACACAGACCAGACAGGGCTTTTATAAACTTGTATTGGTTTTATTACAGGAATTTTTAAATAGGTTTTTAAACAAAAAATATTGACCCGAGAGCCCGTGTTACCCCAAAACCCTAACCCTAGACCAGTCAATCTACTCTAACCCTGAATGAACAGCAACGACCGAAAGGAATGAGATTGCCGATGCAAGCAGCACTGGGTGTCTGTTCTCACCTTTAAAGAACAAAGGGAGAGGAACTACACACCTGGAAGACTCTATGAGCCAATCCTTCACCTAAAACAGAATCAGTTGACCTGGTTCACCCTGCCTCAAGAACACCTTTCTTTAGAGGGTATTTGGGCATGTTCAATTGGGTGGAGAAACCAGTTCAGACAAAGGTCATTCTGATTTGAATACAAAGGTCATCGCATCGGGGAATACCTTGGAATTAGGGCTGTGCAATTAATCGTATTTTAATCTCGATTACGATTTTGGCTTGCAACGATTACGAAAATAACGTAATCGAAATAAAACGATTATTATTTTTATAAAAAAAAAAAAGAAATGTAATTATTTTGGCTTGACAATGAATTATTATCATATCCGATCAGAATTTAGGTATCGTTAAATGAAACTGCGCTACCAGTTTTGTTTTGAAGAACCTACATTTTGTTTGCCTGGTTTCTACCTCCTCATTACAAAGGGTTGTGTTTTTTGTGTAATTGAGTTGTTTTGCCCCTTGTCCTTATTCCTTTCTGGCTCGAACGTCTCCTACTCCTCTCCATCCACCTCCCGTAGCTACATGACGTCTGACTCCACCACGCATTGCTGGGTGTACTCCTTCACCAGCTCCACGTTCAAGATGTTGCGGCAGAATTCCATCATGGGCTTCCAGAGTGGGGGGTCCAGGAACACCTGGCACATCACGTGACCCTTCAGAGTGGCAGTGTGGCGCTGCAGGTGGCACAGGAGCTGCTGTTGGACAGGATCCAGTTCCTTACCGAACATGTTAATGTTCAGGGAATACCTGGTTTAAAAGAAGTGTAAATACAAATAGTCAATTGAGTGAAAATACTTTCTTGTTCTAAAATAACTTCTGGAAATCTTAACCCTCCTGTCGTGTCTGTTTCTCCCCCCTTACTTTGGTGTTCCTGGGAATCTTTGACCGTTCTGTAACTTTAACTTATCTTACATTGAAACAAAAACCATTAGAGATCATCACATTTTATTTAACACCCTGTTAAAAGTGTGGTAGGTACGTTTGAGAAACCGGCTCGAGATACACTTGTTGTTATATTCCATGGAATGCTCTTAACATCCCGATAGCAATGAATATCTGAAGTGCTTTGACAAAAAATCCATAAAAAAATATCATCTGTGGAAGCCGTAGTACTGTAAAAAGCACGACCAATCATCTGAGCCGGCCCGGCTAAAATAACTGGATGGCCTACCTGCCTGTCAGCCTTCCATCTGGGCACAAACTTATCTCGTGCCCTCATTGGTCATGTGTGCGTTCGTGTGTGTTGGAGGAGGGGCTCTGTGAGGAAGTGGCAGATTTTCTCCGGTTGTGTATTTTCAAATTCTAGCGATCTCGAGCCGGTTTCTCAAACTTACCTACCCCACCTTTAAGATGCAAACAATGTCTCAGACTTCTGGTTTACATGAATGGGTGTGTACTATCTGATGGATGAACATACTCTAGACGTTACCCATTCATTTCCTATGGTGGTCATTTTTGACTGGGAACACCATCATTGTTACAAAGTTAACTAAACCACTCAAAATTCAAAGAAAGTGGTGATCAGCAACTTTATATGTTCAAATGTCAACTGTGGAGAATATCATAAGGTCTTGACGCAATCAAATATAACACACAATATTTATGATTGATGAAAGAAGTAATCATTCCAATTTGATCCGAACATGACAGGAGGGTTAAAACCACTATGTATATAACAAATTATCAAATCTGGCACCAATGGTATTATTGTAAGACAACATTATTGCATATTTTTCTGCACAGTAGTTGTCCCTGAATTGAAATTATTATATTAAGAAAGAAAGAAGTGTTACCAGTCATTTCCAATGGGCACCCTGTAAGGGAATGTACAGAGGCTGGCCACAGTAGGGTTGGCCACATCATCGACCATCCAGTCAATGTCCTTCTTCAGTAGAATAGCCATGTTACTGGGTAGAAGCTTGAATGGCTGAGAATCTTGAATGATGGTGGCGTTAGGAAGGACCCCATGCATCCGATCAGAGGTCAGATACAGCCGGCGGATGGCTGTATTGTCGAGACGCACTGGAGGAGGTTTGAAGGAGGTGGACAAAGAAGATTGAATATCTCCAAGACCAAGATCAGACAGACGCAGCTTGAGTTCTTCAGCCCTGAAGCGCACCAGGAGAATACCCTATAGAGAAGAAAGCCAATGCGTGAGCTGACCATGGACTATATCGTATATAGTTACATCAATAGTGTAACCAACGGACTTAAATTGAGGCTTATAAAGCACAAGCCGATACATAGAAAGGCTTGTTGCTTGTACCTGCTTGGTTATGAGGCGATATTTCTGGAAATCCTTTGGTCCGAGCTGATCACGGGTCAAGCGGGTTACTTTGACATCAGGGAACTTGGATTTGACCAGATCAGAGCAAAAGCGCAGCAGAACCCCAACCACACCCTTACCCCTTTCCTGAGGGGCGACGCGTAGAGCTTGCACCAGCATAGTCTCCCCATCGTCAATCACAAACACTGACTCCAGAGCAATCTGTTGAGGAGAAAAAGAAAAAGAAAAAATGCGAAGAAAATCATTGACATGTCCTTTTTAGAACCATTTCTGAAGCTGGTCTGGAGCTGACAAATTATGAATGATCTTAAATGTCTAAGAGATTTGGGAAACAAGAACATGCTAATCAGAGCATGAAACATGAGCCAATTTCTGTGTGGCAATGGCAGCAGACTAATTCATGTACCACCAGAACCAGAACATCTGTAAACAGTCAACGAAGTTTAGCTTGGAACCACTGATCTTTGGAGCTAGAAGGAGCCAGTTGAGATCTTTCAGGCATCTTATTAGCATGTTTTCTGGAAACCTTCTTTTGTTACTGTGTTCTGGGAATGTCCAACTGGAAGGAGAACCCCAAAAACTCAGAATAGCTAAAGAGATTATGCATTTGAACTGAAAATACCTTGGGATGACCCAGGATATGTTGGATACTTTGCCTTCTGTCACTGAAAGTTATCTAAAACACTTTCAATGTCATTGAAAAGAAAGAAAAGAAAGAAGTCTTCCTAAATACTCAAAGCTGGTGTAGTATGCAGTGTAACTTAAAGTAACTACTACCAATTGAAAGTGCCACCAAAGAGCTCAGTGCATAGTTTCTATCCATACAACATGTCAGCATCAGTGCTTGGCGTGTACAGGTTACGATTTAAAATTCAGTAATTATATAAACAGTTCCTAACCCAAGTAACCCCCCATTACTACGAGGTTTTTCTCGATTGCTGTCTTGCTGGACGTTAGAAAGGTTAATCACATTGGTGGGCTCTACTTTAGAGAGACTGGTCTGGGACATATTAGAATGGCAGTTAGTCTCCAAAGTAGGACAAAGGTGACTCCCAGTAATTCGCAATTGTTTCATTTTAATACAGTGTGTTCTTGGATAGTTGGAAAATGGAAAGTTCCCAGTAGAATTCTGCTTATTAAACGCAGTTGCTGAGAAATGAAACCAACGAGGAATGGCCTTAATTATGACAAATGTAATTTTTACCTTTTTCATTTTAAGTCATGAAACTCTTACTTTTGCACAGAGAAATGTCTTGGATAAGAAAACTATTTTCCGACTTCTGTAATTCAAGAATTCAGCTTTTTATATCCATAAGTTATTATATTACTCACAATCAAATATTTTGATTGAACTTACTACTTTTCCCTGTTTGCGGGCCAATATGACGGTGCGGTTGGTCTCCTGCAGCCAGTCGGTGTATCTCGTGGGCAGGTAGTCGAGGCCTCCATCTATACCCTGGCTTATGCCCATGATCTCATCAAAGTCCTCCTCAGTGGCCCCAGAAAACTGAAGGCCTGCCTGGGACAGGGCCTCTGGGAGCTGGCGCATGGTCAGGCTGGTGACAATCTTCCTCTTGAAATAACTGATGAGATACAAAGTGGGGGAGAGGTTATTATGGATTGTAGTTATTTTCTTAAACAAGGACTTGGAAAAGCCCAAGAGCTGTCCCAACCCATGTGGAAAATGCTGGATGGGGCTAAACAAGCTTCTTCAAAATGTGTCTGCTTGGATAACAGGTGTTTGTGTCAAATCCACACCAAACTAAGCTGTTAGTTCTTAATTATAACACATTGAATAATGTTTCTGCCACTTTAAATAGATATAATGGAAAGAATAATCACATTAGTGACTCCCGGCACAAAGGTTTATGTGTTATGGCTTGTACAGTGTAAATGAAACATACTGTAAGCAGCCTGTGAAAGCAGAGTAATACCAGTGGTAAAACACAGACAGACAACATCTATACACATTTATTTTCTCACGTATTACATAATATAGGCATCCAATACAGTGGAAAAATAAATAGGAATTAAATTGATGAGATTGGTGTAGGAATTGACAACTGAAACAAAACAATCATTTTCATTCAATCCCCAAAAGAGTGAACCAAATACAAATGACCGCAGGAATGATAATGGCCAGTAACTGAATGAGATGAAGCAATAGATGAGTAGAAGCAGAATAAAGACTTATCCCGCCTTCACTATTGCAACGCACTCCTCTACGGCATCAGCACTACATCCCTCAATAGACTTCAGCGTGTCCAGAACGCAGCCGCCAGACTCCTCACCCACACCAAATCATGGCATCATATCACCCCGGTCCTCAAAGAACTTCACTGGCTCCCCGTTTCACACCGCATCCAATACAAACTCCTGGTACTCACCTACAAAGCCCTCCACCACCTGGCCCCCCCCTACCTCACTGACCTCCTCATCCTCTACCAACCACCCCGGTCCCTCAGATCCACCTCAGCCGGTTTGCTTTCCATCCCCAAGGCTAAACTCCGGAGCTTTGGGGACAGAGCCTTCTCTGTGGCAGCCCCGAAGCTCTGGAACTCCCTCCCCCAAGACCTCCGTGAGTCTGAGTCCCTCACCCTGTTCCAGTCCCGCCTCAAAACCCATCTCTTCAAGTCTGTATATCCATAAGCCCCCCCCCCCTCTCAACCAACTTCCTCCTGACTGCTTTTCTGTTTTTTTTTCTTCTGTTTTTTGTTGTTGTTGTTGTTTTATTGCCTGTCCTTGTTTGTCTACCCTTCCCCAAATGTAAAGCGTCTTTGGGTTTAGAAAAGCGCTATAAAAATAAAATGTATTATTATTATTATTATACAGGAAAACATGAATGGATGGATCAGAAGGATAGAGAAATGCAAGACATGAAACCAACGGGAGAGGCAGAAACAGACAGAAAGACGGGCCAACAGATCAATCAAAAGAGACACAGGAAGTGTAAGACTGGCACCTATCTTGATCCCGATGTCTTTTCCGATTCATCTGGTAAATCCATACCCCTCAGCTCTCTAATCCGGACACTAATACCCTCTCCACATTATAATCACTGGTATTTGTCCAGAACTTGGCTAAAGAATTTACAGAATTTAAAAACTTTAAACACATTTGAAGACCACAATGCTGTTATTTCACCCAGATAAGACACATCAAGACAAAGTCAAGATCAAAGTGTTGTGGGCACGAACCAAAAAAAAAGTATATTGAATAATATTGAAGAAAAGAGTGCACAGGTGTTAAAGTGCACCTATCATGCTATTTTTAGGCATATATTATGGGTCTCAGATATATACAAAAATATAAAAACATGTCTATGATGTGTTTTTTCTCAAAATACAAACAGATCATGTATTTTAGAATCCCTCATATCCCTCTATTCCAGCCCTGTTATGGCGCTTTTCCACTTCAGCACGTAGCACGGTTTAAGGTTTCTCAGGGCTACTTTTTCACCTTTTTTCTGGCCCTCCAAAATCGAGGTTCTTACCGGGCCAACAACCGGGCTGAGTATGCTAAACTAGTGACGTAAACACTCTCGACTGCTGAATGTTCAGAGAGAATCGCTGGCAAGGGGGGGCTACAACTACAACAAGATGAACATATTTGACCGTGATTTAATTGTAATACACGTTTCAAAATGATGCCGAAGTAACAACATACTGATACCGGTTAGTAAAAACCATGAATTAATGCTTTGACAAGTCTGCAGACAGACGGCAGGCGAAAAACCTTTTAAAATGCGTGTTTTCTGAATGGAGATCGGTGAGATAACCCTCACTGAATCTAGTGGTTAAACAATTAACAACCAAACAGCCAAAACAGCACTCACTGCAGTGACATCAGCATAAAGCTCTCTGAGCAGGGTCAAAGTAAAAGTGTTAGCCCAGTCTAATGATAAACACATTACTTCACACACAAAGTCCAGAACTACGAGTTAACCAGGTTAATGCAGTGAAGGAGGAAGCAGCATATGCATTTACCAGCATGTTGTTTGTTCATACCTGAACCATGATCACATACCTTGAGAGGGGGTAGCTGGCTCTGTTTGAGAGCAGGTAGGAAGGGAACATGCTTTACTCCACAAAGAGGAGCAGTGTGTGTCATCTGTTGATTACAATAAGCAGTAAGTAACTGAAGTAAAATGCTAATTGTTACAACAATATTAACAATCAATAATGTCATATATTATAATATAGCACATATGAAATACATTTTCCTGCAAAATTAGTCCCCTTACTTTTGATACTTTCAAAGTGAGAGTAAGTGTGGTTTAAAATGCATTTACTTGTGAAAGTAGTATTTGATATTAACCGGTACGTTTACTGAAGTAAAGACTCTGAATACTTTTTGCACCAAAGTAAAGTACAAGTTGTCTGATCCTCCTCACGTCTAAGTTTCTGTTACTTTATATAAGAACAAGGTGAACGTCTTCTTGAATATCAGACAGTATGCCAAAAGGTGGCGCAGGAATGAGTTCTAAAACAAATGATTCAGCATTTTGGCACTTCCTTATTTTACATAAATAAGGAGAGAGTTATCAAAAGTATTGTTGACATAATATCAAAGTAATATCACCAGAAGTAAAATGTTAACGGCCAACAAAAAAGAAGCAACTGGAAGATTTCAGAAAGAAGTATGATCTGTATCTGTATAAAATGCCATGTACGTCCGCGGTCCCCAAGCAGGTAAACAATACAGAACATGTACCAGCACCAATAAACAATCAAAAACATACAATACACAAGTAAAAAGACACATTAAATGACGTTAGATGAGATCCTAGTTCTGGTTTTCCTTAAAGAGTAGTCCTACTTTGAGATTTCTTTAAATCAGATTGTGGTTCCAACAGAAGTATTCAGTCTGTTTGAGATGTTTAGGAAACTCACCAGAGATTCTGCTGTTTGTTGAGAAAACCTGAGATCAGCGGATTCTTCTTCAGAGAGAAACAGAGTAAGAGACTCAGGAGCACAAATGCTGTCTCTGATAAACTGTTCACCTTTAAATACCTGATTTGATTTGATTTGATCTGAAGATGTGGCATTAAAGTACTGAACACAAAAAGAAGACAGACCGGATCACACCTGTGATGTGCATGGTTGTCACTCAGAGAGAGAGAGAGGGGGGGAGAGGGGGGAGAGAGAGAGAGAGGGGGGGAGAGAAAGAGAGAGAGAGAGGGAGAGAGAGAGGGGGAGAGGGAGAGATCAAACTCAATTCTCACAAAACAACCACAAGCATTACCCATCCAAAACGATGACATCTGGAGAGAACATTTTGAAAGTTTGTACAAAGACATACCAATAAATCTAAATAATTCAGATCAATGTATTACAAAAGAAACTATTAAAGACCACCAAAAGCCCCTTGATTTCCCAATGACTGGGGAAGAGTTGACCACACAGACACAATCTCTCCGGCCAAGGGAAGCTTGTGGCCCAGACAACATTTGGAGTGGCCAAAATCCCCAAAAGTTTGTCTTGTAACTTGATACCTCAAAAGTTATTGTTCTTGGCCACATGTAGAGCTTGGGGCTGGGAAGCAGTGTCAGACTCGCAGTACAAAATCCACTGGACGTTTCGGTTGCTTTTCAACATTTATTTCCAGCAAACATAAAACAAAATAGGAAAACAATATTTAACATAAACTTAAACAACAGATCCTAATAATCCGTCTTCTATAAGCCTAAGGTTGCGTCTGCGTGTCAATGACGGTATTGCTGCTGCCTGCTGCCCTCCCGTCACACACCGCACCTGCAACTTAAAGCTTTAGCCCCGCCCCCTTCACCTGAGCAAAGCGCACCTCTCACTGAAACAACACATTCTCACTCCCAACTCGGCCTATGTTGACGTTATGTCAGGGTCCCTGTCGTCACTTTCCAACGCAAGGGGGGGCCCTTTAGCGTCGAGTTTCAACTATCAGGGAGTCCCATTGACTTGCATAGAGCGTTCCCTGAACGTTGGTAATAGACGAGTTGGGATCTGCGGAGAAATGCTCTCCGCAGATCCATTCACACAGCGTTTATCAACCTTTCTCTAACTCAATATCAAGCCACACTTATTGCAACCACTAGATTCCACCGGGTCCGTCTGTGGCGCGTTACGGCCCCGTTATGGCTGCGCCGCGGCGCTCACGGCGCTCACAGCGCTCACAGCGATCGCGGCCACTCTAGTCAATGGGTGCTATTTCACCACACGCGGCGCGTTACGGCTCAGAAGCGTCCCAGAAGCGTCTCGGCGCAGGGCTCCTCTAAAATTAGGATGAATCCTATTTTTGACGCAACGCAGCCGTAAGGTAATGTCGGGCAGGCAGGCAGGAAGTGGAACGGCAGGCAGGCAGGAAGTGGAACGTTGTGCGTTATATATATACATACACACAAACTAATTTTGCAGACCCTATCCCTCCGTAGTCTTTCAAGTAGGAGGAGAAATGAAAGCGTTCTCCTCCGGTTTACAAGCACTGTGTAAATTATATATATAGAATAATTATGATGATGAATGCATTTTTTTACCACTAAAATACAGCAACACATCTTTGATTCATGTCGTTTATAACTGGAATATTACAGTTATTATTAACTTTGTCTGTACAAAGTAGCCTGTCCAGGAAATATGCCCAAATCAACAAAAACTGCGAGCCGGCAGGCAAGACGCTCCGCTTCTGAAATGCTCCTGAAACGCGCCCGGTAGGGTATGACGCCGGAGGAGGTAGGACCAAAACCGCGGTGCGGCCGTAACGCGGCGCAGACGGACCCGGTGGAATCGAGGGGTAAGAGAGATTTCTACCGGGAGAAACTCAGCTAAACGCTGCTGTGATTAAAGGAGGGGTAGGTAATTTTGGAGAAACCGGCTCGAGATCGCTAGAATTTGAAAATACACAGCCGGAAAAAATCTGCCACTTCCTTACAGAGCCCCTCCTCCAACACACACGAACGCGGCCACATCTACGAAGAAATATGAACTTTCCCATGATTTATTTCTGTTATTAGGCTTTCTGAAAGTCTGAATCAGATCAGGGACGTCCCAGGATCTGTTACTGTGGTACCAAGTTGATGCCAAAACTCTACAGACTAACTTCGTCCTGTTGTCCAGGGACAATAGAAAAAACCCTAGTGTTCCTTATGATAACAATGTTATTTTGTATATTGAATGTTGTGCCTTTTATTTATGCCTCCTAATGTGTGCATTTGTATTTATTTGTCTATGTTTGATTATGTATGTGTGTATATACATGTATATATACACAAACTGTATACTATACTGTACAGTCTATGGTTAAACCCTGCTTAAATGGTACAACTACGCCGCCTGCTGTTGTAAATGTGAGATTATGGGTTAACCCCATAGCAACCGTGTAGCAACCGCACAGCAACCACATAGCAACGGAGGATCTTCTGAGGTAAGGAGAAACCGGCTCGAGATCGCTAGAATTTGAAAATACACAACCGGAAAAAATCTGCCACTTCCTTACAGAGCCCCTCCTCCAACACACACGAACGCGCACATGACCAATGAGGGCACGAGATAAGTTTGTGCACAGTGTTGGAGCAGAACACCTCTGCTACGCGCCGTTCGTTGGATGAGGCTGGATCTCTATTAAATTAAGAAAGGAATTGAAAACACCGGAATCAAAGTTATAACAAATTATCTGAGTTTACTTCTGGTAGGAAACCAAACACATATACAAGTTATACAGAGTACTCGAGTACTCCGGGCTTCAGGTTCGTGATGCGATGCGGATAAATGTGACGGGATCAAACCAACTCATCAAACGAGATGAAAGTGACTTCAGGTTTGTGATGCGATGCGGACACAGATATCGGGATCAAACCAACTCACCAAACCAAAAAGCATTTTTACACTCAAAAACATCAGTATTCATATCTATTTTTGGGGCGGAGATTTGTCGACTCTTCCTTCTCATTTTCCTCCCAAGCGAATTAGAGAGCCCCTGGGGAGGAGCTGTTTAAACTGCTCACCTCCCCCAAGTGTCCTGATTGGCTGGATTCGCTTCTGGTCGAGGTCAATAGTTCTCACCAGGACTTGAAATTCCAAAGTCCCCTAAGGTCAAAAGTCAACCTCTATCTTCACCCTATCTACTCTACATTCCCTTCCCATGAGTTCTTCACCTATTTAACGATGTCTTTAACGACTTAAAAACAACATCTGGCTTTTAGGGGTGATACAGGCAAGGTTGGTGTGTGAAACACAGAATCTCTGAGTCAGTGAGTTTGAAAGTGAGAATAACATTCCTATTCTAAGTGATTTATCAAAACCCGTTGTGTTTACCTAAAACAGTTCAAACAATACATGTTTACTTCAATACAGTGTAGAATCATATCTTTTTACTTCAACAGATGGAAGGCTGACAGGCAGGTAGGCCATCCAGTTATTTTAGCCGGGCCGGCTAAAATGATTGGTCGTGCTTTTTACAGTACTACGGCTTCCACAGATGACATTTCTTTATGGATTTTTTGTCAAAGCACTTCAGATATTCATTGCTATCGGGATGTTAAGAGCATTCCATGGAATATAACAAAAAGTGTATCTCGAGCCGGTTTCTCAAACTTACCTACCCCACCTTTAAATGCCATATTATGTTCCCAACCACTTCAAGCATTATTTCTGAAACAGTATGGAGCTCAAACCTTTCTCTCTCGCAGGGTTTACCACAAGGACATTACGTTACACATATTCTCTCCAGTACAGGTTAGCTCTGACTGTTAGCTAATGTGAACACAGACCATATTACACCCAAAACACGCTGTGCATTGTTTCCAGAGATGGGGTCGTTACTAAAAAAAAATAATGTATTACATATTACATATTACTTGTAAAAAAAGTAATATATTACACTACTTCGTTACTCTCTACATAAAGTAACTCGTTACTTTACTCGTTACTTTACTCGCAGGGCCGGCCCGCCCCTCCCTACAGGCAGATCACGCAGACTGCTAAAGTTTCAAATGTTCTCTTTAGTTCAGTTTCCATTGTCGCATAAGACTGATCCAGATAGCTCTGACCATGGCTGTCCTCTGTCTCCTGCTATCTGTATTGTGCGCAGTATATCTCTGAACGATGCGATGGTGATTCCACTGTGCAAATGGGCAACATTTCCTAGACGACTGCGCGCATGCGCATTGCTTTCATAGCTTATGCTAATCATTTTATGCATAATACACTTTGTGTAAGATTTAATTTTGAGCCCAGAGATGCCGTGCTGTTGAGTTGCAATTATAACTTCCACAAGCTGAATGGTAAGACTCAGTAGCTTGGTGCTAAAGTTAGAATCAGTGGATATGTATTTTGTCGTTTAGTTTTCCATAGCACTCATTCATGCATATATTACTTTTCCTCAGGACACTGACCATGAAGAACGATTGCTCAGAGGTGTGTCTGTGGCCATCCTCACCGTCATTGAAGATGATGATGCCGCCATATCGCCCAATGTGCGAGACGTGGCTGTTGTGTTGGAAGGGACCATTGTACTGCATGACCTACCAGACCTACTGCCTTTGCATACCTCTTTGTCCTACGTTATGCAATGAACATGGATTATCCAAAGGAGATGAGGTATACCTTTGAAGCCATTCAGACTATCTTTTACGAGCTTGGCTCTCGATGCTCACAGCGCATAAGGTCTCGGAAAACAAAGCTTTTGCTGTGAATGTTAATGGGGAAGCCAGACATGACTTTAACCTATGTTTCGCCTGTTCTAGTGCATTGTGGTTAGTGCTCATGTAAAACCTCACAGCATTCATTTCATTTTAAGCATATAAGTTCTCTTCTGAAATAGAGAATCAAAGAATGTGTGGATGTGTAAGTTGCCAGTTCAAAAGAGGGGCATATCCAGTATTTCTACTGTTCAAGTTCATTGTTAGTGATCAGGTAAAACTTCAATGTATGTACATTGACATGCAGTCATTTTAAGCCTGAAGTCCCATTTGCCTGTGAAATTGAAATGTGTGGAATTGTGAGTTGCCAGTTGACAAGAGGCACTGGATTGTAATTGTTATATTTGTTTATTCTTAAATTATTTGATTGTGATGTGCTGAAGAGGCTGAGGCCTGATATATCACAATGATGTCAGGTGTGTGAATCCTATTTTGACCTGATGGATAAAAGCAGAAGCAGAAACGATCCTCAGAATCTGTGTTCAAAGGCCATCATCATTTTCTGTTTAAAGCAGCTTTGCTAGATGTTTATTATGTCAAGAAATGTCCTTAACTTGTGTTATGTTGCAAAACGTGCATTTTTTCAAATCCATATCTTCAGCATGTGAAGAATGCATGTTATCAACATCTAGCAAAGCTGCATTAAAGGGGACCTATCATGCAAAATGCACTTGTGTACGTCTTTTCTACATGAACATGTGTCCCCGGTGTTCCAGGGAACTCACCAAGTGTCAGAAAACACAACCCTCTCTATTTTCCTCCATACCCAAATCTCTAAAAAAGGGGCTGCAACGGATCTGATAAAAACTGATCCAGATTTGAACACTGTCCTGACGTCAGGACGGTGGCGCTACGGCTATTGGGCCAACTCCACCAATCAGGAGGAGACAGCCACGGACATTGCCGTTCGAAAGCGCTGGAGACGCTGTAGTACATATGCCAGGCCTGTAGGTGGTGCTGTTCTCACAGAATCAGCCCTTGCTAAAACAGAGCTATAAATTGTCAAATTGAGCAAAATGAGGCATGGCTAAAATGCATGATCTGTTTGGTATTTTGAAAAAAAAAAAGTATAAATATGCCTTATATAGGTATGGTCCTACACTATATTATTATAATATAGCATGATAGGTCCACTTTAAACAGAAAATGATGATGGCATGGGGTCTGCGAGACAGCGAGACACAGAGGAACTCAGGCTGTGAGTGAGTGTGTGTGTGTGTGTGTGTGTGTGTGTGTGTGTGTGTGTGTGTGTGTGTGTGTGGAAATCCGTTACGTCACTTTACTCAGGAAGAAAAAAATTGAAAAAGAGAAATCCCCAACGAGGCGTTCTGGGGCAGCATAGCAGGTATTTTCTGTGTTAGAGTTTTACTCGCTACAGGGTGTACTTTGAGGGTTTGTGACTCAGCATGTCGTTGTGTCCCCGAGACACTTCACCCCAAAATTGCTCCTGTGGGGATTGCCCACAGTATTGAGTATGTTAGTCGCTTTGGATAAAAGCGTCTAACAAGTAACATGTTTACATGCAGAAAAAGCTACATAACACACAAGGGGACGGGTAATAACCAGAAAAGCATATGATGAGATCTTTAAAAGAGAGAATGTTTTGTGTGCTAAAGTGGACAAAAGATGGACAAAATGTTCATATAATTGAATTAAATCGTAATAATTAACTGAATAAATAATGGCTCTTTTTTTGTTAGTTCATTTTCAATGTCTGACATCGATGTTGATTGAAATCTTCAGCGTGACAATATCTCAATGTTCATTCAAAGACCTTTTGCTATCTGATAACATTGTTTCAATGTATAATGCAACGCATAATATAGTTGAATCAATGTTGTTGCAATTCTACATTCTTTCAATGTTGATCATATCGTAATTGAATCAAGGTTGATTCATTGTTGGGATTGATTGAAAATGCAATGTTCTTTCAATGCTGATCATAGCGAGCACTTTCACTGTTCTTTCAATGTCTGACATCAATGTTGATCACAATCTTCAGCGTGACAATATCTCAATGTTGATTCAATGACTTTTTGCTATCTGAGCCTCCAGAGCAAGTCGGACAAAATGACCATCATGCAACGCACTAGCAAGACGTTGATCGCAATTGCGCAGGTCTGCGCAGGTCTCGCTCGTCTCAAACAAGCCTAATAACTTTTTTAAATCTTTTTATCTTTATGTTTTAAACATTTTTTTTTTAAGTTTTTAACATTGTGGATAAATCCTTATATGCTCCCGGCAACACACTGAACGTCAACTTTGCCTCCTTATTAGACTCACCCAGTGTGCGAAGTAGTTATAATCGGGGGGGGTCCCCATCTCCCGTTTATTGCGCAATATTCCGGTCGAAGATTTCGCAATATATTCTCAATATTTTGATCAAAGTCAATGCGGAAAACGCGCACTCACACGGGGGGGCATGTAAATAGTGCCTTGCACCCTTCAGGTGGAGGTGAAGGGAATGAGCACTTGTACAGCCTTATTGGCGAGGTGGGGGAACTCGGTCCCTCCTCTCCACAGACAGCCAAAAGTGTGCAAGTGACGTTTTCTGCCAGACACCGTCTCCTCTCTCACTTTAGGTAACTTCACTAAAAATCGATCCATGTTGCCGCTCGCATAAAGTTAGCTGAAGTTAACTAGCTAGAATTCACTGTCTCCCCCCCGGGGAGGCGCGCCTCACACTTTGAAAACCGCTGAGCTAGACGACTGTATACAGAGACGATAGGTTGGGACGTGTCACGTGTGCCGGAGACGATAGGTTGAGACGTGTCACGTGTGCCGGATGTCGCCAATGACGTCATAGGAGCCAAATCCTGGCTTTTTTTTTAGAGATGTGGGTACGGAGGAAAGAGAGAGGGTTGTGTTTTCTGAAACTTTGTGAGTCTCCTGACACATCGGGCGGGGACACATATTTATGTAAAAAAGACATCAAAAAGTGCATTTTGCATATTAGGTCCCCTTTAAACAACAATTTTTTGCCGCTTCCCCGCTGATCATGTGATTCCAGCTTTACAGTATCAATATGCAGTATTTCAGATAGATGGATGCTTTATTTATCCTAAATTAGGAAATTATGTTGTCACAGCAGCAGTGTTATCCAGCCTTACACACAAGTTAAAAATATGTAAAAGATACAGTAAGATACAAATCTAGTAAAAATACAAATGAACATTAACAGCAAGTATTTACAAATTCACAATAGAAATACATATATCACTTTTTCAGCAGGTTTCTCCAAAGTGTTTGTGAATTTCCCTCTCCTGCTGATGTTCAGGTGTATATCAGTATGTAGTGTCTCTACTTTAAAGAGTCCTCTCCTGCTGACGTTCAGGTGTATATCAGTATGTAGTGTCTCTACTTTAAAGAGTCCTCTCCTGCTGATGTTCAGGTGTATATCAGTATGTAGTGTCTCTACTTTAAAGAGTCCTCTCCTGCTGACGTTCAGGTGTATATCAGTATGTAGTGTCTCTACTTTAAAGAGTCCCCTATGGTGATGTTCAGGTGTATATCAGTATGTAGTGTCTCTACTTTAAAGAGTCCTCTCCTGCTGACGTTCAGGTGTATATCAGTATGTAGTGTCTCTACTTTAAAGAGTCCTCTCCTGCTGACGTTCAGGTGTATATCAGTATGTAGTGTCTCTACTTTAAAGAGTCCTCTCCTGCTGACGTTCAGGTGTATATCAGTATGTAGTGTCTCTACTTTAAAGAGTCCTCTCCTGCTGACGTTCAGGTGTATATCAGTATGCAGTGTCTCTACTTTAAAGAGTCCTCTCCTGCTGATGTTCAGGTGTATATCAGTATGTAGTGTCTCTACTTTAAAGAGTCCTCTCCTGCTGACGTTCAGGTGTATATCAGTATGTAGTGTCTCTACTTTAAAGAGTCCTCTCCTGCTGATGTTCAGGTGTATATCAGTATGTAGTGTCTCTACTTTAAAGAGTCCTCTCCTGCTGATGTTCAGGTGTATATCAGTATGTAGTGTCTCTACTTTAAAGAGTCCTCTCCTGCTGATGTTCAGGTGTATATCAGTATGTAGTGTCTCTACTTTAAAGAGTCCTCTCCTGCTGACGTTCAGGTGTATATCAGTATGTAGTGTCTCTACTTTAAAGAGTCCTCTCCTGCTGATGTTCAGGTGTATATCAGTATGTAGTGTCTCTACTTTAAAGAGTCCTCTCCTGCTGATGTTCAGGTGTTTATCAGTATGTAGTGTCTCTACTTTAAAGAGTCCTCTCCTGCTGATGTTCAGGTGTATATCAGTATGTAGTGTCTCTACTTTAAAGAGTCCTCTCCTGCTGATGTTCAGGTGTATATCAGTATGTAGTGTCTCTACTTTAAAGAGTCCTCTCCTGCTGATGTTCAGGTGTATATCAGTATGTAGTGTCTCTACTTTAAAGAGTCCTCTCCTGCTGACGTTCAGGTGTATATCAGTATGTAGTGTCTCTACTTTAAAGAGTCCTCTCCTGCTGATGTTCAGGTGTATATCAGTATGTAGTGTCTCTACTTTAAAGAGTCCTCTCCTGCTGACGTTCAGGTGTATATCAGTATGTAGTGTCTCTACTTTAAAGAGTCCTCTCCTGCTGACGTTCAGGTGTATATCAGTATGTAGTGTCTCTACTTTAAAGAGTCCTCTCCTGCTGATGTTCAGGTGTATATCAGTATGTAGTGTCTCTACTTTAAAGAGTCCTCTCCTGCTGATGTTCAGGTGTATATCAGTATGTAGTGTCTCTACTTTAAAGAGTTCTCTCCTGCTGATGTTCAGGTGTATATCAGTATGTATTGTCTTCAAAAAGCTCTTTATTTTTCTCATACTGCCTGTGCTGCAGCACCTCTTTTCACCCTCTGAAACCAGAGCCCAGTCTGCTCTGATTGGTTAGCTGGCCAGCGCTGTTGTGATTGGTCAACCGCTTACAGATGTCCCGCCCCTTTAGCTCATCCTGCAGAGTCTTGCTGTGAAAATCCAGTTAAGCTGTTACCTGATTGGTTGTCCATCAAACGGTCTGCTGTAACGTTGAAATAATCTACCATTTTAAGCTTTTCCCTAGAAACAAAACGGCAACCTCAGCGCTGAACCTTTTTACGCATATCATGTAGTGGCAGGTTGACAGGCCCCTTCACAGAAAACTGAATATCCTCTCATGGGATAAATCAAGTTGTTCTTCTTCTTCTGGTTAAAGCTGCTGTTGATCCGGATGGTGTTTCTGCAGGTGGATCCTCAGGTTCTGCTTCCCGGCGAACCTCTTCCCGCAGTGCGTACATCCGAACGGCCGCTCCCCGGTGTGGACGCTCTGGTGCGTCTTCAGGTGTCCGGACTGCGTGAAGCGCTTCCCGCACTGAGCGCAGCTGTACGGTCTCTCGCCCGTGTGAACGCGAAGGTGCGTCTCCAAACTTCGCCCCGACGTAAACCATTTCCCACAGTAACTGCAGACGAAACGACGATCCCTGCAGAACCGACTCATCTCCAATGGGTCCAGTTGGGATCCTGCGAGCTGGAGCGCTAACGGGAAAGCTGGGACGTTTATATCGGATCTGTTGTTGTCGAGAAGTCGGTGAGACGGGAGAGTCTGATTGGTCCACGAGGAACAGCAGATATCTGAGTCGTAGGAGATTAAAGACCCGCCTATTTTCAGCTCAGAAGTCCCGGGAAGCAGCGAGTTCTTTCCTCCCGACGCCCCAACGACGAGGAACTGTTTATCCGGAGACTCACAATCCGACTCCACGTCAAAAACAACGTCTGAAGAGTCGCCTCCTCGGCCTGGAGACCCAGGTGCACTCTGGGAGTTTTGACGCTCCGATGCCACCTCACTGTTCTGGTCCCAGAGCCTCGTTTCCCCCGAGGGTCCAGCTTCACTGTCGTCTGTATCCAACAGCTGCACCGCCGATCCTGCATGAACACATCAACACATCTTTTGGTAATTTGTATGCAAAATAGTCATAAAATACAGTTTTTTAGCCTCTCAAATAGAGAGATTTCCTGTTTATTATCATATTAAAGTGAATATATTTGGGTTTTGGAAGATATTTCAAGACATCACCTTGGACTTTGAGTAAATGGGATGGATATTTTTCACTATTTTCTGACATTAAATAGACCAAACAACGAACAATAACCCACAGATTTATTAATAATCAAAATACTCATTAGTTGCAGTCCTACATGTAGGTAAGACTGTATGAATATGTTACTGATATTATGATTTATAACATGACAGTTGTCCTTATTGGAACTTTTACACATTGTTCTAGGATTCAGAGACTTCAAGCTGATTTAACAATAACACTTAAGAGATAATATAAGAAGATAAGATAAGAAAGTACTTCATTCAGGGTTCCTGCAGGTTCCACCAACGCAAATGTAAGACTTATTTCACGGCAAGAAAGTATGAAGGAAAATTGCTATCAAAGAAGAAATACGTCCCATAATTACTTACAAAGTAAATGTATTCATGTTCAACATAAGAACGATGACTGAACATAACAGCACACAGAACTGTGTTAGCGTGTTAGACAAAAAGTGTGTGTGTGTGTGTGTGTGTGTGTGTGTGTGTGTGTGTGTGTGTGTGTGTGTGTGTGTGTGTGTGTGTGTGTGTGTGTGTGAATTGTTACAGCTCAAATGCATTGCAATGACTTCCATGTTAAAAAAAGACTTTAAAAAGCTGAATGTTTTAAAAAGTATAACATATTTTGAAAAAGTTGAAAGTTTCCCATCATGTGCTGAAAAGGCTGAATAGTTTGATATTTGAATTGTTCCTGCAGCTGAAATTAGGCTGAAGGAGTTAAATAAAGACATTAAATGTAAGTAGTAGTGAATGAATGTTTACAAACACCTGTGTGTGTAAACCCAGAGATGAAAGGTTACCATGGTGACGACTTATGACGATTTACCAACTGCAGCACTGAGTCCCATTAAGAATGCATTGAGGATTATATCTGACAATTCTGCCACCTGTTCAAAAACTATGGCTCCTATCAAAAAATGACCAGACCGTGAGCATCAGGGAACCCCAATGAACTGATATATGTTGTTTTTTTTGGTTTTGTGTGTAAAATGTGGAGATGGGAGCAGTTTGTCTAAAGTGTACTTCTCTCTGTTCTGAAGAAAGTTCCGGAAAGATTTAACATGGGAATCAATTGGGAGCTAGGTGGACTTTTTGTCTCTTCATGCCCTCAAGAGGCATTTTGATTAATATTTCTTCTTAATTTTTTTTAATTTTCCAACCTAGGACAACGTTTTCCTACGTTTTTCATGAAAAATTATGTCTGAGGAGTGTAGGGTTTGGGAATTATGGCAGGTTTAAAACATTTTTGGGGGAGAATTTGAAGCACTGCTGCACTCTGTTTTGAGATCAAAGCACTCTAGACTTAACGAGCTGCTCCATCCACACTAATGTTAAAATCTGAAGAAAGCCTCTCTACCAAGCTCCAAACAAAGTTAAATATCTCAAAAAGTGTAAAAGATATCAAAAATAAAAATCAAGTTTGAATAGCTGAAGGTCTTGTGATCATTTGAAAGTTGGAATGAAGTGTCTAGCTGAAAGTATGTGAAGGAGTAGCATTTGGCGCAAGGTGTAGGAAAATAGGATTTGAAGGCATCTCCCATTGACTTCCATGTTAAAAAAAGAGTTTAAAAAGCTGAATATTTCAAAAAGTATAACATATTTTTAAAAATGTGAAGGTTTCCCATCGATTCCTGAACAGGCTGAATAGTTTAATATTTGAATGTTTTCTGTAGCTGAAAATAAGCTGAAGTTATGGAGTGCCAAAGTATAGAGTGGCGAAGTCCCTCCCCTTCCGGTGGACCTCCATGGGACCTTATTTCGGAAAAGTTATGTATTGAAGTCAATGGAGAGAGAAAGATTATCTTTCGATCCCGTTTGAATTGTGCCACGAATTACACATATGATGTTTGTCAATTTAAAAGATAATTTTGCAAGTTAAAAAAAAAAAAAGTGTCGTAAAACTGTGAAGTAACACATTTGTTTGTGTGAAACGCTCAATGAACTACATCTCTGGTCAACAACACACGTCACCAAGATGGCCGTCACTACTGTCTTGTCAACAAAACGATTGACTACCCTCACTATCACCACAATGAAACACGTCCTGAAGAATGTCATGCAAAGCTGCCTGCCTGCCTTCCTTTGATTCTCTCTGAACTGCCTGGTCGTTTTAATGTTTAATGTCAACCATTTGTGCAGATAGCATGAAGTGCAAAAGATCGCCGATGCTAGCGTTAGCATTAGCATTTCTCCCCCGGTCTTAAAGTGTGTATTATAGAATGATCACACCGGTGACAGTACTCTTCAAATGGTTCACGAAATATGACTACTACTCTTACTGTTTAACATGTTGGGTTACTTAATGTTACTTCATGTTAAGGCTAATAAAAATGACATGGCTGTAATGCTAACTAACGTGCTAGCTACTAGCTAGGTAGCTAACTTGATCCAGACACTCCTGGTCCTTTCATCAGACGGGAAGCGAAAGAACGAGCAAGACCCATTGCTGGTATGATAACAACCTGGTACTAAGCACACAGGCATCTTGTTAAAGTTATCTTATCTTAGCCAGCGCCATATAGATAGATTATATCTATATGGCGCTGATCTTAGCTATCTCTTAGTGTCTCAATTGTGACATCACTTACGCGACTCTGGGATTTGTAGTCTTTCTAGTTGCGTATTTTTCATAGTCTTATATTTCAACAGTTTTACGACAAACTGTGACTTTTTTTGACATGGAAATGATTTTTTAAGATTGACAAACATCATATGTGTAATTCATGGCACAATTCAAACGGGATCGAAAGATACGTTTTCTCTCTCCATTGACTTCAATACATTATTTTTCCGAAATAAGGTCCCATGGGGCGGAAGTAGATGGGCGTGACTTCGCCACTCTATTGGCTGAAATAATAATAAGGGGAAGAATAAAGATTTTAAGTACTATAGTGGAATGCTGTGGCACAGCATTCCACTAATAAATACCATCATTATACGCAGCGTGAATTTGCCAGACTCCATTTACTATGTTTTATGATCCAGAGAGTGCAGTTTGTATATAAGATGATCAAAGCAGCCTCACACCTACTTCCAGTTCTTCCCACTCTGTGGTTTTAGCTTGATTTGAGACTTCTGCAGTAAATGAATGAGCGACTTCCCGGATATTTAACGGTCTGTTTCCTGTCTCACCTTCCTCGTTGAGAAGCAGATCGTCTGCATCGTCGCTCACTTCCTCTTTCGTGGTTTCCTCCTTTATCAGAACGACAACATCCTGTTCCCTCGACTCCTCTGCGGCTCTGCTCGAGGAGTCCTGAGGGTAGAAAATACAATGGTGACAAAATAAAATGCTTTTTAATTCACTCTTAGAGACTAATTTCAACCAAAACCAACCAATATTTTAAATTGAAAGTACGCCATTTGTGCAGAAAATAACCGAAAAATCACAGCAGGATAAAAATACACTTGAGTTTGTTAAAATAAGCATGTATTCAAACATTAACAGGATCAAATAAGGTGATTCATGTCTCATAAATCTAAAAAATAAATGGTTTGTAGTTTGTAGGAAGAGTTGAAACTATTTTATTTTGATAAGTAATACATTTTTTGGGTAATTTTCCATGCAAAATCGTCATAAAATACAGTTTCCAGCCTCTCAAATGGAGATTTCCTGCGTTTGTCTATTTAATATCATATTAAAGTGAATATATTTGAGTTTTGGAAGATATTTCAAGACATCAGCTTGGATTTGAAGTAACTGGGATGGATATTTTTCACTATTTTCTGACATTAAATAGACCAAACAACGAACAATAACCCACAGATTTACTAATAATCAAAAATACTCAGTCGTTGCAGTCCTACATGTAGGTAATACTGTATGAATACGTTACTGATATTATGATTTATAACATGACAGTTGTCCTTATTGGAACTTTTTCACATTGTTCTAGGATTAAAGAAAAGCACCAACTGTAGTTTGTAAAGTATCGAGACATTGAGCATTCATTCAGAGATAAGGACAGGGGGGATGTGATGGTAAATGTTAAAGGTCCCATGTCATGGCCATTTCGACTGATCATGATTCCATTGTTGAGGTCTACTAGAATAGATTCACATTGTTCAATGTTCCAAAATCACATTGGTTTCTCATACAGCATCTCTGTATAGTATGTGTATTCACTCTCTGTCCTAAACGGCTTGTTGGAGCTCCTGCCCCCCCCTCCCTGTGAGCCCACTGTGCTCTGATTGGTCAGCTCGCCCACTCTGTTCTGAGGAGTCCACCACCGTTACAGCTGAACATCAGTGATTATGTGTTACAATGGCGTTAGTTAGCGACCAGGAAATGACACCTGTAATGACAAACAGAGGGGAATGCTGCGTGGGGTTACTGGTGTCGTTTCCTGCAGCGAGACACCGCGGAGCTCAGCCTGAGCACACACACACACTCAAAGCCAGGCTGTGAGTGTGTGTGTGCATTACGTCACTATGACCGTTACGTCACTGTGACCGTTACGTCACTGTGACCAGGAAGAAAAAAATGGAAAAATAAAAATGTCCAACGAGGCGTTCTGGGGCAGCATAGACAGGTCTTTTCTGTGTTAGAGTTTTACTCGCTACAGGGTGTACTTTGAGGGTTTTTGACTTTGCAGACCATTTACATGCAGAAAAAGCTACATAACACAAGGGGACAGGTAATAACCAGAAAAGCAGGACATGGGACCTTTAACCTGTTAGGCACCAAGCCTGTTTTTCATGTTTCAGGCTCGAAAATGACATGCCCAAAACAAATGACTACAACTTAACTTCTAAAAGGGTTATATGAATAATTTATTTTATCAAAGCAAGGTTACATCTGTGAGTTGGATGTAGAAGTGTCAGAATCAATATAGATGTTTTTTATTTTAAAGAAAATTCAGATTTTACATAGTAAAAAACTGTAAATTATAGTGTCCGTCCAACAATTCTTTTTTACTTATAGTGAAAACTACCCTTGGATGATGGGTTAGTAGACTAAAAGCTTTAGGAATCCAAAGTACAACATATAATAAGTACCCTGTATCAAGATTGATGCAAAACAAGTGACATTTGACCTTTTTAGAGAGGTTTAGCCAAAACCACCCCACCTTTGGGTGAAAATGTTTTTTTTTCCATATCTCTGGCCCCCCTTGCTCGATTTTGATGGTTGACACCTCTTTCTGACCGTTAGAGCCAATAGAATCGAAGGGGGAGTCCCCCCCACACACACGTTGTGAAGAGAAGAGGTGGGGGCTTCGCGCATGTAATTTTGCATCAGAGTGGACCTATCTCTCGCTCTGATATTTGGATACGAAAAAAAGGTTTTATTGCTTATGGATTATCAGAAATAATTTCAAAGAGGACACAGACACATTGGATTAACCTATGGATTAACTGCAGCATCGTTTTTTTATCGTTTTAATGCCATTGAAGACCAGTTTTGACCAAGGTAAGCCATGTTAGCGTTTCTAGCTACCTAGCTCCACATGTTCTGATGTACGCTTTCGTTTATAGTGTCGCAAATGTTTATCACTGAGTGTTGAGGTGGGCACCCCCAGATTCTGTGTCTCCAGCTGATGCAAAACGAGGGGTTGGCTGTGCATCTAGGATAAGTAATAAGGGAGTTATGAGTGAGTTTAGGTGCAGTTTTAGGTTACATTTTTTCGATCGTGGCTAATTCAGAGGCTGAGTGTTAGCATTGTGGGGTTTTTTTGGATTTTTTTTTTTAAAAGATCAGTTAGCTGAGTTTCTTCCCGTTACATGGATATAAAACATTCATAGTTTATTAAATATTAAGATTCCTTAGACGTTGTTTCCTGCAAATGACGGGTTTATCTGCCCGGTACCGGGGGGGGGCGGTGCGTAACAGGTTAAATAAATGGTAATTAAACTCACCTCTTTAATAGCATGGGTCATTTCTATAGCAGTCTCACACACAGAGACTCTTCCACTGCTGGTGAATTCTGTTTTCTGCTGTTTGGCCCCGACTGCAGCTGGGGAAACAAAAAAAACATGTTAAAATATTACAACACAGATCAATTACTACTGAAGTGCCAGTGAAAAGGAACTAACTGAAGAATTGTAATTAAGTACTTTTTTGACATATTTGAAATTTACTAAAGTTTTTCCATTTAATGCTACATTATATTTCTACTCCTCTACATTTCGGAGGCAAATATTGTACTTTTTTCTCCATTACATGTGTTTAACAATTACAGTTACTTTGTACACATAATAGCACATGACATATATATACTGATATGGTCATACTGTATACTGTACCATAATAATAAAATACTGTGAAAAGAGTACTTTCACATAGGGCTGTGCAATTAATCGTATTTTAATCGCAATTACGATTTTGGCCTGCCACAATTACGAAAACAACATAATCGAAAAAAACGATTATTTTGCTTTGCTTGGTTGTGACTGTGCACTGCAACATATTTGATCTAATTTATTTTAGTCTAATTTATTTGTATTTATCATATTTATATATGTTTAGTAGCTTGTTGAAGTGCGCTCCAAAATATTTGTTGATCTTGTTTATTGGTATTTATTATTTTTATATTATTTATTTAAATGTAAATATAAATGTATCATTTATTTAATTTATTTTTGTATTGGTTTTTCAGTTGAATTATACGTTCAGGGTAATCAACAGTTAAAAAGATACTGTTCAAATTATTATTTGTATTTGTTTTAAAGTTCAATAAATGGATGTTTTCAAAGTCAATGAATAATCGTATTTCATAATCGGGATATAAATTATTGACCAAAATAATCGTGATTATGATTTTTGCCATAATCGCACAGCCCTACTTTCACTGTTGATAATTGAAGCTGATAATACTTCTGTACTTCATATTATTCTGAAATGGGTCATTTGTGTACTTTTCCTCCACTACATGTATTTAATACCTTTAGTTACTTCACAGATGTGGATGAATGATGTGAAATATAATCAAGTGTTAAATCAGACTTTAGTTCCACCTGGAGTAAATCCACAAGCTACCCTGCAGTATACAAAGTCATTCAAACTAGCTGCACCTTTACCAGCTTTGAGAACACTTTCATGATCAATCATTATAAAACATATCATATATATTATTCTGAAATGGACCAATCTGCACAACGACTACTTTTACTGTCGCTACTTTCACTATATTTTGATGATAATACTTTTCTACTTTTACTTGAGGAACATTTTGAATGTAGGACTTTTACTGAAACAGAGTATTCCTACACTCTGGTACTTCTACTTTTACTCAAGTACAAGACCTGAGTACTTCTACTTTTACTCAACTACAAGATCGGAGTACTTCTACTTTTACTCAATTACAAGGTCTGAGTACTTCTACTTTAACTCAAGTACAAGACCTGAGTACTTCTACTTTTACTCAACTACAAGACCTGAGTACTTCTACTTTTACTCAAGTACAAGATCTGAGTACTTCTACTTTTACTGAAGTACAAGACCTGAGTACTTCTACTTTTACTCAACTACAAGACCTGAGTAACTACTTTTACTCAAGTACAAGACCTGAGTACTTTTACTCAACTACAAGATCGGAGTACTTCTACTTTTACTGAAGTACAAGACCTGAGTACTTCTACTTTTACTTGAGTAACATGTTGAATGCAGGACTTTTACTGGGTGCTATATCTTAGTTAGACTATGAAACTACTGTTATAAATCTGTAAATAACTGTGCAATATCTACTTTTACTTTCACCACTGTGACACTTATTTTATTTTTAAAATACTGTTCCTATTGTTTACACCTGGAGGTGTATTTTGGTAAATTGTAATTTGTGTAATTCCTACTTGTTTTAATCTTTACTATTTTAAGGATGCTTCTTTATTAATATGTTGCTTTTTTGGCTCTTTACTTTCGCTGTAACAATGTAAATGCAATATAATGTAAATGTCTCCTCTGTGGGACCAAATAAGGTATTCTGATTCTGCTCTATTTAAAGCTTTTTTTTTAAAAGCCCCCTACCCACCGACAGTAATTGTACTTTTTTTGACATATGTGTACTTGAGTATTTCTATTTTCTGCTACTGTGTACTTCTACTCCACTACAATTCAGAGGTAAATGGTGTACTTTTACAGCACTGCATGTATGTAATACCTTTAGTTGAAACATTTCCCCTCTGTATATACACCAATAAAGGTATTCTGATTCTGCTTATTTAAAAAATAAAAAATAAAAAAAGCCCCCGAAACTCACCGACAGTGACCTCCACAAAGACCCCCCCAGCTGCCTCCTCCTCCCCGCCGCCGCTCTCCAGCCTCCCTCCCCGGGTGACGACGGTCTCCAGGAGCTCCAGCCTCCTCCGCAGCGCCTGGTTCTCCATGTTGCTGCGGGAAATCTCGCTCTTCCACCCGGCGCAGCTCTCCTCCAGCAGCTCGCTGATCTCCAGCACCGCAGCCCGGGTCAGAGCCTCCATGATGGAGGACAGCTGGGACTGAAGCACCCGGTGAGAGGTCATGCTGAGCGGCAGAGAAACAACGCTAACAACCGCCGAAACGGAGGAGCTCCAGGGGTTAATTCCTGCTTCTGTTACCTGGGAATTGAGTGCTTTTACCGGGGGAAACGGATGGGAGGATGCTGCAGTTGTTTGTTTGTTGTTGGTCGGTTATTTCCTCCTCCTACAACTTCCGTAACACCATTTTCAAAATAAAAGCTCAGAATCAGAAACAGGTTTGTTTACTTTTTTTATTAGCTTCCCAAAAGGGTCGTTTTGAGCTTTCTTTTTTGTATTTGTTATTGCCAACTATACAAGAGAAACACAGAGAAAAAGAGACATTATGGGCTGGGTTTGTTATATTTCAAGAATGTAAAATTTGTTGAGGAGGATACATACTTACATATGAAGTACTTACATATATTAACCCTCCTGTTGTCTTCGGGTCAAATCTGACCGATTTACTACTTTCATCAATCATAACTTTTTTGTTTTACATTCGATTGCATTAAGGCTTTATGATATCCTTCACAGTAGACCTTTGCACATATACAATAGCTGATCACCACTTTCATTGAATTTTGGATGATTTAGTCAACACCCATGGTGTTCCCGGTCGCCATAAAGAAAAGGAATTAGTAACCATCCGGATCAGATAAAACACACACACGCGCACGCACACGCACACACACACACACACACACGCACGCACACGCACACACACACACTAGATGTGTCGTCGTCCCCTTATGTGCCCATCCCCCCACATGGATCACACCTGGCACACGCAATACATGTTCAGTGTCTATTCTTTGTATATTTACTGCAGTTTTTCATGTATACCAGTAGTCTGATACAATATGTACAGTTTGAAAGGGTGTTAAATGAAATTTGGTGATGATTAATGGTTTTTGTGTTAATGTAATAGCAGTTAAAACAGGGTACTCACAGCAATTCCGCAACAACTTCATCTTCACCTGTTGCACTTGCCATTTCAACGTTAAAAACAATAAAACGGCATGAATTGCTTCGTCGCATTCATCTAGATCCTCTGTCTCGAGCCAGTTAACTAGCGGGCCTTCTAGAATACCCTGGAACCGAGGGAAACTCTGAAAGAATACGCCCATTGGCTACAAATCAATATATGATTGGCTGATCAAACTGTCAGTCCAAATGTACGCTCTCATTCAGTGCAACGGCCAGGGCATTCTATCAAGGATATAGAATACCTTGGTTGAAGGATATTCTACACAGAGACCCAGAACAAGATCTGATTGGTTGCTTTCTTTTCTAACATAAAACCACTGAAATGCGTAGTGCATGGTCCGAGAAGGACAAACAAATCAACGTAACACTGTAATATTACAGATCAACAACACAGATACCGTTCTCATTTATTCATTTTATATACATTTTATTACATTTTATTTATATAATTAAATCAATTTTTTGTTTGTTTTATCTGAGTGTTCCAGGGTATTCTCTGAATACCTTGAAGGCCCTGACGGTTCGCCACTTTTCTGATTTCTCTCTGAAAATCTCAATATTTGTAAATAATATGTGGGAAAAACAGCGCGTGCTCCGTCTGAAAAAATCATGCTAAGGTTAGCTTGTTAGCTAGCTACATTAGAGAGATTTATACGATGAATAAAACACATAAAATGAAAAGTCAATTTAACAAAAACATGGCGAATTTATTCCTCAACAGTTAATATCCAACCAAGTGAAGCCAGCTTAACTTTTATGAGCTTCTCAAGTAAGTAAAACATTATTTTATCCACAGACATTTGAGACACCTTACCTCAGAAGATCCTCCGTTGCTATGCGGTTGCTGTGCGGTTGCTGTGCGGTTGCTATGCGGTTGCTATGTTGTTGCTATGCCGTTGCTATGCTGTTGCTATGCGGTTGCTACGCGGTTGCTATGGGGTTAACCCATAATCTCACATTTACAACAGCAGGCGGCGTAGTTGTACCATTTAAGCAGGGTTTAACCATAGACTGTACAGTATAGTATACAGTTTGTGTATATATACATGTATACACAGCTCCAACACCATCGTGAAGTTTGCTGATGACACGACGGTCATCGGCCAGATCACAGACGATGACGAGACGGCGTACAGAGAGGAGGTCGAAAAGCTGACATCTTGGTGCCAGGAGAACAACCTCCATCTCAACATCAGCAAAACAAAGGAGCTGATTGTGGACTACAGGAAGCAGCAGGGAGAGGGACACGCCCCCATCGCCATCAATGGGACTACGGTGGAGAGAGTCAGCAGCTTCAGGTTCCTTGGGGTCCACATCACTGAGGACCTGACATGGTCTCTTCACACCACCACCATCACCAAGAAAGCTCGACAGCGGCTCTTCTTCCTCCGCAGGTTGAGGAGGTTCAAAATGGATTCCAGGATACTCTGCAACTTCTACAGGTGCACCATAGAGAGCATCCTGACCTTCTACAGGTGCACCATAGAGAGGATCCTGACCTTCTACAGGTGCACCATAGAGAGCATCCTGACCTTCTACAGGTGCACCATAGAGAGGGTCCTGACCTTCTACAGGTGCTCGATAGAGAGTATCCTGACTGGCTGCATCACGGCCTGGTACGGCAGCTGCACCGACCTCAATCGTAAGGCTTTACAGAGGGTGGTGAAAACTGCACAGCACATCACCAGGACGGAGCTGCCATCCATGGAGGACCTTTACTCCCAGCGGCTCAGGAAGAAATCACTACGGATTATCAAAGACCCCCATCACCCCAGCCACAAACTGTTCTTTCTGTTGCCGTCTGGCAGACGTTACCGCAGCATCCTGGCAAGGACAAGAAGATTCGGAGACAGTTGCTTCCCGCGGGCAGTGAGACTGTTAAACAATTGAACTGTTGAAACAACTTCAAAACATTCATCTGCTACTCAGTAATATGTATCTAATATCTAATATATATATATCATTCCAATAACTTGTATATAGACTCGTACTGCACTATTCCACATACTCACTTTATTTTATAACTACTTTTCTTTTTGTATTGCTCTTGCTATCTGTATTGTTATTATGTTGCATTGTTGGAGAAGCCTGTGACATAAGATTTTCAACAACATAATTACTCTGTAGCTATGTCAGTTTGACAATAAAGAACCTTGAACCTTGATATACACACATACATAATCAAACATAGACAAATAAATACAAATGCACACATTAGGAGGCATAAATAAAAGGCACAACATTCAATATACAACATAACATTGTTATCATAAGGAACAATTGGGTTTTTTCTATTGTCCCTGGACAACAGGACGAAGTTAGTCTGTAGAGTTTTGGCATCAACTTGGTACCACAGTAACAGATCCTGGGACGTCCCTGATCTGATTCAGACTTTCAGAAAGCCTAATAACAGAAAGAAATCATGGGAAAGTTCATACTTCTTCGTAGATGTGGCCTCAGTTGTTGTTTTAATGCAGTTTTCCTTTTGTTTCTTTCCATTTTTTCGCACAGGATTTGAATGCACTACATATTTAGCTCATCAGCATCTTCTGGAACACTTTTGGATGTACTCCCATGAAATCAAAATATCGAAAATCCAGAATACATACTTCAACATACAGTCCTTATATAATACTGAAAGCATATTGATTAGGAAGTTAATGAGGTCATAACGCCCTCTCTGATATGTATTTTCTAATTGCTGTAAACTAGTCAAGACCACCTTAACTAAGACCAAGTCAAGAGCAAGACCGGAGTGTAACAAGACCAAGACCAAGTCAAGACTTTTAGAGGTCTAGACCAGGGGTGTCCAAACTTTTTTCAGTGAGGGCCACATACAGAAAAATATACGAAGGCCTGGCTCACTAGAGGTGAGGTATACTGCCTTATCAGTAAAGTTATAATTTAGCAAAATCAATCAAATGTAGGTAAATCATTCTTGATACTTGAAAATGCTTTAAGAACAAAGCAGCTCACAGCTCTCCAGACGGTTTAATTATTTTGCTGGTAGCTCATTCCTGAAAACAGAAGCTTCAGATTGCTTATAAAAAGAGGACATTTAAAGGGTAGATTTCAAGCTTGTTATGTAAATAAGTTATTGGGCTTTTTTCTTTATCAACTACGATTTATTTGAAAAAATGTCCAACTTTAATTAACTAAATGTATTTGAAAAGTGGGCTTATTAACACATGAACACTGTGTAATATATTTTTACATATAAATCGGAAGTAGGATATATGACAAGCATAAGTTTAATTTGTGGGCCATATTTCATTATACTTTTTTAATTAGCTGGGGGCCATTTCAAAATGGGCCGCGGACCATGTTTGGCCCCTGGGTCGTAAATTGGACACCCCTGATCTAGACCAAGACCGGTCTCGAGTACTACAACACTACTGTAAACACTGTACTTTTTTACATTTCCTTTCAAAAACTTCATTTTACAAGACTACATTTTAACACATCTTGATAACGGTACAGGTCAGCTTCGTCCAATTCTCTTTTTTCCTACATAAGGCTTAAACGCAGCATGTTGCACGATATGGAATCTGGCGCTGCTAACTGCTAACAGCTAACTGCCAACAGCTAACGCTAACGAAAACCATCCCTCAATTGTCTTTTCTCCCACAAGATTTGAATGCACCACAGACTCAAAACGTTCTCCACCAAATCCAAGAATCTGCATTTTGGACTGCAGGTGTGCCGTGTCTCTTCCGGGTCAGAGGTCCTCGGAAGGGCAGTCTTTGCACACCTGGATCCGCTCACAGAGCTCCACATCCTCGGGGCTAATCGGGATCTGAATCACCCAATCAGGTTTCTGCAACAGAGGGCGCATTTAGATTTACTCGTAAGACACTACAAGATTCATTTTACATCAATAATAGACTGCACTACTTTGACAATTCTCACGGCATTTCGTGTTATTAGTCACGAAATTAATTTAATCTATTGATTCGTGTTCACCAACACGATTTTCACCTTTTTTTCGTGTCACACAGAACGATTTTAAATGCAATGTATTTCTATTGGTAGTATGTTTCGTGCCTGCAACACGTCTTTTTGTCCGGTCGGGTCTTGGAAGACCAGAAGCTGTGTGGTTCATAAAAACATGTTCTTACTCAATATCTTACCCTAAGCCTAACCCTATCCCTTTTATTTTAAATTGTATAATGTCTGAGTTTTTTTGCCGTCAGTGAGGAAAAGAAATGGCTCAGAGCCTCAGAATACTGACATCTGTATTTTATGTCATCTTTTTTTCCTTCTAATTTGTTATTATTTGGTGCAGGCACGAAACATACTACCAATATAAATACATTGCTTCTAAAATCGTTCTGTGTCAGAATACTGAAATCTGTATTTTTTTAAATGTCTTTTTCCTTCTAATTTGTTATTATTTACATTGCTTTTAAAATCGTTCTGTGACACGAAAAAAATGGCGAAATCGTGTTGGTGAACACGAATCAATAGATTAATTTCGTGACTATAACACGAAATGCCGTGAGACTGGGTTGAATGGAGAGTAAAACTAATGGAAATATAAATAAGTAAAAAAATATTGTTTATTTGTTTTATAGTCCCATATTTAGTTCTTCTTTAATTCATTACATTTTATTTCCACAGTTTTTAAAAATAATTGTATAGCTTTTTCCCCTTTGTATGGCACACCATTGACTCCATACAGGGTGATTCTCATTTACATATATTTGTATATATATTTGTAATCTATTTAAAGGTGACTGACCAGTGAGTGTGGCAGAGGCTCTTTACGGAAAAACATTTTGCAGCGATCCGGATGGCAGTGAGCGACGCACCAGAAGATGGCGAACAGGAAACCGGCCGTGAAGGCGACGCTCAGCAACACCGCCGTCGGTTTCCTCCAGGGGGCGTCTGCACCTGGAGAGAGATCTTCTGTTATCCCTTACAACTACATTTGCTGAGGCAGCTTTCAACCAAATGTTAAATGCGTATGTGAATCACTTTGAATTGCCTCTGTGTCTTAAAATGTGCTATACAAATAAACTAACCTTGAACCTTGAACCTTACATCCTTTATTAATCTAATACTTTACAAACTGCCGGCGGCTTTTATGTACTTATATATTTGGAAAGAATATCGAGCAAGAGGACGTTGTCGGAAAGTTAGGACAGCGTTGAACAAGAGGACATTTTTTACCGTAAAAGCACGGACCTGTGATGGAGATGCACTGTTCGTTGGTGCTGCCGCTCCGATTCTGACCCTGCAGGACGGTCTGAGCCCGGACGCAGTACTGCGCCACCTGCAGGCCGGGGAACGACAGCACGCGCTGCTCCGGTGGCATCCAGCGCTCCAAAGCCTGGGGGAAAGACAATTAGAAAAGAAAATGAACGAAAAACACATTTAGAGATGTTTTCTTCACTGTTTTATGTTCAGTACGAAATTAACTTTTTTCAATACAAAATACCTCCAATTTATTACTTCTATATTGGGCAACAAATAAACTTCTTAAATGCAAGATACCTGCAACAAAATAAGATGTTATCTTCTATTTTGTGCAAGAAATTAACTTTTTTTTTTAAGCAAAGTAACTCCAACTTATATCTTTGTACTATTTTGAAAAGAAAATTGAAGACATTTTCTATTTTTCGCATGATTTTAACATTAAAATGCAAGATACCTCCAAGAAGATCTTTCTACTATTTTCTGCAACAGATGAACTTTTCTTCAATGCAAAAGACCTCACACTTTTGCAGCTGCTTTAAATGTAACTATACATATCTCACTGTAACTGTTATTCATGTATTTATACCTGCTCTATATCAGCTTGTGTTATGTTTATTGTATTCTCTTTGCTCTTTAAATGAATCTGCTGCGCTGTCTCTTAATGTTTTCTCATTTTGCATTTGCTTTCAGCTCATCTATTGTTATTTTGTATATATTGATTGTTGTGCTTTTATTTGTGTCTCAATGTGTGCAAATGTGTCTGTTGATTGTGTATATAGGTATTTACATATCTTTATAGATATTTGTATTTTGTACTGCTCGGCATTGTGGGAAACGGTATTTCGATCTGTCTGCCTGGACACACAAACTGAAAGATTGACAACAAAGTTGACTTTGACTTTGAACTATTAGGGAACATTCAGTGTGGTGACCTCTGACCTTTTGGCCTCTCCTCCACACCGTCACACGGACGTCGGCGTTGAGAGGAAGTTTTCCGAACGAAACCTGAAGAGAGTCGCCGACCGCCATCACCGACATCTCCGGAGCCGTCAGGACCGCTGAGGGACAAACACCCAGGGGTTCACTCCAGTTAAAAAGCTCTTGGAAGAATGAAATGTTCTTGAGTTCTCTATAACAGGAAACTGAAATTACACTTCATTTCACAAACCAGGATTTTTCTCACTTTTTATATAATCTTGAAAATTGCGATTTCCCTCTAAATGTTCTTCTTTGATCACAGAGAATATTAAAGTTTGTTTTTGTTGTTGTAAAGGACTGACTGATCACAGAGAATATCCCGATTATTTTTTATTGTAAATTACCTCATTTTAAACACTTCTTTATTCATTTTTTGTTTATTTTCTCTGAAATGTACCACTTGAATCTCAGAGAATATTAAAGGTTCTTTTTCTTAATTATCTAACTTGATCGCGACTCAGTGATTAGTGGCACACATTTTCGACAAAAGGTGTATCTGAGATTAAAGAGTTACATTTACGTATTTTTTTTTTTATTTCATAGATTGAACTTGTACATTTACCAGATACAAATATATTAGGAACGAAAAATATTTTTTTCTAAATTATACAGGGATAAAACTCTGAATTTAAGTTGATCAAATGTGTTAATTTAAAAAAAGTATCACAAATACTGAGTTTTTTTGCGTTTAGCAAAAAATAAATACTTTTAGTTTTCTCTTTAATTTCTGACGTGATAAAGGAGATTTTGTGCAGATTTAGAAAGCGCCTCACTGTCTTTGCGGTTGAACGGAGAGCTGAGTTCGGTCCAGGCTGAAGTGGCGGCTCCGCACTTTGCTCTGACCCGAAGGCTGTAGTCCGAGTCGGAGCCGAGTTCATCGGTCAGGACGCAGCGAGGGTCAGAGGTCAGCTGACACTCGGTGGCGTTGACCCAGTTGCCGTTCTGCATCAACAGCTCGAACTGTCTGAGGGCGACACAAAGAACGAGATGAAGTTATAATTCAATCTCTTTTTAAAAAAAATGTATTTTACAATTTCAACAATAAGACAGTTTATATATCTGAAAAACAAACCAAATGAGTGGAAGCAGGAGGACAGAAAGCAGAGATCATACAGACGGTAGTCCTCCCGTTATTCCGTGATTAAATACTCACACAGATAAACACAATTCTATATATACATACATATGTAGACTTATACATACATTATAATATTTATTAATCCTTTCCTTGCACACTTAATGTATATGTAACATCCATAAATGTGTAATTCCACATGTATATTATCACATTTTTTATATTTTTTAATGCTATTTTATTTATATTTCAGACATTTACATTTTGGATTGTTTATGCAACGCAAACATTTAGCAAATTGGGATCAATAAAGTACTTCTTATCTTATCTCACTGATCTATACATAATGGTGATTACAGAGGGTACATAGACCCGCTGTGATCACATTAAAGAGTCCTTCTTCTTCTTCTTGGGGTTCCCTCCTCTGCAGTGTGGTGGAAATGTATTATTAAATAATAATAAAATGGTGAGGAAACTTTCCGTACTGAAATGAAGATTCTTGGAATAAGACGGTCTTTTAGGGAGTTGTTCATGTTACAGAGAGTCAAGCAGTCTGCCGCGAAATAACATTTTTTCAGCTTCGCCGTGAGTAGAGTTGCAGAAACTCAAGATCTGCACTAAATGCAGATATAACCAATCAATCAATCAATCAATCAATCATAATATAACCGTCCCTCTGAGGCGCTGCCTAAGGGCTGCAGATGGAAATTAGCTATTAGCTCAAATCTGGCATCATTCATCTCTTCTTTTTTCTGAGATGAATGTATTTGTTTGCACGGTCCTCTTTGAAATACATACATAATAATAACAAACGATCAGGAGGTCTTCGGAGGGTCACATGTTCACACCAAGAATAGAAGAGGAGGGGCTGAGACAAACATAAAAGATAAATATACTATATATAGGATTCTTTTAAACTTGAGAAACATCATGTCTACTGTCCACAAGAAGACAAGACCACTAACCTGACAACCATAAACAGCTCTAACAGCATTTACGACTCATTGAGGACATTTGCTGCTACCTGTTGTTAGAAATAGCTCGTAAAAGAAGAACAGATGGGGAACTTGAAATTCCCCCTTCAGCATGAAACCATTTTCCATCACACGACTAGTGTGTACGAGGGACGTGCACAGGTACGGGCTAATGTTGCCCGGGCAACGGCCCGTTTGCCCTTTTTGGCTGACCTGCCCCTCTGGAGAGACGCTTTCTGTTGTTGCCGAATCAACATGAGAAGCCCACAATTAGTATTGTAGCGTCTCGCTGCGGGAAACACACCTTGTCAGCGCTGTCGTCTGCCCCCAGTCACGTGACTTTGTTTTCAATCTGACAGCTGGAAGCAAAGGAAAGCCCTCCGGCCTCATACGGCTATGGTGATCAAAGGCCTGCCTGGCTTTGGTGGCCGATCCCCGGGGCAATCTGTCCCCGGGGCAATCTGTCCCCGGGGCAATCTGTCCCCGGGGCAATCTGTCCCCGTTTTTAAATATGCTTTATAAACACAAAGCAAGGTGAAATAAAATTGTAACAAAGTTGATGTTTCAATGGCGTGGTGCTCGTTCGCAGCAATACAATTATTGTAGCCTTAGCGTTAGCATTTAGAGTTTCATTCTTCTTCTACTACTTATTTTACTTCTTCTTCTCCTTCTTCTTATATGTAATTGCCCGCGAAATGTTGAATGAAGATCTCGTTTCAGTGTGAACTCATTCCACAGTATGACCACAAAAGGTACGTTTTTATTATTTACGTTCTATAACGCTAAGTGTGTGATTACATGTTTTACGTATTATATATATAATATGTATTATACTGTGGGGCCGGTGCGTTAAGACCACCTCTAGTGTCGGATTTTGGGAAATTGATTTTGAGTTTTCTCATGGCAGTTAAAGACTTTACTTCCTTCTCATGGCAGTTAAAGACTTTACTTCCTTCTCATGGCAGTTAAAGACTTTACTTCCTTCTCATGGCAGTTAAAGACTTCCTCTTGACACCGTCGGTTATTTACAAAAAAACACCTGAATACACTTGTTAGTGTGCTTCTGTCTTTCTGTGTCTTTTCATCTGTAAACTCCCTCACCGCTCGCTCTCTTCTCTTGATCGCCCTCTCACAGGAGAACACTTCACTTTCCGTTCATTGTAGGATTTCTGCCATGTCTCTACTTCAGTTTGAACATCTCTGTCATTAAAGGTGGGGTAGGTAAGTTTGAGAAACCGGCTCGAGATACACTTGTTGTTATATTCCATGGAATGCTCTTAACATCCCGATAGCAATGAATATCTGAAGTGCTTTGACAATAAATCCATTAAAAAGTATCATCTGTGGAAGCCGTAGTACTGTAAAAAGCACGACCAATCATCTGAGCCGGCCCGGCTAAAGTAACTGGATGGCCTACCTGCCTGTCAGCCTTCCATCTGTGCACACACTTATCTCGTGCCCTCATTGGTCATGTGTGCGTTCGTGTGTGTTGGAGGAGGGGCTCTGTGAGGAAGTGGCAGATTTTCTCCGGTTGTGTATTTTCAAATTCTAGCGATCTCGAGCTGGTTTCTCAAACTTACCTACCCCACCTTTAAAGGGGACCTATCATGCAAAATGCACTTTTGTACGTCTTTTCTACATGAATATGTGTCCCCGGTGTTCCAGGGAACTCACCAAGTGTCAGAAAACACAACCCTCTCTATTTTCCTCCATACCCAAATCTCTAAAAAAGGGGCTGCAACGGATCTGATAAAAACTGATCCAGATTTGAACACTGTCCTGACGTCAGGACGGTGGCGCTACGGCTATTGGGCCAACTCCACCAATCAGGAGGAGACAGCCACGGCCATTGCCGTTCAAAAGCGCTGGAGACGCTGTAGTACATATGCCAGGCCTGTAGGTGGTGCTGTTCTCACAGAATCTGCCCTTGCAAAAACAGAGCTATAAATTGTCAAATTGAGCAAAATGAGGCATGGCTAAAATGCATGATCTGTTTGGTATTTTGAGAAAAAAAAAGTATAAATATGCCTCATATAGGTATGGTCCTACACTATATTATTATAATATAGCATGATAGGTCCACTTTAAGGTATTTCAAAACGGTCCAAATGTCCCTGATGGTGCTATAGATGATGCAGAAACAGATACTTGTCTGCTGCTTTCAACACGTGTAAGGTCTGTGGGGAAGTCATTTCTTCTGCAGGGTTTTGGTAATAAAACTAAATATTTGGTAAAGAAAGTCGACCTGATGATGGGACGTGAGTCGTTTGTCTTGTTGTTGTTACTTTGTGTCTCCTCGTAGTTATCCTGTGCGTCTTTGTAGATACTTTGGATCTTTATTTAGTAATTTTATGTAATTCTGTTTCATTATGTAGTCATTTTGTGTCTTGTTAAGGACTTTTTGTTTCTTTTGCTACTGTTTTGTGTCTCTTTGCAGTTATTTTGTGTCTTTGGTGTAGACATTTTGCATCTCCTCGCAGTTATCCTGTGTGTCATTGGAGATACTTTGGATATGTTTGAAGACTTTTTGCATTTCCTAGTCGTTGTTTAGTGTCACGTTGTTGCCTTTTTTTGTCTTTTTGTCTCTTTTAGTGGTGTTTTTGATTTCCTTGTAGTTGTTTTATGTGATTTTGTAGTCATTCTGCATCTGTCCAAGTCATGTTGTGTCCCTTTGAAGTTTTATTTTGTCTTCTTGTAGTCCATTTGCTTCTTTTTGTAGTCATTTTGTGTATTTGTTTGGTTGCGTTGTGCCTCTTTTAGCAGTAGTTAGCGATCCATGCATCTGAGAAACTCTGAACTCTGGTCACCTCTTGAACAGTGGCGTGTTTTTAAAAACTTCAAACCAGCCGCAGGAATGTTCCTCAGCTTTAATGAAATCCTCCTCTCTCTGACAGACAGTGAGCATGACGCAGGGTTTGCCACCGCAGGTTCATCTGAAAACAGACACTCCTGCTGAGTATAATTATTAGGACAGGTGTGCCATTAATCATTGGGCGGCAATTATGAGCTTTAGAGAAACCTGCTGGATCTGTTTCTCTCACATTTAGCCGCAGGTAGCTGCATATTTCACATATTTTACAAGGTCAAATGATACCCGAGCAAACACGGCTGAATATCTAAAACAAATGATTTCTCAGTTTAAATAATGGTCGCAACAACAAACATAATTTAACTTTCCACTGTAATTGTTTTTATGGAAAGCAAAGGAGGCGAAATTTAACTCAGAAACATCTAACGCAAAAATATAATTTAATATTACAAGCACTCCCTCTGTACATTTCAAACAACAAACAGAAACTGACACTGCGTTGCTTTAGTGAGTGTGTGTGTGTGTGTGTGTGTGTGTGTGTGTGTGTGTGTGTGTGTGTGTGTGTGTGTGTGTGTGTGTGTTAGTGTGTGTGTGTGTGTGTGTGTGTGTGTGTGTGTGTGTGTGTGTGTTCAGTGAATGACTCACCCCTGAAACTGGACGCTGTACAGGACTGCAGTGCGGCATGGCGCCTGCAGGGGGCGCCACTTCAGGACGTGCCTCATGTCCACAGACTCCATGAAGACTCCGCTGGGAGCCGGCAGCGTAAACACACCTGCAGACAGAAGACATTTCATTTTCAATAACCAAATAAGAGACTCGTCGTTCAACATGTTTTCTATTCATGAGATATGGACCCTCATGACGCTATGATGTGTGACAATGTTTTAAAAGATAAGATTAGATAAGATAAGATAAACCTTTATTATATAGATTATATTCAGGTGTTAAAGCAGCAACATTATAAGAGACAGATAAAGAGAGTAAACATGTGTTATAAACATACATATAATTATTAATAATAAAATAAGCGTCTCTGAGCATTACGAAAAACGCTATAAAAATCCAATGTATTATTATTATTATAAATAACAACAAGCGTATATGTTTATATTTTAATGACATGTTTTTGCCTTTTTATTTAATATATAAGTATTTCCTTTTGCTTTTTATCCGCACTGTGTTTGCTGCTGTAACTTTCCTCGCTGCGGGACGAATAAAGAAAACTATAATAACATTAAAAAGTAATACAAAATATAGTAAAACATACATAGAAATACAATGGAATAAAATATGTGCAGTAATAAAAAAAAGAGATATTGTGTGCATTGAACATTATAATAATAATAATAATAATTGTGGGGGAAACTTCTGAAGCCATTGGAAACAGGATTCAGAGAGACACGAGGAGAGCTGGAGCTTTGATGGCAAACACTGACGGTTTATTTGGAGTTACGAGGAGAGGAGAGGAGAGAGGAGAGAGGAGAGAGGAGAGAGACACGAGGAGAGCTGGAGCTTTGATGACAAACACTGACGGTTTATTTGGAGTTTCGGCCAGAGAATTCATACGACAGGTTGTGTGTCACGAGTTGACACAGCGGTTGCCAAACCAATTCTGAAGAACTCTTTCTGTAGCTCGAGGTTTTAACTAGTTCAGAGTGTAATAATCAACATTCTTCATCAGCGAGACTACACAATTATGGACCCTGAATCTAACTAGAGCTCTCGTCCATAGGAAAGAACGTGCGCCAGGGAACCTACTCTCCCTGAACAGTAAACTACCTCATGGCGGCTTGTGCTCGGTCATAGACTGGCAACGACAATGCGCCCAAGCTGCTCCTCCTTAAGAGAGATAGCAGTGATACCCAAGGCCGTAGAACTATGCCGTGGTGAAGAGAGAAAACGATGAACTGTGTCGAAGGTTGAATACCCACAATTACATTCATTTATCACGGGGGCGGTCTGATGTCAGACTGGGGGCAGGCTCTTCATCACTGGCCTTTCACGGGCCTTTCACGGGCCGTTCACGGGCCGACCACGACCCTCGCGTTTCAAACTGTCCTAAATAAGCTGCTACATCTGTAAGCAAATTATTCCCTAACAATAATAATAATAATACACTTTATTTGTATAGTACCTTTCATGCACAAAGCAAAGTGCTTTACAGAACAACATAAAACATCAACAGTGATCCTAAAGTTGTGTGTATTAATGTGTCTTTTATTGTGCATATATGGGTATATACATATTGCATACATATTTTTATATATATTTGTTTTTGTATTCGAGATTGTGGGAAACGGTATTTGGATCTCTCAGATACACACAAACTGAAAGATTGACAATAAAGTTGACTTTAATGAAATCTAATCTGGCTGCAACTCATATTTATCTAATCTATCATATTCCAATCACTTGATTTTCATCGTCATAACTCCACTGTAGCTATGCATGTGTGACCAATAAAAGCCTTGAACCTTGAACTTGAAGTAAAGCTGAAAAGAAATTAAAATAGCTTAAAATTAAAAAAATTAAAAAAGAAAATAGAAAATGTAAAATAAAAGCAAAAACTGAAAAAAGACAGTAAGACATGGCATTGAACTCACAGTGAGTAAAGTGCAGCAGGACCATCAGCAGCAGGTTCATGACCGGAGGGTAACGGTCTCCAGAACCAGGATTTCAGGTCCAGCATGTCCAGAACCTGGTGTTCAGCAGAACCGAGACGTTAGTCCACATCTTCTCCGGATCCAGGAGGGAAACATCCACGATCTTAAAACAATCCAGCCTCTGAACAGACGGCAGGTTAGAGTGTGAAGAAGCTGCGAAAAGACGAGTGCCAACACTGAGGCTCAAGAACCAGTCAGACCGGACACACCTGAGATACACACCTGAGTTTCACACCTGAGATACACACCCGAGTAACATGCTTGTACAGACACCTGATATACACACATCTGAGTAACATGCTTGTACATACACCTGAGATACACACCTGAGATACACACCTGAGATATACACACCTGATATACACACCTGAGAAACACACCTGAGATACACACCTGAAATACACACACACCTGAGAAACACACACCTGAGATACACACCTGAGACACACACCTGAGATACACACCTGAGATACACACCTGAGATACACACACCTGAGATACACACACCTGAGATACACTCACCTGAGATAAAGATACACACATTTGAGCAACACACAGGTACACACACCTGAGATACACACCGGTACACACACACCTGAGATGCACATGATGTACATACGCACACATACAGGTACAAACACCTGAGATACACACCGGTACACACATACCTGAGATACACATAATGTACATACACACACATACAGGTAAACACACCTGAGATACACATAATTGACATACACACACATACAGGTACACACACCTGAAATACATACATGTACAGACACCTGAGATACACATAATGTACATACACACGCATACAGGTAAACACACCTGAGATACACATAATTGACATACACGAACGCACACACAGGTACACACACCTGAGATAAAGATACACACATCTGATATACACACATCTGATATACACACCGGTTCACACACACCTGAGATGCACATGATGTACATAAGCATACATACAGGTACACACACCTGAGGGGTACACACACCTTAGACCAGGGGTGTCAAACTCAAGTTCATCTCAGGCCACATTAGCATCATGGTTGCACTCAAAGGGCCAGTTTTATATATACAAGACTATATAAAAATACATATATAAATATTTAATATATATAAAATAATGTATTATATGACATTATTGCCCCTGCATTGCATGATTATCGGATAGGGTAATAACTTCATAATTAACTACGTCTGAAAGCAGAAGTCTAGGGCCAATAATTGCAAGTCTCTTCAGTGAATGTCACAAAATGATTTAAAAAGAAAAGCCAAATTCTGGAGAAAAAAAGACCAAAATCCCCAAAAATAAGTGACATTTTGAAAAAAAAATTACATTTTGAAAAAAGGCAGATTTGGAGAAAAAGGCAAATTCTAAGAAAAAAGTCATATTTTGAAGAAAAAAAGTCACATTCTGAGAAAAAAAAGTCACATTTGAGATGCATTGTGGGACATGTAGTTCATGGGCAACGTGCTTCTGTAAATCGGCATGTAACCGTATAATAAACATATTATATTCTTTGCAAGCTCTTGTGGGGCCGCATAAAATGAAGTCACGGGCCGGATTTGGCCCCCGGGCCTTGAGTTTGAGACCCCTGCCTTAGATACACACACCTGAGGGGTTCACACACACCTTAGATACATACAGGTACACACAGGGACATCTCTTAGCAGTTGACCAATCAGAGCAGAGACAGCCAGCTAACCGATCAGAACAGATCATCGGCAGAATAGGGCCTCTTTAACTGAGGAGGCAATTAACTAACATTTATATTATAGTATATAAGTAGCACAGTACTGCATGTTATCATACAATCACAAAATGTATTCATCAGAAATACTTTTAATATACATTTTAATATTGAACTGTTCCTCCTGTTCTTCCTGAGAGTGGATCTGATGATACTGATGTTTCTGTAGAGAGAGGACAGACTTTGGACTCTCATGATGTCCAATCATTAACCTCCAAACACCATAAAGACATCTCACACAACCCGGGAGCTGCCCGCCTTTCACACCATCAGACATCAAACACCTCCTAACGTTCAACCCTCTACATGTTTCTCTCACATAAACCCCACACCATCAGACATCAAACACCTCCTAACGTTCAACCCTCTACATGTTTCTCTCACATAAACCCCACACCATCAGACATCAAACACCTCCTAACGTTCAACCCTCTACATGTTTCTCTCACATAAACCCCACACCATCAGACATCAAACGCCTCCTAACGCTCAACCCTCTACATGTTTCTCTAACATAAACCCCACACCATCAGACATCAAACACCTCCTAACGTTCAACCCTCTACATGTTTCTCTCACATAAACCCCACACCATCAGACATCAGACACCTCCTAACGTTCAACCCTCTACATGTTTCTCTCACATAAACCCCACACCATCAGACATCAGACACCTCCTAACGTTCAACCCTCTACATGTTTCTCTCACATAAACCCCACACCATCAGACATCAAACACCTCCTAACGCTCAACCCTCTACATGTTTCTCTCACATAAACCCCACACCATCAGACATCAAACACCTCCTAACGTTCAACCCTCTACATGTTTCTCTAACATAAACCCCACACCATCAGACATCAAACACCTCCTAACGCTCAACCCTCTACATGTTTCTCTCACATAAACCCCACACCATCAGACATCAAACACCTCCTAACGCTCAACCCTCTACATGTTTCTCTAACATAAACCCCACACCATCAGACATCAAACACCTCCTAACGTTCAACCCTCTACATGTTTCTCTCACATAAACCCCACACCATCAGACATCAAACACCTCCTAACGTTCAACCCTCTACATGTTTCTCTCACATAAACCCCACACCATCAGACATCAAACACCTCCTAACGTTCAACCCTCTACATGTTTCTCTCACATAAACCCCACACCATCAGACATCAAACACCTCCTAACGCTCAACCCTCTACATGTTTCTCTAACATAAACCCCACACCATCAGACATGACAGGTAGGTAGGCCATCCAGTTATTTTAGCCGGCCCGGCTAAAATAACTGGATGGCCTACCTGCCTGTCAGCCTGCCATCTGTGCACAAACTTATCTCGTGCCCTCATTGGTCATGTGCGTGTTCGTGTGTGTTGGAGGAGGGGCTCTGTAAGGAAGTGGCAGATTTTCTCCGGTTGTGTATTTTCAAATTCAAGCGATCTCGAGCCGGTTTCTCCAACTTACCTATCCCACCTTTAAGTGTATTTGTATGTAGTTGTGTGTCTGCAAGTTCCCATCAGCAAAAACACGTGGGTTTTCCAAAATGGTGGAATGAGCTCCCCGACATCAGGACAGCAGAAAGCTTACACATCTTCCGGCGCAGACTAAAAACTCATCTCTTTCGACTCCACTTCGAGCAATAGAACTGCTAACAAAGCACTTATATACTAACAAAGAACTGCTAACAGAGCACGTATATACTAACAAAGGACTGGCTTATCTAAAGCCAGTTGAGTAGCACTTGAAATGTTTTGGCTCTATGAAACCTGATGTACTTATATGATTCTGTTTTCCTCAAGTTTGTATCTTCCTGGTCGAATGCACTTATTGTAAGTCGCTTTGGATAAAAGAGTCAGCTAAATGTAATGTAATGTAATGCTTGGGTTTTCTGTCGGTTTTTGGTCATTATTTGTCACTTCTGTAGTCCTTTTTGTACCTTTATAGTCATTCTTCATCTTGTTGGTGATTATTTGTCTCACTGTAGTTGTTTTTGTGTCTTCTTGGGTCTCTCTGTGGGATCATTTTGTGATTTTGTGGCAGTTAGTTGTGTATTTATAGCGGTTTAACCTCTTTCTGTTGTCTTTTTTTGTACTTTTGTAGTCATGTTTCTTGGTCATTTTGTGTGCCTTTGTAATTGTGTTTGTGTCTCTTGTGTTTGTTGGTAATTGTTGGTGATTAGGTGTCTCTTTTGTTTTTCTTTTTGATAAATTGTTGGGTGTCTTCATAGTCAAATTGCGTATTTGTTCCCCTTTGTAGAGTTGTTGTGTCTCTTTCACCTTTGTCCTGAGGGTTGCTGGTGTCAGTCAGGCCCATTCATTCATCCATCCATGATAAATGACGTAAACACAACACACTTGTTTATAGCACCAGTTTCAGCCTCACAGGCGTTCTGTCTGTTTCACTCATCAGCCAATAGGAGGCAGGACCTGGACTTCCTTATTTGGACATTAAAATGTTTATTATCCGTCCACTTCCTGCTGCAGACTTCTCCTCTTCTCAGTCTCACAATACAGAGATACCGAGTCTATGTTTTCTTTAGCTCTTTTGAATATCAATAACAATAACTTTATTTACACAGCTATTTTATGTATCATATAAAGTGCCAAACAAAACCATTCTGTCTCATTGTAGTTTGTTTTTTTCATTTATTTGGTCATTTTGTTCAGAATCAAGCTGTGCATACAGACCACAAATAAGAGGACATTTGTTCGTGTATTGCTTCCTGCATTGGGCCCAATGTAAATAAAAACAAAGAGCTAAAAAAAATAATATTTGTATTTGTCTTATAATTTATGTCTTTCTCGTGATGTTCTTTAAACCAATCATCTAACAATCTTTTTTATTTCCAATAACCTCTACTTTTAATTTCACTTGTTTATTTAACCGTCTATTGTCCTTTATTGTGTATTTCTATTGTTTAGATGTGTTCCAAAGAAACTACAGCCCGGTCACATGACTTCACGTCACCACCGCTAAGCTAAAGGCGGCTAATGTTGGGCTATAAAGGAACTACAGCCCGGTCACATGACTTCACGTCACCACCGCTAAGCTAAAGGCGGCTAATGTTGGGCTATAAAGGAACTACAGCATGGTCACATGACTTCACGTCACCACCGCTAAGCTAAAGGTGGCTAATGTTGGGCTATAAAGGAACTACAGTAGGGTCACATGACTTCACAACACCACCGCTGAGCTAAAGGAGGCTAATGTTGGGCTATAAAGGAACTACAGTAGGGTCACATGACTTCACAACACCACCGCTAAGCTAAAGGTGGCTAATGTTGGGCTATAAAGGAACTACAGCACGGTCACATGACTTCACGTCACCACCGCTGAGCTAAAGGTGGCTAATGTTGGGCTATAAAGGAACTACAGTAGGGTCACATGACTTCACAACACCACCGCTGAGCTAAAGGTGGCTAATGTTGGGCTATAAAGGAACTACAGCACGGTCACATGACTTCACGTCACCACCGCTAAGCTAAAGGTGGCTAATGTTGGGCTATAAAGGAACTACAGCACGGTCACATGACTTCACGTCACCACCACTAAGCTAAAGGCGGCTAATGTTGGGCTATAAAGGAACTACAGCACGGTCACATGACTTCACAACACCACCGCTGAGCTAAAGGTGGCTAATGTTGGGCTATAAATGAACTACAGCACGGTCACATGACTTCACGACACCACCGCTAAGCTAAAGGCGGCTAATGTTGGGCTATAAAGGAACTACAGCACGGTCACATGACTTCACGACACCACCGCTAAGCTAAAGGCGGCTAATGTTAGGCGTGATGACGTTTTGTCGTTTCATTTAAACCGCTGTTTTTAAATTCACCAGTGGGGTTTACTGACGTATTTTATGTCGTAGGACAAAACCTTAAAATCTCTTCAGCTTGTGTTAACCACAGACCGTATTACAAAAATAGGCCTACAACCAAAACCACTTTCAGAAAAAAACATTCTCTTCCAGGCCAGGAAGTGGTACAATGCTGACTAACACTGATCTAACAAGTCACTAGCAAACACTTTTTTAAGCATTTGAACATTTTTCTCCATAAACTGAATCAATTTGCAGTTCCAGATTATGATGTATTTGAGCTGCCATGCTTGTTTCTTAAGGTTTCGGTGTGAAAAGCAGCAGGACTCTGTTTCTACAGGTGATCTGAGGCGTGGCTGAAGACTGCATCACCATCCTCATAATCAATACTGAGTGGGAGGCGGAGGGAACTGCAGGGAGCGGCTCATTTATGGCCCCCAGAGAGGGTAAAGTTCTCCGGTTAGAGATACAGACGTCACATTAACAACGGCAGAGGAACAGACTGACTTCTCCCTCTCCGGCTTCATCACCAAACCAAGGCCCTGCGACCTGCCATTGTTGAAGGCTTTTTTTCTTATTTTATTTGGATTTCTTCTTCTTTGCCACCATGTCGACGGCTGTGGAAGCGGTCGGGTTCATCATGTGCATCATCAGCTGGTTGATCACCGGATCAGCGCTGGCCAACGACTACTGGAAGATCTCCACGGTGTCCGGCAGCGTCATCATCTCTCAGAGGCAGTTTGAGAACCTGTGGCATGCCTGCGCCGAAAATAGCGGCGGAATCGCCGAGTGTCGAGACTTCGAGTCGCTGCTCGCCCTCCCCGGTAAGTCAAAGTCTTAAAGTCAGTTTGTGTGTACAGACGAAATACCGTTTCCCACAATCCCGAATACAAAAATACAAATATATATAAAATGATGTAAACAAATATTTATATCCTATATATACACAATCAACAGACTCATTTATACATTTGCACGCATTAAGACATAAATATAAGCACACCAATCAATATATACAAAATAACAGTCACTTCAGACCAGGACCCTGACCCTTTTATAAAATGGAGAACATAAGATAAGATAAGATGGACCTCTATTGATCCCCGTAGGGAAATTAAGACAGAACCAAAGATAGTACACATGGAATTATAAGAATAGAAAATCAGTTATAAGCCTACCAATAATATTTACAACCTTTTACGTTTTATAAAATGGAGAACATAACTTACTAACAAGATGGCGCCGGTGCTGATGGCTGCTGCTCCTCTCAAACTCATCTTTTTCAAAGATTCAATTCAACATTCAAAGGTTGTATTGTCATTCGCACAAAGCTACAGAGTAGACATGGCAATGACATCCTTCTGACCTGAGCTCCTCCAACAATGCAACATATATAATAAAATACAAAAATACAAAATAAAGTGCAAAAAGTCTATATAGATGTAAAAAGAATATGATATGTACAAGAACAGAATATGAAATTAAATAATGTAAATTAAGCAAAGATAAGATGGACCTCTATTGATCCCCGTAGGGAAATGAAGGTGATACACATGGGATTAAAAGAATAAAATTATATATTATATTATATTTACAAGTTGGTAAAAAAGTTTCCCAACACTAACAAATACAACTCATTACAGTAAAAGGTAAAGAGTTATGAAACACAGGAGAGCTGCTAACCCTGTAAGCGTGCAAAGAGCTATTGTTTCCAAGTTCCAATAGAAAGAAAACACGAGTCTTATAGAGGATATAGAGGTTGGGAACTGTTGTTGGTAAACTATGAATAAAATAAAACAGTATAGGCCTATAAGGACTAAAAAGACAAAGACAGATTCAATAACGATGTTGCTACGCCACAAATGTAAAATGTGGGCAATTTAGGGACTGTGAAAAGCATTGAATGAGAGTTAATAGGCGGAGAAATGGCTAAATAAAGTGTCTTCCTGCTGGAGGTTCATCATCTGTCACTCTTTTTTAAATAATTTGTTCAAACACACAAATTTGGAAATGAAATCGTCTGCAATTTTTAGTTTTTCTTCTATTTCTTCACAATCTTTTTTTCTTTCTTTTTAAACGATCATCTATTTAATTTGTCCTGTTCTTTACTTCTTTATTTTTTTCAGCAGATTCACAACAATAATAATAATAATAATAATAATAAAAGTGGCAGGCTGTATCATCAAAACAATGACAAAAAAGCATTTATTTTAAAGTAAATAACTGGCATAAAACAATGAAAGAAATATCTATAACTTTTTGTTTACTAAATCAGTGGGAAAAAATATATAATTTTAAACTGATGAGGTTATTCAAGTTCAACTTGATTGGATATATGGGGTCATAAGGCTGCTGAATGAAGTCAATAATCACCAAGTTTCAGGTTCTGATAGCAAAGAAGGTTAAACATATAATTAACTTTCAGCTTGTTGTTCAGTGGAGCTTCTAAAACTTATCAAATTAGTTTTTTCTGCATATTTAAAAGCATTGGTACAGAAATATAGGCCAGCATGCCATGTGGCACGACCTCAGAACACTCGTCCAAAGGTTGATCGATTTACAGCCACAAGTTTCCCGCCTGAAACTGAACGAAGTCACTGGTTACGGGTAATAGTTTATTACAAAGAAGACTTTATACATAGCATGTTTAATTATAAATATTAGTTAATTTACTTTACAGCGAGACTGTTTTTGTCCTGCCGTGATGCTTCTGTAGGATTATCTTTTGGGCGCCATTTTGAGTCTCATCCTCCTCTGGCAGTAAAATGGAGGGAAACTCCATCTCGATTTTTTACATTCGCTTTACTTTCACTTCAGTCTGGTTCAACTCATTTAGTTTGATATGGCTTTAAGAACATATTCAGTCAAAGGAGTGCCATAAAAAACAAGAGTATACATTGACAAAAATATGAAATAATTGTTCAAATAAAAAATATATAATAATTATACATCAAACTAGTGGAAAATAACATGTCAATAATAAAATGGAAAATGTGTTAATAAAATGTAGAGAGAAAAAAACACAAAAAACACAATAATAATAAAGCTTTTAATTTAATCTCAAGTGGCATATAAATAACTTTTTTTTCTATATGTTATTTATTCATTATTATACGTAATTGATTTATTTTGAATCCCTTTATTTTTCCTTATTAATGAACTTAATTCAGAGGTTTACTTAGAAGGTCTCTGGCCTTTGAGGGACATCTATGATAATGTATTTATGTTTGTTGTTAAAAAGCCCCCCCCACGTAGAAATTGAAACACTTGATTTGGTGCACAATAAGGAACCTAGATCTTTCGTATTGCTCGTCAGTGTGATTATTAAACGGCATGATTCATTCTGTCTCCAGCTCACTGAAACTCAGTGAGGATCATAAAAAGGTGCGGCAGGTTTTTATGATCATTAGAGGTAATCTTGTTAATAAGTTACAGCAGCAGTAACTCTCTGAATCATATAATGTGACTTCCACTTCCTCCTTCCCTTTGTCTACTTCAGCATGGGCTCATGTCAGCGGATAAACACTAAAGGTTATGGGATATTTTAATAGTTTACTGTGTTTTCATTTGGTACCCATAATTGTATTTGACTCCCAAAACTCCATGTCTCCATGAAGTGATCCTTAAACTCCATGTCTCCATGAAGTGATCCTTTAATGTTCAAAAAGCTCTTTATTTTTCTCTGTGCTGCAGCACCTCTTTTCACCCTCTGTCTGAAACCAGAGCCCAGTCTGCTCTGATTGGTTAGCTGGCTCTGTTGTGATTGGTCAACCACTTAAAGATGTCCCGCCCATTAGCCTATCACGTACAATGTGTTGGAGCGCTAGCCAATAGGGGCGCGAGTGTCATGGTAGTGATGTCTATGTGTTCCAGAAGTAAACACAGGAGTCCAATGGAGGCGTTTCAGGTGCTTTTTGACAGATGTTAGCCTTTGCAGACCCTTTACATGCACTAAAGCCTATAGAAAACACTACAGGAAAGGGAAAACCCCAAAATGCAGGAAAGGGCTTCTTTAAATACATATTCAGTATAAAGTCAGTTTAAATGTGAACTTTGCAAATGATTCGCACATTGTCGTTAAAGGACTACAAAATAAGAAAAGTCGGTTTAAAATGTGTGTTAGGGTTTAACTTTATCCCTTTTGATAAATCAACAATGCAAATTTGTGAATTTCTTTCTCAAAACCCCATATATATATCCCTTATAGGACTACATGTTTTAACACTTTTTTCAACATGCTTTGGCAATATTGTGTTTTTATATGGTCATGCCAATAAAGCTTCTTTTGAATTTGAATTTGAAAAATATATCTCTCTCTGTCTGCAGCTCACATCCAGGCGTGTCGCGCTCTGATGATCATCTCTCTGATGCTCGGACTCGGAGCGATGGTCGTCGCTCTGCTCGGACTCAAGTGCATCAAGATCGGATCGGCCACCGAACAAACCAAGGCCAAGATGGCCGTCATCGGGGGAATCCTGAGTATCCTCGGTGGTGAGTTACTGTTAGAAAAATATCCCTGAATACTTAAAAATGTTAATAATCCCTGGTCCCCGGCTTGAGCTTCAATCTCAGGATCCATGTATTTGTGATCCTCTCCAGAATGGAAGTAGTCATCACATACAGAGCGTCAACTAGTTCCTGAACAGTGTCCTTCACATGCTGATATCCAAGAGAGGGAGTTACACAGTCACAAGATGGAGGAATAGAAAGCAGTATTCAATGTTTACTTCAGATTAGCTCCACGTCAGAAATGAGCATGCTTGTCATATGTCTATCTCCATAGAGGCTGAATCATCATGTTAATCACATAGCTATCATATGCCTCAAACAGTCCTGATGCTCTTCTAGGTAATCATACATCCTGTCATGTTCACAGCTACAGTTGGGATACCTTTGTTAGCATGTTACTCTCATATTAGAAGAGGACATTCACTATTTTCCCAACACTTACCCTGGGCAAAGATGGAGAAAAGTCTCCATGCACACAGCTGGGAGACCAGGGGACTCTAAAGAGTGACGCACACAGCTGGGAAACCAGGGGACACTAAACAGTGACGCACACAGCTGGGAGACCAGGGGACACTAAACAGTGACGCACACAGCTGGGAGACCAGGGGACACTAAAGAGTGACGCACACAGCTGGTAGACCAGGGGACACTAAAGAGTGAAGCACACAGCTGGAGACCAGGGGACACTAAAGAGTGACGCACACAGCTGGAGAGACCAGGGGACACTAAAGAGTGACGCACACAGCTGGAGACCAGGGGACACTAAAGAGTGACGCACACAGCTGGAGACCAGGAGACACTAAAGAGTGACGCACACAGCTGGAGAGACCAGGGGACACTAAAGAGTGACGCACACAGCTGGGAGACCAGGGGACACTAAAGAGTGACGCACACAGCTGGGAGACCAGGGGACACTAAAGAGTGACGCACACAGCTGGAGACCAGGGGACACTAAAGAGTGACGCACACAGCTGGAGACCAGGGGACACTAAAGAGTGACCCACACAGCTGGAGAGACCAGGGGACACTAAAGAGTGACGCACACAGCTGGTAGACCAGGGGACACTAAAGAGTGAAGCACACAGCTGGAGACCAGGGGACACTAAAGAGTGACGCACACAGCTGGAGAGACCAGGGGACACTAAAGAGTGACGCACACAGCTGGAGACCAGGGGACACTAAAGAGTGACGCACACAGCTGGAGACCAGGGGACACTAAAGAGTGACGCACACAGCTGGAGAGACCAGGGGACACTAAAGAGTGACGCACACAGCTGGTAGACCAGGGGACACTAAAGAGTGACGCACACAGCTGGAGACCAGGGGACAGTAAAGAGTGACACACACAGCTGGTAGACCAGGGGACACTAAAGAGTGACGCACACAGTTGGGAGACCAGGGGACACTAAAGAGTGACGCACACAGCTGGTAGACCAGGGGACACTAAAGAGTGAAGCACACAGCTGGAGACCAGGGGACACTAAAGAGTGACGCACACAGCTGGAGACCAGGGGACACTAAAGAGTGACGCACACAGCTGGGAGACCAGGGGACACTAAAGAGTGACGCACACAGCTGGGAGACCAGGGGACACTAAAGAGTGACGCACGCAGCTGGGAGACCAGGGGACACTAAAGAGTGACGCACACAGCTGGAGACCAGGGGACACTAAAGAGTGACGCACACAGCTGGGAGACCAGGGTTGCATTCGAATAGTCCATTTAGCTTAGGAACCTTCCTAACGGAGTGAAATGACCCGGAAGTCCCTCAGTGGCAGCCATGATAAGTGCCGTTCGAATTCTCTAAATTAAAAGGAAAGGAGGTTTCAAACTTCCTTTATAACCTCCTTTAGCTTAGGAACCACTGGACCTCCCTAACCGAAAGGAGAGGAGAAAATGCTGCCCCACAATGCCTTGCGGCCGCAGCATTTGCCGTCACACAACAGTCGGCCGTTCACGGAAACAACCGATTATGAACGAGAAATTATATCATGAAAGTTACGGTGCTTATTAAGCATTTTAAAACGTATGTGGTAAGTTGCCAAAGTGCTTTGTTTTGAACGTTCATCCGTATTATAATCAAAAAGAGAAATATGAACGTTAGTTTTTACTGAAATGATCAAATAAAGTCAACATTTCACAGTCTTTACTGAGCTGTGTGGGGTTTGTTCAACTTTTAAAAGATGTTTGAATGGTGATATACACAGTGATAGATGTTAAGGACTAACGTTTATAATAAATACATTTGTATTGATTTTAAGATCTTTTCATACAATCATACGTATTGGGATCATTTGTATTAATGTGGACCGGAGGGAGAGGGTGACGAGCATAAGTTTCACTTTCCTTTTTTATTTCAATTCCAACTTTGGTCATGAAGAATATGTTTCTCTGTTGTCCCCGTTCATAAAGCATAAAACAACAGCATCAGAGCACGGTGCAGAGTCTCTAGATGAGTTTACAGTAGTCCCTCTTCTTATTAAACATCCATGTTGTAGTCCGCTGTATAGAAAACTGTAGTTTCCATAGTTTCCCCACAGCAGCAGGCGCACATTTATGACCTCTGCTGGCGCATCATAAACACGTCGGATAGTGAAAGTGCAGTCGGATTCTCTAAAGTGCCGCAGTCTCTTCTCCTAAATCCTTTTGAATTCTCCTATCCACTATCCCTTAACCCAGGGGTGGGCATTTTACGGCCCGCGGGCCACATCCGGCCCGTTGGCCGGCCTTGGCCGGCCCGTGTGAGGTTGATCATAAATTATAACATAATGAAAAAAAACAGCAACCTTTTCAAAATAAAAGCAACACAGCTGTATTGCTTGCATGGCGTAAATACTTTTCTAACTGTGTTGCTTTTATTTTGAAAAGGAAGCTGCTGTTTTTTTTATTTATTTACGTAAACGCGCATGCCGTAACAGCTACGAGTGATACTGGCCGGCTAGTCCTCGAAATGTCCGCTAAGGGCAAAAAAAGAAAGATCGATACTGAATGCCGCGTTTTCAACAAGACATGGACCGCTAAGTATTTATTTACAGAAGTGAAAGGTAAAGCTGTGTGTTTAGTTTGTGGTGCGCAGGTCGCTGTGTTCAAGGAGTACAATTTGAGTCGCCACTATGCTACCAAACACGCAGATAAATACAAGAACCTGTCTGAGGAAGAGCGGGCAAAGGGGTCGGATGCTTTGCTAGCTAAGCTTCAAAGCCAACAACACATTTTCACAAAACATTCCACATCCAGAGATGCAGCTGTCAAGACGAGTTATGTCTTAAAAGTTAACCGTTTTCGGACGAAGAGTTCATTAAGGAGTGTTTGTTGGACACTAATATGCCTGGAGAAAAAGGAGGCATTTGAGAAAGTGCCGCTCTCCCGACGCACTGTTACGAGGAGAATTGAGGACATCGCGGGAAATCTGGAGCTTCAGCTGCAGAACAGAGCGGTCAACTTTGACTTTTTTTCCTTGGCTTTGGATGAGAGCTGCGATGTACGTGACACTGCCCAGCTACTCATCTTCCTACGTGGGATAACTACAGACTTCAAAATCACGGAGGAGCTGGCAGCCATGCAGTCAATGAAAGGTACATCAACAGGGAGTGATTTGTTCACGGAGGTAAATGCATGTGTGGAAAAGTTGGGACTGAAATGGGACAAGCTGGCAGGCGTGACAACGGATGGTTGTCCAAATCTGACAGGGAAAAATGTTGGACTATTGAAGAGAATGCAGGATAAAGTGACAGAAATTAACCCTGAGCAGAAATAGGTATTTTTGCATTGTATTATACATCAGGAAGTGTTGTGTAAGTCAGTGTTAAAAATTAACCATGTTGTTGATGTTGTAACTAAAATAGTTAACTTCATCAGGGCAAGAGCATTGAATCACAGACAGTTTGTTGCACTTTTGGAGGAAAGTGAGACTGAACATCGTGACATACCCTACCATGCAGCTGTCAGGTGGCTCAGCCTGGGCAAAGTGCTGAAAAGAGTATGGGACCTGAGAGAAGAGATTCAAGACTTCTGTGTGAAGAAAGGAAACGACATCCCACAGCTTTCAGATGCAGACTGGGTGGCAGACCTTGGTGTTGCTGTAGATGTGACTGCACTAATGAGTGAACTAAATGTCTGCAAGGCAAGGGCCTTTTTGTGCATGACATGTACAGTGCAGTGAAGGCTTTCATGAGAAAGCTGCAGCTTCTCTCAAGCCAAATGGAGGACAACATTCTCACGCACTTGCCAACACTGAAGGAAGCCACACCATCAGCTGATCACCTCCAGAGGTACTCATCCATGTTAGAAGCACTGCATGGTGAGTTTTCAAGGCGATTTAAAGACTTCAAAACAGTTGAGAATGAAATGAACATGATCTTTTCCCCATTTACATGCCATGTGGATGATGCACCCAGTGATGTTCAGCTTGTACTCATTGACCTGCAGTCTGACACACTTCTGTCAGAGCACTTTAGGTCAGTCTCACTGCCTGAGTTTTACTCTTCCCTGAAAGAGGAGAACTTTCCACACATCAGGAGACGTGCTCAGAAGATGATGGTCCTCTTTGGATCTACCTACATATGTGAACAGACATTCTCAGTGATGAAGTTCAACAAATCCAGATACAGATCCTCTATCACTGATGATCACCTCTCAGCTGTCCTTCGCATATCCACCTCAGACATTGAACCAGATTTCCGTGCACTTGTTCAAGCCCAAGACAGACTGGATTTTTCTCACTGAACAAGTAAAATTAACTGAAAAACAAAAATCAAAAGCACTCATTTCTTTTTGTATAAAGCTGATTCATTTCTTATCTTTAACATACTGTAAAACACCTTTTCAGTATTGGTATATTGAGCAGAATTAAGTTCAACTTATTTTTGATTCGGCCCCCCAACACAGCTCGAGTTTCTGAAGTGGCCCCTTGTAAAAAATAATTGCCCACCCCTGCCTTAACCCCATGACGTTTCACTCCGAGGTCAAGGAATAGACGATAGGGTTAGAACTTAGGAGCTGTTTTTTTGGAGTATTCGAACGCAACCCAGGGGACACTAAAGAGTGACTAAAACTGTTTTGTGTGTCTGCAGGTCTGTGCTGCATGATCGCAGCTTCGTGGTACGCCTCCAGAGTCGTGGAGGACTTCCATGATCCGTTCACCGGGGGCGTGAAGTGAGTCCAGAAGAAACTAAAATAATTATAATAATAACACTATTTATACCGCAATAAAAAGTGCATAGATGTAAAAAAACAAGCCGTTCAGGCGGCAAAAAAAAGGTAAAAAAAAGTCAATGTAAACATTTTATAGAAACATTTTGTAATATTTGGAGGAAATAATTCAAGGTTGGTCGAATGTTTCAGAGAAATAATTTAAATATAGGAATTAAGGAATTAAGGAAAAAACATCAAATATTGAAAAATTGCTGAAGTTGCAGATTACGTCGAATAATTTTAAACTCGTAATGGAAATAACAAATGTTTGTGTCTCACCCTGTGTGTGTGTGTGTGTGTGTGTGTGTGTGTGTGTGTGTGTGTGTGTGTGTGTGTGTGTGTGTGTGTGTGTGTGTGTGTGTGTGTGTGTGTGTGTGTGTGTGTGTGTGTGTGTGTGTGTGTGTGTGTGTGTGTGTGTGTGTGTGTGTGTGTGTGTGTGTGTGTGTGTGTGTGTGTGTGTGTGTGTGTGTGTGTGTGTGTGTGTGTGTGTGTGTGTGTGTGTGTGTGTGTGTGTGTGTGTGTGTGTGTGTGTGTGTGTGTGTGTGTGTGTGTGTGTGTGTGTGTGTGTGTGTGTGCAGGTTTGAGCTGAGCACCGGTCTCTACATGGGGTGGGGGGGGTCGAGTCTCTCCATCTTGGGCGGAGCTTTACTCTGCGCGGCCTGTAAGAGAGCCACACCTGCAGGAAAGAAAGGGTAAGCCCCGCCCCCTCACCTGAGCTTCCTTCTCTGATTTATTTACTTATTTACCTATGATGTATTTATTTACTATTTTTGTTTTTTCTCATGTTCAACTCATTGTAAACTCATTTATTATAAATAACTAATTAAATAACATTTCATCAGGTTTTTGTGGGATATTTCAAAGAAGTATATATATTCGAATATTGGACCTACTTTCAAAATTAAAGCTTTTAAACAAATGTTTTTCTTTCTTCTAAGAAATGTGTTAAATTGCTTCTTATTTATCGCAATTATGTATTTATTAGATTATCTTTATTTATTATCTATTAATAGAGTATTTTTACTTCAAAAAATCGTATTGACGATATTTATCGAGCTGCAGCACATTACATTTTTATTAAAATAAATTAATTTCCCAAAGATTTGTTTTGCTATTAAGATTCCAAAATGTCTGCTTTGAAAAAATTATCTTTCTTTTTTCTCAAATTGTACAATTTTTCATGACTTTTTCTTCAGCGGCTATTATGGAACCAAGCCTCAGAAAGTCTACACGGCAACAGCCAAATCTGAGCCAGATTCTTCAGCCAGAGCATACGTCTAAACATACACAAACATAAACACACACACACACACACACACACACACACACACACACACACACACACACACACACACACACACACACACACACACACACACACACACACACACACACACACACACACTCTAACATGACATATGGACATGTCGTTTGTTTTCTGTCCTTTTGTAGTGTTTGCTTATTTTTCTAAAGAGTTTTTGATGTGAAATCTGAAATCGTAAATGTTGGGGAAGATTTGTGGATGATTGTTAATGATTACTATCAGAATAAAGTCTGTGTGACATAATAAATGAGGTTTTTAAAGGTAAAGTGCACTTCTTTCCTGTTGATGAAACACACACATCAGACACAATTTGAAATGTAATTTAAGATTATTAAAATTATAAAAAAAGACATGTGACTCATTAGGTTCAGCTATGTTTGCTATTATACAATTAAATTATGTTGCAGGTAATGTGGAGTCAATGATTATGATTATAATCATTATTATTAATATTATATTATAAATTGTATTATAGCGATTTAAAAAACAAAGACACTTCATAAAAACAGTCATTTTAAATAACTACTTGAATAACCTTTAACTCAATACTTCTAGAACATGGAAGCTAATGTTTTTTACTGTAAATTAAATGTACATTGTTAAAGCAAAAGGCAAAGCCAGTTTATTCACACAGCACCTTCCACACAAGGCAATGCAAAGTGCTTTACATAAAAGAAAGACATTAAGAGCATTAAGAAATAGTGCAGCAGAAACACATTATAAAATGGCATTTAAAAACACTCATTAAAAAGCAGAGAGAATTAAATAAAGATAAAACAAGATAATATATAAAATACATGAATAAAAGTTACAGTGCAGAGTAAGATGTGAATAAATTAATTAAAAGCAGCGGCAAGAAGAAAAGTAGTTTTAAAAGATTTAAAAGAACCTGCAGGTTTCTGGGAGTTTGTTCCAGATGTTTGGAGCATAATAACTGAACTTCTCCATGTTCAGTTCTGACTCTGGGGACAGGAAGCTGACCAGTCCCTGAAGACCTGAGAGATCTGGATGGTTCATCATTTAGCAGGAGGTCAGAAATGTATTTAGGGCCTAAACCATTCAATGCTTTATAAACCAGCAGCAGTATTTAGAACAGACAGGAAGCCAGTGAAAAAGCAGCAGCGATCTAATATATATATTTTTGAAACCTGTAAAGACACCAGTACAGACCCGGCGCCGTGGGAAGGCCAGGGAGGGCCTGGCTGCATTTTACATTCCTGCCCTCCCCCAATAAACACGTTTTATTTTATTTATAAACATTTGAAAAAAAAGTATTTTTATTTTTTAAATTATAAATTATAAATAAACTGTGAATTTTAAGGCTGCGATGTATGTGATGTCAGATAGTAATATAAGAGTATACATGAAAAACAGGTATGAAATACTATATGACAGTAAAACAAGAATACAGTTTAAAAGGTGAGTGATTTGTAAAATATGCATAAAGAAATAGTAAATCTGTTTACAGTTCTGTTTCATATGGGTGTTGTGTCTCTCCATTTTGCTCTCAAAGTGCACCAGATTGATGCTTTTAACTTCAATATTTAAAAAAAAAATCTTATATATTTAAATATATATCAAAAAAGAAAGAAATATTTAAAAATATTTGTTGTAATCAGGCTATACATTTTTTATTTGAATGCTATTTATTTATTGCAAACCTTTTTTTTTTTAATTCCATTTGTTTTTTTAAACATTTATATTTATTCAACATGTATTATTCAGGTTAAACCCTTTGTATACAGTCTTACTCTATGCTTTAAATGGGATAACTACGCCGCCTGCTGTTTTAAATGTGTATCTGCATCGATATTACGGGTTAACCCCCATAGCAACAGCAGACCAACCGCATAGTAACCACGGAGGATCTTCTGAGGTAAGGTGTGTCAAATATCTGGGGATAAAATAAAGTTTTTACTTACTTGAGAATCTCATAAAAGTTAAGCTGGCTTTACTTGGTTGAACATGAACTGTTTAGGATTAAATTCGCCATGTTTTTGTTAAATTGACTTTTCGTTTTATATGTTTTATTCATGGTATATATCTCACTAATGTAGCTAGCTAACAAGCTAACCTGAGCGTGATGTTTTCAGACGGAGCATGCGCAGTGTGTCCCACAGATTACAGCAGTGTGAAGTAGGGCCTAACTAAATAGATTTACTCAAGTACTGTACTTAAGTACTATTCTGAAGTAGTCCACTATATTTCAGGGGTGAATGGTGTACTTTTACTCCACTACCCGTATTTAATACCTTTAGTTACTTTACAGATCTGGATTAATGATGTGAAATGTAATCAACACTTAAATAAGACTTTAGTTCCACCTGGAGAGATTTCACAAGCTACCCTGCATTGCTTTTTTTCTAATGTAATATTTCTACTTTTACTTAAATATCATATCCAAGTACTTCTTCCACCTATAACATAAATGGTTTACTTTCTGTGCTAAATGTGCTAATGTAATCCTTTTGAAGATTTTTTAATTAACAGAGGATGTTTGTTGACACAGACGACCGTTTATTTCTGTCTTCTGTCCTAAATGCAGATGTAGAATAAAGAGTAGCTCCGGTGATTCAGACTATAGACATCCGACCGAGGTCACTAATGGAAAGGTAAGATCCAGAGAAACTGAGGGACTGAAAGGTGAGTGGCTGATTTTTTTTGTTGTGCTACTGACAAGGCAATGTCAGGAAAATATTGATATTAATATTACATTTGTGGGATTTAACCTTAATACAATATATATAAAAGGGTTAATCCACTAAATCTGTGTTCACCATGTCATTGGCAGATTGAAACTAACCTGTTACATTGTCACAAGAAGACACAACCAATTATTTTGCCAAACAAAACCATTAATTTGTCAAAGAAATAGAGGGTAAATGTGCAATGTGGTGATTTAACTAGCTAGTAATAATAATACAAAAAATGTGAATGGAACTGTTAAGCATAATATTAGGACTGTCTGAGAATTAAGGGTGTAAGCTAAACAAGTATTAGAAGATTAATATCAGAATAAAAAAATCCTTTATTCAACCCACAGTGGCGAAATAACAGCAAAGTGACAGTGCAGATATAAGGCACAAATACAGTAGAGTAATAGAGTATAATAAAGAGGCAAGCACACTATAATAAAATAAGATACTGTTTGATTTATTTTCAATGCTAAGTATGCAAAACAATTAATAAGTGTAACTTTCCTAAGAGAGCCAACAGAATATGTCATGATTTATTTGCTGAATTTTATGAAGTCTGGTGACTTCGTTTACTTCCCTACGACATGGAATTTGTCCAATTTCCTCAAGGACGGACTAAAGAGAGAACCGGTAAGTATAGTAAGTTAAACCTCAAGTAGCTCTGCTAACTTAGCGTTAGCATGTTTTACACTGTAATGCTGACTTTAATTTGTCTTTCTTGTAACACTGAATCAAATTTAAAGCTAACAATCGTACAGAGCTGGAAGAAGAACTCTAATATTTTACTTTAATTAGTGTAAACATACTTGCAAATGTACACGTTTAATATTCTTATAGCTTATATAATTCACATTAGTTAAGGTTAATGTGAGTTGTGTTTGCATCTTGAGCTAGCTGTGCATGCATATTATTGACTTAGCTAGCAGCAGTGTGTGAGGTTATCAAAATGTCAGATAAATGATTGATAAAAAGTACCTCTAGTGAACATATGTGTGGAAATAAACAGATAGTTATTATTAATGGAGAGAAAAGGTGCAGTGAAGCGATTTATATCAACCCTTTTCAGTGTTTGAGTCATTGTGTATATCTGTGTAGCTTTAAGTGTTGTTTACCGTATCAAGAGCAACACCCGTTTGCCCGTATCGTGTCGATTTATCGAGAATGGTGAAATTTACCATCGAGGCGCACATTGTCACAGCCTATTTGTAATTTCGGCATTTTCTTTATTTGATTCTACATATTATTAGCGGTAAGTAGCCTAACGGTAAGTATTTTATCACAATATATACAAAAATAAGTTACTCTGTAATTAGAAGTCTACTATATTGACCCGGTCTGTTTACTCAAGTAGCTCACACTGAATCTCATTTAAAGCTATAAAGCTAGAATAAGTACTCCATTATTTTAAATGTACTTAGTGTTAAAAATACTCAAGTTAAGTACTTGCACATTTTAAGTAAGTTCAGTACTTGATTACTTTCCACTACTAGCTTATATAATTCACATTAGTTCATGTTAACGCGAGTTGTGTTTGCATCTTGAGCTAGCTGTGCATGCATATTATTGACTTAGCTAGCAGCCGTGTGTTAGGTTATCAAAATGTCAGATAAATGATTGATAAAATGTATCTCCAGTGAACATATGTGTGGAAATAGTCGGATAGTTATTATTAATGGACAGAAAAAGTGCAGCGAAGCGATTTATATCATTACTTTTCAGTGTTTGTGTCATTGTGTATATTTGTGTAGCTTTATGTGTTGTTTACCGTATCAAGAGCAACACCCGTTTGCCCGTATCGTGTCGATTTATCGTGAATGGTGAAATCTTGCGATCTAAGCCAACACACAGCCTATTTGTAATGTCGACATTTTCTATATTTGATTCTACCTATTTTAACTGTAAGTATTCTATCACAATTATATATAAAATAAGTGACTCTATAATTAGAGAGACTACTTTATTGACACAGACTGTGTAATAAATCTATATCGGCTATGGTTCTTCGAGGTAATAGTGTCTTAAAATAAGATTTTAATTTGAGCAAAACCAGTCAGAAGCAGAATGCTTAAATGTTGTCCAAGCTAGTTAACATTGCATAATTTATAAATGTATATTCAACTTAAGCATTTGCTCACAAATATTAGCTGGTAAATGTGGCTCTATGGTATCCCTTTGTCTTTACAACAATATTTGTCAATTAAATTAATTAAAGTGAGCTCTTTCTGCTTTGAAATCTAGTAATTGAAATGTTTTTGAAAAAAAAAAGAAATTATTCTAAAGGCCACCATGGTAAAGTAAAGTAGTGTGTCATTAAATGTTGTTTTTCA